CAGGGTTTATTAATGTAATAAGTAGTAGTCTTATTATTCTCTATATACTCTTTATTATTAATCTACTTAAATTCCTTTATTATATAATAGCCTTATGCCTCTAAACTACTCTCTACTTTCTTAAACTCCGGGTTATTAATATTTACGTATATATTATCTATATATTTAATAATATTAGTATTACTAATATATCTAAACTATTAGTAATATCACTAGTGTTTATCTAAATAACAATCTTTATTCTAACTTCTATTCTAAAATCTTCTGTCTCTCTAAACACAGCCTCTTATATTATAAATTCCCCGTAGATAATACTAATTCCAGTCGCAGTTTATAGCTATTTAAATATCTTAGCCTAATTTACTACAGAAGTATAGCTATTATTTATCCCAGCCTTATCTATTTTAAAAATATACCTACTAATTATCTTAACCCCTATTATATATCTAGTTGCCTTACTTTATACAGAAGTTTTATAAATAACTATTACTATAATAGCTTTCTATCTCCTAGTCTTTTATTATAAAAAATACCGCCAGAAGGGCTAAAGGTCTATCCTATCTAAGCACCTGCGTACTTTATAGTACTTAACTAAATATTACTCCTGCTATACTAGCTTAGCATACTTATTACTTCTTCCTTAAGTATTCTAAATATTTATTTTTTATTATAAATAAATAAGGCTTAAATAGCAATTCCCTCAGAGCTAGACTAATATATAAATATAGCTAAATAAGCTATTAAGAGTTTATTATAAAACCCACTGCTTAAGTAATATAAAAAAACTTTATAGCCTATACCTAAATATTAACGCCGCTGTAGTAGTCTTTGTTTATATATTTCTATTTTTCTAACGCAATAACTATATTAACCTAATCTAGGCAAAATTAACAGTAAAACACCTCCGTCTATATATTAATTAACATCTTAATAATTTCTTTCTTTTATAAAAGTAGTAGTAAACCTTACTAATATAATATATTTCCCTACAGTAGCTATAGCAAATTAGTATAAATATACTACATTCTCTTATTTATTAACGCATTATCCTTAATACTTTTAGTAAACTAATTAACGTTATTCTAAATAACTGCGTTACTACTAATAATACTATCTATAGTATTAGGGTTAAAATAACTAATATATATTAACTTTTAAAAATCTTTAATTCCTTTACTCCTTTAGCCCGCTAGCTAAACTATTATAGTAGCTATCTTAGCTATTTTTATAAAGTACCTAAATAAGCAGCTAAATTACTTATTAGATAGGGTAATTAATAAGGTACTTAGTAGCACTTTAGTTATCTTATTAAGTATATTAAATTCTTTTTCTAAACTAGAACCTATTAATAGCATTAGTGTACGTAATTTATCCTCTAGTAATAATAAATAATTAAATATATTTATCTTAACTAGGAACTTTATACATATATCTAGTATATAACGCATTAAGGTTTATAATTAATAAGTAAAGTTAACCTAAATATTAATAAAGTAGTAAATATATACTTATATTCTTAAGGGTAGGGGACTAAGTAGTACTTACTTAATAAGCTATTAATAACTTCTCTTTACTAATACTATAACTACCCTTTTAACTATTAGCGGGGTAAATAATATATATTTAAAATAAATAAAATAAGCAGCAGGCAGTAGTATCCTTGCAGTTTATTTTTAAGCAGGCATTAATAATATAAATAGCATTACTCTTTATCTATTACCTTCCTTAAACCCTTAGGGACGCATATCTACGTATAATATATCTATTTATAAAATCTCTTAGGGATTTAAATTTATAAATACATATATTACATCTATTTATAAAATCTCTTAAGGATTTAAATTTATAAATAGGGGATTTAAATTCATAGGTATCTTATTATTAAGGTATAAATAAGTAATATTATATTTAAGGGTCTATTTAAAGGATTATTTAAAGAATAACAGTCCTTCTAACTAATACTAACATCGCTAATACTTAATAAATTTAATAAATTACTACTAAGATCCCTGTCCGTTAACTTATTAAAAAGAGTATATCTAAAAGGAGGTTAATAGGTTAGAAGATTCCGCAATTTATAAAATAATAGCATAATCTTACCTTATTAATACCTTAATATACTAATATTAAGTCTCCGTAAATAATACTATTTATTTTATTATCTACCGCAGCTAATCTAATAGTATAAACCTAAGGGTTAAATAAAGGAAAAATAAATAAATAAACCTTAGTATTACTTAATAAATAATAATAAATTATTCAGTAGTAAGTAAATAAAAAAAATTAAAAATAGCAATAGTTATAGAGCATACGTGTAATTACTATTAGTTAGTAGGGTATATAAATAATATAAAAAGCTTGATTTCTCTTTAACTAACTAACTATAGTAAAATAACTAGAAGGCAGACTGTGCGGCACACCGTGCCGCACGGACCTACACACTGTGTACAAACTGTGTATAATCCGTCTATCTATCTAGCCCCAACATATATAAAGGTTATATTTATTATTAAAAAGTTTAATAAAGCTATAACAGCTAAGTTAAAGGAAGGCTATGCCCTAGCCTTTAGTTTAAAATCCAGAATTAATCTATAGCTTAACTTAATTAACTATAGCTAACTAAGTTAAACCTTAAAGATTTAGGCTATAAAGTATAACTAATTAAGGTTTAAAACTAAACTTAAAATATATAAAAAGGCCTAAATAATAAGGTTTAAGTATAATATAACTAATTTTAAGCCTATAACTTATAGTTTAATAACTTAACTAAACTAAATAGGATTATTCTATTAGGTTATAAAAGGCAGTGATAATCCTACTTAAAAATAAATTATATATATAATACTTTTAAAAAACTACTTAATAAAATAATATACTACAAAAGTAATAAACCCTTATAATAACTACTATAAGATAAATTAATAGCTAACTAAAGTCTACTATAAATAGCTATAATAGCTAAAAGTAATAAAAAACTAATAGTAACTATTACTAAGATAATAGCTATTATTACAAAAACTTATAATCTTAATATTATTAGCGCTATAAAGAAAGTCTACTAGAGCCTAAAGAATAAATAAGGCAGAAGAGGGTAACCTAAACTAACTATAAAAGAGAAAATATAAATTAACTAGGCTAGCTAATAGCTGCTAAATAAAGGTTTAATAATAATTATTCTAATCTTAGCTCTTAGGCAGTTTATTCTTTATACCTAGGAGATATATATATATATATATATATATATATAAGTTTAGTTTTAAACTTTAATTAATTATACTTTATAACTTAAATTTTTAAAATTTAACTTAGTTAATTATAATTAATTAAGTTAAGTTATAAATTAATTTTAAATTTTAAACTAAAGGCTAAGGTATAATTTTTCTTTAACTTAGTTATTATAGTTTTATTAAACCTTTTAATAATAAATATACTTTTTATATTATACTTAAACTTTATTATTTAAGCTTTTTTATATATTTTAAGTTTAGTTTTAAACTTTAATTAATAATTATACTTTATAACTTAAATTTTTAAAGTTTAACTTAATTAATTATAATTAATTAAGTTAAGTTATAAATTAATTTTAGATTTTAAACTAAAAGCTAAAATATATATTTTTTTAATTTAACTATTATAACTTTACTAAACCTTTTAATAATAAATATAATCTCTTTTATAATTTAATTAATTTATATTTTTCTTTATAATTAATTTAAGTTATTTTTTTTAAATTTTTTTTTAAATTTTAATAAATTTTTTTTTATAATATTAATAATATTAAAATTATAAATTTTTATAATAATAATTATAAATTTTTATAATAATAATTATTATTTTAATAATAATAATTATTAATTTTTTATTATTTTTAATTATTATAATTATTTATATATTAAATTTTAATTAATTATTAATTTATTTTATAATAATTATTATAAAAATTTATTACTTTTATAATATATTATTTTATTAAATAATTTTTTTAATTTTAAAAATATTATATATATAATTTATTTTTAAAAATTATTATTATTTTCTATAATTTAATAAAATTATTAATTTATTTAATTTATTTAATTTAATTAAGTTATTAAATTATAAATTATAAATTAATTATATTATATTTAAACTTTATTTTTTAAGCCTTTTTATATATTTTAAATTTAATTTTAAACCTTAATTAATAATTATATTTTATAGCCTAAATTTTTAAAATTTAACTTAATTAATTATAATTAATTAAGTTAAGCTATAAATTAATTCTAAATTTTAAACTAAAGGCTAGGGCATAGCCTTCCTCTGACATAGCTGTTGCAGCTTTACTAAAACTCTTGATAATAAATCTCCACCTCCATAATAATAACCAAGTAGTCTCCGTAATATTCACGAAATCTTAGAACGTCTATCTCTTCCAGCTTAGTAAGGGCCTGGCGATATCTTGTCTCTATAGAGAGACGTTTTGACACGCCTCGGCAACCCGACGTCTTATTTCGCACGCGAGCTGAGCCCTAGTTCCATGGTCATCTTTTAAGGAGCCCTCGTTCCAATTGTCCAGCATGTCTTGAACCTTTCTTAATGTCGCGGGGCTGACTGCCTGAGGTGTCTCATTGCTAATAGCTATTATCTCCCGAAGGTTGGCCTGCTCGTCGTCCATCTCCACTTGTCGTTGATCGCTGGCTCGCAGTGTAGATAATTGGCTGAAAGTGTTTGGTACTATATATAACGAATGAGAAGTACCTATGGACAGGAGAGCATGGAGTACATTCTGCTTGGTTGTTTCTTCCTCTTTGGAGTAGTGCCAAGGGACTATATTTACTATCTAAACTTAATCTAATCTAATCTCTTATTCTGTATTCTATACACATTTGTAATTCCTCTGACCATATGAATTTTTCAAAGTATTTACTAGCAACCTGGAGAATAGTTGCTCGGATAGGGCCTATATCCGAGCGGCAAATGTGTGGCGCTGATGATAGTCCTGCAAGATCTTTAATGATTCTCTAATGGATAGTGATTGGTTGACCGTTGATGTCGAATGGGGACCAAAGGTTATATACCGCGTACGAGTGCCTCCCCTCTGAACATATGCGTATTGAATCATAGATATCCAGTGGCTCAGTTTCTGTCCGCGCGGCCAATACCTGAATTAATCGAACGAGGGGCGCCTGTGAAGCCCAAGGGTACTTGGGGAACTCCGTGGTCGTCACCGGGCCGTGCTCGTTCACGAGGCGATCGTGAATGGCTGTCCACTCCTTGTTTTCAAAGAAGGTGAGTGCCTCCTTTTCAGCTTCGCCGGACCCTAAAGGCCCCGCATGAGTCGGGGTGATTCGAATAGGAGAACCTTTCGCTTGATTGTATAGGTCGTTCTTATATGAAGGCATGTAGTCGCTATAACGCAGCTGGAAAACCATGATCTTAAGGTCCTCTAAACGGACAAAAGCAGATGAATATTTCGCTTCATCTGTGAGCCGCTCATTCATTTCGATAAGACGTTCGTTAATCTCACCTGCCCATCGAAAGGCAAGACTAGGGTCAACGATAGGTGGGACAGCCTCCCACCGACCCAGGAGAGCATTGGCTCTGGACTCAGTGGAAGCACTGATAGCTGCGGGTGTCTTCTCCCTCATGCTAATTATTTCTAGGAGACGGCCTTTTGCTGCTTCAAACTGTGCAACCATTTGAGCATGTGTGGTTGAAACATGTGGTGATGGAAGAATTGGTTCTTGGGGTTCCATATTGAGAAAAGGGGTGGCTGAAATGTATAATTGAAAGCCGACAATGGTATTATACTAGAGTATGAGGGTGTCTTTTGAGACGATATAAGACTTGGTGTTTGGAATGGGGTTTGGTAGTTGGAAAGAAGAAAACACTTGGGTAAACAAACAGCCGAGTTAAAGGGTAAACAGCGAAAGTGGTCTGTAATTTTTATTCTTGGGCCAAAAACCTATAAGATCAATTTAGAGGTATGTGGAAATCTAGTATCCGCCATATTGCAAGATGGGAGAAATAAACTTTCCAATCCCAAGCCTCATTGTCCGGGAAGCTCTCCAAGTCAGATCTATGCGTTATGTCCCTTGGTCCTTTGGATACTTGTGAAGCTTACTACAAAGTATCATTGCGATACCGCCTTTGGAATATCAACGATAAAATTGACAGAAGCAATGACTTGTGCGTAAGACTGTATAACTTTGATACATGTCCCGTCAAAACTAGCTTCTTTTGCTATCCTCTCTTCATTGGAATTGGTGTTGCGAAAGTTATAGTCTCAATTCCCAGAGAATTCAACTCTTCCGGCCCTGGCTGTAAGTTGTCTGTTCCAACCTCGACCCCCAGCAGGCTTCTGAGAATGACCAGGCATCCCGCCTTGCTTATAACTTCGTTTGATTCCTTGCATATCTCGGAAGCCACACATTCAACACAGCCCTGTTGGCAACAGCATTCCTCGACTCTTTTCAAAGCACGTTCTAGAAGATGATCAATATGATCGAATGCTTTTGTGCTGACGCCGGATCCATTGGCACCCCCTTTGGCATCGTAAAAAGTTAACCGGGCTGGTCGCTTTCTTTTTGTTTCTTTTTTGGCGAATTCTTTAAGAGCCACTTTGCACTCTGTGCGTACGTCTCCAGGTAAACTGATGACAAAGGCTGGTAGCAAACTCATGATTACATGCTCTGCCGCATGTATGGATGCCGCTGCATTGAGCTGTCTATCTTGTAGTAGCTCAAGTACTTGTCGCGGTATGTCCAGCCACATTCCCTTGCTATGCCGTATAACAGGTGGATTGTCTACCTGTACTGCGTCTATGATCCGCCCTCTTTTGTCGACCTTGAAGAATCCAAATACGTTTTGCTGGATCTTTATACTTCCATAGTACGCGTGGCAAGAGGACCTAGGTATTGTGCGAATGGCCTCGATTTCCACAGGGTCAATATCAGTAAAGTCTCGCGCCATGGTACTCCACTCAACATTGGCCCTCTCAACTTTCGCCATGCTTTTCTCAGGTAAAAATTCTCGAATAAGATACGTGTTACCCTGGTGGAGGAATATGGCCCCATCATAAATGGTAAAAGTCGCCCTCGATGCTTCTAGTTCTTCCAAGACTTCGTTCCTCCCGTTTGTGATATCGATGACAGCAAAGTGCTCGTCCTCTGCATCCCGAATGGCGACATATTTGGCTGGATGAGGACGAAAGCGGTCGTGACAGTGAAAGAAACCCAATTCGTCTTTCAACAATCGCTCTTGACAGATTCGAGGCAGGTCCTGGCCAAAAAACTGCATATCCTCATCTTGCCGAATGGGCATCTCGTAAGCCGCGCATTGGATATGCCCCTCCCGAATAAGTATATCGTCCAAGTCCACACGTAACTCACAATTTGGCTTCGAGAAAAGCTCATCAGGATTGTTCATGTAATGCTGGTCAGTTGGAAAACTGTCGCCTACTAGAATAGACAGCGAATCCTTGGTTCGCCTTCCAGCTCTTCCACTCTGCTGTCGTAAATTAGCAATGGTATAGGGGAAACCCCAAGTGAGAACGCAATCCAGTGTGCCGATATCAATGCCTAGTTCAAGTGCCGTAGTTGCCACTATACCAAGCAATTTCCCTTCGAACATTTCTGCCTCAATTCTTCGTCGGTCTCGAGCAGTATAGCCGCCCCGATAGCCCATTACCAGATTGCTGCATTCCGGACGACCAAGTTCTCGCAGCTCTTGTTTTATCGCATTGGTTAATGCCTCGCATTGTGCACGAACTCTACAAAAAGCAATGATTCGGACGCCCCTCAGCAGGAGAGCGCAGAATAGACGAGCGCATTCAAATTTGGTGTTACCACGTCCACTCGTGGGATCTCCTGGTTCTTTAAAAGGGGTATTCCAGCATAGAAATTCTTTTCTTCCAGATGGTGATCCGTCGTAGTCGATTAAACAGACATTAGACACTCCAAATATCAACTTGAAATGCTCCTCTGGATTGGCTACTGTGGCAGAGCAGGAAATGAATTGAACGTGCCGGTTTCCTACCGCTGCGCATATGCGTCGTAGCCTCCGCATTATAAAGGCAACGTGAGATCCGAGCTGCCCATTGTAATAATGCAGTTCGTCAACTTAACTTATTAGTCAGTAAATTGTTCTGCCGGCTGATCTGGAGAAAACTAACCAACGACAAATTTTAGATTCTTCAAGAATGTTCTCCATCTTTGTTCTTGAGGGAGAATTGTGAGGTGAAGCATGTCGGGATTTGTAAAAATGATTTTTGCCTCTTCTCGAATAGTATCTCTAAGATTCATGGGAGTATCTCCATCAAAGGTTTCCACCAAAACCTGATCGAGACTTGGCATGAATGCTAGTATGTCCTTGAGGCTGCGCTTTTGATCCTGGGCCAGTGCTTTGGTGGGGAATATATACAAAGCTCTTGAGTTTGTATCCCGTTCCAAAGCATGTAGGACTGGCAACTGATAGATTAATGATTTCCCAGAGCTGGTAGAAGTCGATATGACGATATTTTCCCCTTCATGTAGCCCATTCAAAGCCTCGGCTTGATGCGTGTAGAATTGGGTTATATGTTTAGCATTATAGAGGGCGTTCACCAACTCCTGAGATAACAGAAACTTGAGACCTCCATACTTGGGACTCTGTGGTTCAAATACTCTGTGGCCATCGGGTACGATTTGACCGGAATACCATTCACTCTCTTTGAGCTGAAGCAGTATTTCTGAAATACTCTGTCGTTCATGAGGAATGAGATCAGGGATGGTACTCGCTGTACGATGGATTGACCGAGACTCTTTCGGCACCAACTTGGGTAAATAATGTTCGGCTCTTTCATGGAGTGCTTTTTCCGGATCCTCGCCATTATCTGTGCATTTCTTGAGGAAGTCGTTGATAGCAATAGCAAATTTCTGGTTACGTCGTTCGATGAGCTGCATCATTTGTTTCTGGCCGTACACGGGCATTTTCAGCTTTTCTTTTCTTAGCTTTTGGGTTGGTCGCGTCGGTTCGCCTGTTTCTCTATCCAACACTTGTCGCTTCAAATCACCATCGATGAACTCTAGGTATAATACTTCACGCCCATTCATCGCGGCCTGGTCGTCGGTCCCATCACCCAGGTGTTCATTCCCAGTCAACCCGCCAACGGATTCATCGTGAGCTGGCATTTGGGACATGAAACCCTGGGAGGATTTGAAAACGTCGTCTCTCTGAGCGCCTCTAGTGTTGAGCTGTAGCATCAGCTCATTGGTGTATTCAAATTTCATGGCTTCAGGGCGGAGAGCAACCATTTGAGCGACATCCTGGATTCTTAATGTTCTTTTAATGTGCGATTCAACGGCTGGCCGAAGGGTATCAAATGTCGTTATCACATGTTTGCGCGAAGAGCAGAACGTGTAAACCAGATTCAATGCTCGATGAACTCTTTCAAGATCTTGAAGAGCCTCGGTCCAAGGTATAGGCGATGACGCAGAACTGTCTGGAGCATCTTTCTTATCCTGTTTCTTTTGACAAGTATTGCGTCTTTTATTCCTAGGCTTCTTCTCCGGAGTGTCCATTGAAAGTTCCTGATGGTCATCTTCATCCACAGTAAGATCTTCCTTACGGATACGCTTCCGTGCATCCATATTTCTCTGCTCACCCTGAGCCAAAGGCGCCATTGGGTTATCTTCCATAGCTGGAATGAAATGGGGCTTCCTAACTGAAGGGCCTCCAGCTGGCTAATTCCAAATTCATGTCATCGGAATGAAGATGGAAGAAGATAAATGTCAAAAGTTGGGGGATTTTAATGGGTATGGAGAGGGATCATCGGTTCTGACCATTCAAGGGTTAGCACTAGGAGAGGCATGCGCAGACAAGTTGGAGAAGCGATTCGCGTTAGGATATCAGACTAGAAATCACGAAACTAACGCAAAATCACGTGCCCGTCTGTTACAGAAACACAGGTCGTACATTAGGAGGTAGGAATGCGGCCTTCTTAAAGCTCAGTACAAGACCATGAACTGTACAAATTCTGAGTAAGTACATGTAAACTGGTTTGCGGACACTTGCTGATCAACAAAATTTATATATTCAGCACCTAGAATGGTATTACTAATGGAAATTTCGTCCCATGTGACAAGTCTAGAGTATCCCTGAAGTACTGTACACAGATGCCTGATCGCCGTGAAGAAAAAAAAATTAAAAAAATAATAATAATCCATTCCTGGGTCTATGCAACATTGAATCCCATGGACTATTGGCCTGCATTATGGTCGTGCTGCCATGTGTGTTATGACACAGCGCCAATGTGCAGCTCATTTCCGGGTGTTCTTTGCCTTTTCCTGAACGGCACGGGTGTGGCCATGGCTAAGCGTATCTAAATCATACACGAACACGTACTTTGCCATTTAACTGTCCGCCGTTATTCCTTTTTAGCATCAAAGTTTCATGATAGAGGGGTTTTAATTGCCTCGAAGTTCTTTCTGAATGCTGCCAACTTCCTTTAAGAAGCTCTTAGCGCTCGCAGCTGACATCTAACGCAAACAGCGATGTTAGTATTGAGTATATCGTATTTTATCCGTATGATGGGTAGATATAGGCGAAACTCACTCTCATTGTAATGCTCACTGGCTTAGCCTGCTCACCCTCAAATGCTGTGAACAATATCCCTACAGACTTAAGGGATGCCTTTTCTTGGAAATTCATTGCAGGAAGAATGGCCGTGTTGAGAATGACACGATGCGTCTGATCTTGGCGCATGAGAAGACGGACAACTTTGTGCACCTGTGCCTTGTCATCCTCTCCATCATCGCCGTCTAGGCTAGACGCATCAAAAGAGCCAAGAATGGGTGAGCCGTTCTCATCGAACTCAATACAAGCTTGGGGGACATTTATTTTCAGCATTCCAGCACCTCGCTCTTTCCAACCTGCCTCTTTGTCGTGGTAAAACATCTTTGCTCGGACTGAGAGCAAAGTTGCTTCACCTGCCTCGCCGTCATCAACTTCGACTGTGAGATCATGTTAAAGTTAGCAATCGGCGGGAAAAAAATAGTCCAAATAAAGTGGCTTCAAAAATCAAAATGGAATATAACACTATTCTCTTACCCTTGTGCAGTTTGATTCTCTTCTTCTCCTCCAGTTCCTTTTCTGGAGATGGTGCTCGTTCTTGTTCATTCGACTCAGATTTTTCATCTCGCGCAGCGTCATCCTCCTCCTCCTCCTCTGCATCACTTTCGGGGGCTCCGAAAGGCTTTGCTGGCTTTTCACTTTGCAGAGGTTTGGCCAAAGGTGACGCAAAGCTTTCTAGTCCTTTGCCTACAGAAAACGGAGAGCCGAGGCTGGCTCCACCGAAGCCCGAAGAGAGATTGGCGAAAGGCGAAGCACTATTAGTACTACCAAATGTCAATTTGGGCATGGTGACAGCTGGCGCGGGCTGTGATCCTGCAGCTCCCAACCCGGTGCCTAATGGTAGAGCCGAGGAGCCAATTGAAGAAGAAAAAATGCTGCTCTGAGATGTGCCCAAGCTCGCAAACGGGGAGGATCCAGCAGCAAGTTTGCCGAAGCCTGAGGTTGAAAATGCAGCGGATGATGTCTGTGGTAAGACACTTGTTGGAGGGACCTTTGGAGGATTTGCAGTCTCTTCCGTAGCGGGTTGCAAGTCCGCTGTTGACGAGGAATTCTGTTTGCGTATTAGATAGGACAACTACACGAAGAAGGTGTAACATCAAGTAGCATATCACATACAGACACCACTCTATTCGAGTCTTCCTCACGATGCCTCTTCTTTTCTGGCTCCAATCGAGAAGCCCGGTCTTTGTTGGACTCTGTGGAGGTGACGCTGTTGGCATCGTTCTGCTCGACGTCTATGCTTCCATCTAACTGGTCGTGTGCGCGCTTCTTCTTTGGAGACGGCACATGTTCCTTGAGTTTCTCGTCTTGGCTATCCGTTACGGCGTCGGCTGGGGTCTCAGGGCGTGCCGCTCTCTCGTCGACAGAGTCAGATGCGAGGTCGCCCACGATAGTAGGAGGATCCGATATGGAAGACTGTTTCAGCTCGCGGCGAGCGGCGCGCGTCTCTGCATCTTCGGCTGCTTCTGCGTAGACTCGCTCATTCTTTGGGCTAGCCGCCTCCTGGGAATTGTCGGCCATGGTGTTGTATTAGGTAGACTCGAAATGGTATCTGATCGCGCAGGACGATGCTGGCAGACGGAGTAGATCTGCGGCTTCGATAAGACAGCGACGGCTGCTTGCGCAGAACCGCGCGACCGAGATGGAGAACCAGATCAAATATACAGAAACGATCTGGAGTACGAGCAGCAGAGCAGTCGGGCAAAGACTCTAGATTTGCACAATCACCACTTCTAGTTTCCTGGGTCTTGCCGCTGCAGTCGCGCTGCAGCAATTTTGTGCCGTCAGTTGGAGATGGTCAACTCAGCTGGCCAAGCGCCCAATCAAAGACGTGTGCACCTGGTATCGTTGGGTTCAGCACATGAGGAAAGGGAACCTAGGGTACTTTCGAGATACGAATCTCCACGCAGCCCGAGAAGAGATGGGCTGTGTAAAATTGACAACTGCCAGGTACTGAAAGGTACCACTACTAAACTTTGCAGAGGCGCTGGTCCCCACCTGCCCGCCGCAATAACGAAGAGGGGTAGTAATTAAAACGGCCTGCAAACCGATTTCGCACCGAGGTGCGTTGCATGGAATCAAGACTACGTGCCAATTCATAATGGTTCATCCTTACCGCACTATGTTGATAGTGTGACGATTGTTACAATGTTGAGCTGGTATATTAATAACATACAGGTGGCAGGCACCATATCTGTCTAGCTGCATTATTCAGTATGAGAGGCCATCATCACCACCAGGTAGATAGAATGGCAGCTGTTTGAGGATATTCGTCCAAGTCATATATGAGGGGTTTTAATCACGTATCAACGTAACTGAACATACGCGTCTGATTGATTTAAGATATGGCCTCAAAAACTCAAAAATATATCAAGAGACGCGCCGTTATGCTTGCATGTACTGACATAGGGATCGCTCTGCCCTTGAGACAATCGTTTTTTTTTTTTTTTTGCATTACAGATGACCCTTGCATTACGGAAGGATAACAGGGCGTCGCCCAAAGCCAACGCGCCACCCTTAGCTAATAAAGCAGAGGCATCCTAAGCCTAGGTAAAACACAAGGAGAGGGTAGACAGCAATGGCCACACGATTCTTGACCACTCCGCTACCACCCAGAATGCTGACGCCAGCAGCAAGGGACCACGCGATGAGACAAAGATATACTGGTATCCGCGCGACCCAGTGGAGCTTGAGAGCCGATAGGAGAGCGGCAATAACTAGCGGAAACAGCGTGTAGCCAATAATGCAGATGCTCTGAGCAAAGGAGCTGCCGTTGTCTGTTAGTAATAGGACCAGTTGGCCATTCTTGTGTTCACTTACATGTTGCCCCCCAAGAGCTTGATTTGAAGGGTCACAATCGCTTCACCAAGCCATATGGTAGCAAAGACACCGCTAAAGACGGCATCTTTCTGATCAGCTCGCGCTGTGAAGCTGAGCAACAAGCTCAGCAGTAGGCAGAAAATCAGAGGCCCCCATAGGTCCCAGTCTCTCAGCCCAGGGCTCATATTGCTCTGCAGCAGAGCTTCAGCATCTATAACTCTGCTGGCAAGTCCAGTGAGCTCCTCCCTCGTGCCTGTTAAGCCGGCGCCGCGGATGTTGGAATATGCACCGCGAAGGCCGCCTTCAGAATCGAACATGGTGCCACCAAGAAGATATCGCGGGTACAGAACTTCCTTCAACTTGGCCCACACGGCCAAGAGGTCGCGGCGCAGAGTCTCCCATACGCTTTCATCAATGGTGTTCTGGGGCGCGCTTCGATCATCCCCAGGAATGCGAGACGTAAGATAGCTTTCGTCTAACGCTCCGGACGCCGACGCACCAGAGGCAATGGTGTTTGTCAAAGGTTGCCGAGCCGATTGAGGAGCGAGAGGGTCATCGAAGTCGTTGAGATCCGCTGTGTGGCATCAGCTTCGTGCTCGGTACAGCAAGACAGGAAAATGGCCCCTACCATCATCCGGATCAATCAGATCGTCGTCCTCGAGGGAGGCGCGGTTGTATTGGCCCCGAGCACTCGACATTGTAATGCACCTGATTCAATATGAAGCTCAGAACGCTGCGCTTCCGTCGTTGAGATGTTTGCAAGGTTCTGTGATAACAGTTATTGCTTCTTCCAGGGAGACTGTCTACTAGGTAGCTAACGAGAAGCTGCGATCGTTACAAAGGTGTAGTGGGGCCGAGAAGCTGTTGACGTGGAGCTTATACCTTAGTACCCGTAGCCTCGCCCAGCTGCGTAGTGGTTGTACATGTACGACAAGGATGCGCTCCCGCAGAGGACCCAGGAAGTAGATCTACTTGATCTATGCATGGACACTGGACCCAATCCTTGAAGCGTCCGACCTTGTTCTGAGACGGCCTTATAAGAAATTTGGCCCAAGTTGCTTACACGTAGATAAACATTCAATCCAATAGTTTGATAGTACCTTATGTGAACTAAATAAATCATTGTACTACATACCGTACTAGCACCGTTACTGATACATCCGTCCAGGGAACATTTGTGAGGCTAATTAATCCTCGTTCGCAGCAGAATATCCCAAACTCCTCAGACCATACATTATCAAGTTAGCAAGTGCCTACCTATTTGCTTACTTTCCAACCTCTTCAACTCCAAGACTTCCCAGAATACCTGCGCGCATGGTATATTGCGCGCCCGATCAATTAGGCCATGGGAGCCAGACAAACCCCTTTTACGCCTCAAAGGTCTTAACCTGGCCGGCGCTGCTCGGTGGCAGCATTGATTGCCCCTCTAGCACGCTTTGGAACCCCAACTTTTCGCCATCCATAGTGATATCCTGAGCCATTCTGGATCCCTGGCCTCCGCCTACTTCAGCTGCCGCATTCAGCGTGTCTTGGATGGTCTGCACTTGTCTTTTGAAGGCCAGTCTGTCCAGGAAAAGCTGCTGCCTGCCGCGCTCCAACTCTCTGCGTTCTTCTCTCAACAGCTCTTCCATCTCATCAAAGTATTTGAGCTTCAATTCGAGTTTTTGGAGCATGATGTTGGCGGCTGCCGAGACCAATCGTGTCATCTCTCGCTCTTCATGCGAAGCGAATACCGCTCCACGAGCACCGATAGAGGCCAAGGGGATTGAAGCAAGAGATGTTTTTGTTGTCGTGGTTGTCGTGGTAACAACTGTCTGTCGGAAATCTACATCCATTGATTCTGTCTTGTCCACTTCGCTGTCCTTTTTGTCTGCTGCTACCGTGCTGCTTGCTTGGTTCGCACCATCGAGTTGTTTTCGTAGGTTACGCTTGAGCTCGTCTGCTGATCTATTTGCTGCCGCCGCAGTGCTAGCAGGATCTGCCAGGCTTGCCAAAAAGCCCACGACAGACATAACAGGGTTATCCACTTGGTTGAAAGGGAGGTGGCCGTGTTGGCTTCCCAACATTGATAAACCAGTGGGTGGGTTTGTAGGTGCCTCGGAATCGAGATACTTCTCTTCGATATCCAACTGAAGGAACTGCAGCACGCATTCTTCCCTCGTTCGAGTGCCGACATGATCAGCAATTTCTCCCCAGTCATCATCAAATCGCTCGAGACCCTCTAGGAGGCGTAAGATTTCGGCATCGGTCCACGGCGCATCCCGGTCCAGAATCGATGTGTATGTAGGATTTTCCACTTTGGAGTACATGCTAGAAGTGTGGCTCGCAGGTAATCGGCCTTCGGTAAAGCAGTTAGGGCAGAGATCGAACTTCGCCTTCGCTCTTGCATCGGACTGGGAACTGTGGTAGTATATCCTGGTACAATCGTTACCACATTGGTGACAGTTGATTTTAGCCACTGGCGTCTTGGCGGCTTCTTCAATAGAAGCATCGTCGCCATTCTTTTGGCTTTCTGACTTTGTAATAGGGGTGCCTTTAGCACTGGCTTCATAAATGTTTCGGCCAATTCCTAGGTTGAGATCACCCTTGCTTGGAACCGAAACGTTGGCCTTCTCATCAGTGTCACGATTCTTCTTGCCTTCCAAAACGACAGGGTCTGCGGCAGGTTGCCAGGGTTGAAGTCCCCGGGGAGTATCGCATATGATTTTAAAGTGGCCAGTGAACGGCGGACCAACGTGTGATGGTCGCTGGTCGGCATCAACCTATTAAAGAGAGTTAGTGGTGTACGGGTAGCATGAGATTTTGTGTTATAATTACTTGGTAATTGATCAATCCCCATTGTTCAAGAAATGCATGAACGCGCATTATGGCGCAAACGTCACCAGCCAGGTTGCGACGACAGGCCGTCATCGTGAGATATTCAACTGGGTTGAGACGGTAGGTGTTGATCATGAAATCGCGATAGTCTTTGTAAACAGCCGGTGTTTTGCTCCGGTTTCGATTGTTGAAAAACTCTGCCATTGCTTTACGTTCGATATCATGGATGCTGTTCATATCAAACCAGGTGCTGTAGCTCGGCAGGACAATAGCGTGAGTCTGAGAGATGAGATGATCCCGGGCGGCGGATTCAAACGCTTCTTTCGACTTAGTTTCAACCCCTCCATTCAACGCTGCCGGAGTATCGTTCGAGCCAGCGGGCAGCCCTTTCGTATCCTCAGACACATCACCCATCTCCTCATCTAGGCGAGCGGCGGTAGTCGGTGCTGCAGCATCGCTCTGGATATCGCCCGAATTGTCTACCGCTGCGCTAGCTCCAGGGCTTCCGCCGCCCTGTGTAATATGCTCCGCGTTTGAAGATTCCTCAGACATCTGCACATCTATCGATTCCATTAGATATATGATGGTTTATTGAAGGTCAATTGAAGGCTGCTTACCTTGAGGATCTTGACTCTTCACATTGGCCTGCGACGGCGCTTGTGAGAGACCAGGGTTCGGTGCTGGCGACGTCTCGGTTCCTGGAGAGCCGAAGGCTGTAGAGTCATCCATTGCTACGCGTCTCGGCTAGAACGGTTTAGAAAGAGATTGGGGTTCAGAGATCCAGCTTGTCGGGATGACGCGCAACAGCGTTGGAGATGGAAGTTGGCAGGGCAGTGTCAGTATTTTTAACGCGACGGGAAACGCCATTAGCAACTTAGCACAGTACAGGTACAAGCAGAGGGTACGGTTTGCATTTAGTGGAGTACCGCCACCTAGTGGTATATATTATAATAGCAGGATATATATAATCAATACAAGTTATATTGAATTAATATTAAATCTTAAATATCTTATAATATTTAATAAAGTACATACTATATAATATTATAATATAATTAAACTTAAACAATTTAAATTTTGTTAAAAATATACTCATAATATAACAAATGTGAAATGTTAATAATTATTATTATATTAATAATTTTTTTTTTCAAGTAGTAGTATTAAAAAGATTGGAAAAATTACTGCTGCTTCTGGCACTGTTATATATGCATCTCCCTTATCGGGTCTTCATGTCCAATAATGCATCCATGATACTAATTGGCACCGTGCATATGCAGTGACTAAGCGTGGATGCTTCGTGCTGCTTCACATGCGCCACCTCTAAGTGGATGTTAGTTGTTGGCTGTAATGACAGCATAGGTGTCTTGCTGTCCTTGGCTCGTGTCTTGTTTCTTGCTATGTGTACTTAGCCGCCTGGTCACATCTGATTGATATCGTCGACGCTGCTTCTTACAAATTCTTTCTTTCTTTCTTTTCCCTTTCGTGAATGGTCTAATCAAAAGTAATCCTCCAATTGGCGGATACCCAATGCATTGCGAATATGGCAACCCCCTCACCCGTTCACAGCGTGCTGCCCGCATCGCCAACTCTGCATCATGATATCCCGAGGATGCAATATCGAAGCTGTCCCGTATCCATCGCCGTAGAGCCTGTTTCACTGGTCATATCCGAATGTATAGCGATCACCTCAGCTATTCAAAAGCATGCGCGCTCCTCCCATTTCTCCGTCTCTGCCATTCTTGGCGGAAATCCTAATACTATACAATTCGGATCCTCTAAACAGCAACCCCAGTCGCGAGACCGAAGTGTTGGAGGTCCTTTTGGAGACGAAGATCAGGATGGAGCGGCGAGCAATCGCTGGAGCTTTCAAGGTCAGAGGACGAAGGGCTTGCAGGATAGCCCAATGATCGCAGGATTCGGCAAGCTTCGCCACGAGATTACGGGTGTTCAGAGTGTGTACTGGCTTCATCTTGGCACTCACTTTCAGCTAATAATAAATAGATATCCATTCATTTGATGCCCTGACGCTCCTGACCCCATTTCTCTTCGTAATCCAAGAGAAAGGAACTGCGGCACCGATTACGATACTAGCTCTAGGCGCACTGAGGAAATTCCTAGCTTATGGGTTTATCGCTTCTGAGTCTCCTCGCTTTGCACTGGCTATGCAATCGCTCTCCGCCGCTGTTACACACTGTCAATTTGATATAAGCGATTCGGCCCAAGGCGAAGTCGTGCTGCTCATGATCCTCAACTTGATGGAGGACATGATGTCTGGACCAGGAGGCTATATATTAAGCGACGAGAGTGTTTGTGATATGATGGGGCGCGGCTTGGCTATATGCTCTCAGCCCCGGTTCTCGCCTGTCTTGAGGAGAACGGCTGAAGCTGTCCTAGTCAGAATGTGTCAGATCATATTCGAGGATATTAAACATCTCGAGGTCGAGGTCGGGGACGATTCTTCTGTCATGGATCAGTTGGCCGATCAACACATGGAAAATGTAAAGATGGACACTACGGCTGGTAGTACTGTTGCAGAACCGCTTGTCTCTGCTCCTACTGGAGATGAGACCGCTCCGGAAATTTCAGAGAAGGCTGGCAGTGAGAAGGCGGAAGAAGGATCTGAAAATATCCCCCCGGTCGAAGAAAATGAAAGCGATACAGAGTCATTGGATCTTCGGCCATACTCACTACCTTCCGTTAGAGAGCTATTTCGAGTCTTGGTCAACTTCCTGGATCCCAACGATCGCCATCATACCGATACAATGAGAGTGGTGGCTTTGCGGATAATACATGTTGCGTTGGAAGTGGCTGGCTCTTTCATAGCACGTCATCCCGCTTTGGCAACCATTGCCAAAGATCAGCTATGCTGTTATCTCTTTCAACTTGTCCGATCCGATAATATGGCTATTTTGCAAGAATCGTTAACGGTTACGGGAACACTACTCGCAACCTGCAGAGGCGTCCTCAAGCTCCAGCAGGAACTCTACTTATCGTATTTGGTGGCATGCCTTCACCCGACAATTCACATCCCTCGCGAAGCTGGTATTGACCCCTCACTGTACGCTGGTATACCAGAGACGCCAAAACTGGTCAAGCCGCCGCCATCGCAATCTAACAGCGGACGGTCAACTCCTGTTCCTGTTAAAGACCGACAAAAACTCGGGTTGGAAGGGGGTGCGCGTAAACCCGATGCTAGGCAGGCAATGGTGGAAGCTATTGGTGTTCTATCTAGGATGCCAACATTTGCTGTTGAGTTGTTTGTCAACTATGACTGTGACGAAAATAGGTCGGACTTGTGTGAAGACGTGATTGGGTTACTTTCGCGTAACGCCTTGCCGGACTCAGCAACATGGAGTACTACAAGTGTTCCGCCTCTCTGCCTAGACGCCCTCCTGCGCTTTATTCAGTTCATGGCTGAGAGAGTGCATGATGACCCTGTCCATGAAAATTTTCCGGATCCCGAGATGTTGAGAGAGAAGAGGCGACGGAAGAAAACCATCATCATAGGGACGAGCAAGTTTAACGAGAAGCCAAAGTTGGGACTGAGCTATCTTGAAGCGAGCAATATCATTACCGATGTTGGAGATCCTGTTGCAGTGGCTAAATTCCTCAAAGGAACATCGCGAATATCGAAGGCAGTTCTCGGAGACTTTCTATCGAAAAAGGGAAACGAAGCTATCCTGGGAGCCTTCCTGGAGTTGTTCGATTTCTCTGGTAAACGAATTGACCAGGCCCTAAGAGTGATGCTGGAATCTTTTCGACTGCCGGGCGAAGCACCCCTGATCGCAGCAGTAGTCGAGTCTTTCTCCGAGAAATACTGCGACTGCAATACGCTCTCTGAGGTGGCTAATAAGGATGCTGTTTTCATTTTAACATACGCTATTATCATCTTAAACACTGATCAACACAACCCAAATGTGAAGTCCATGAAGAGGATGACCCTCAACGACTTCTCCAGAAACTTGCGAGGGCAAAACAATGGCCAAGATTTTTCGCCAGATTATCTCAAGGATATTTACGAATGCATTAAATCGAATGAGATCATATTACCTGATGAGCACGATAATCAGCACGCGTTCGATTATGCCTGGAGAGAGCTTCTTTTGAAATCCGAGACGGCGGGCCATCTATTCACTTGCGATACCAACATTTATGACGGCGATATGTTTGCGGCAACCTGGAAGCCAATTGTCTCTACTCTATCGTATGTCTTCATGTCCGCGACGGATGATGCCGTTTTCGCCCGGATTGTCACTGGATTTGATGAATGCGCCCGCATTGCAACAAAGTATGGCAATGTTGAGGCACTTGATCAGATCGTTTACTGCCTAAGCCACATCACTACATTGGCTACTCGTGTGCCGTTTAATACAGCTCTGAACACTGAAGTCCAGGTTGGGGACGGCAGAGTCATGGTCAGTGAGCTTGCTGTAAAACTTGGCAGAGACTTCCGTGCACAGCTTGCAGTGCTCGTGTTGTTCCGGGTCGTTATTGGCAGTGAGGCTCTTATTCACAATGGGTGGAAACATGTTAGTATTTACCCATGGAGTCTGCATTGCTCCGTCAAGCTAACTGTTCATAGATCATTCAGATATGGACCCATCTCTTTTTGAATTCACTAGCACCGCCCCTTTCCTCGACAGATCTCCCAACTCTACCAATTCCAGCCATTCCTTTGCAGACTCCCTCGCAGGTCATAGATAGGGCCGCAAGATCTAACGATATTGGATTCTTTTCTGCATTCACATCGTACATCTCTAGCTACGCTGCAGACGATCCACCCGAGCCATCAGACGAGGAGCTGGAGAGTACATTGTGTACTGTTGACTGCATTAACTCTTGTAATATCGATAAAGTCTTGAACAACATATCGTGAGTTCTGGCCGTTACTTTCGCTTTGTAAAACAAACATATTGAAAATTTGCTGACTGGGTGTTAGCAAACTACCCCCGGCTCGCATTGACATCTTAGTTCAGGCATTGCTAGAACAACTACCACAGAGCGACCACTCATCTGTCATTGGTGTAAAACAGGACAATGTGACAATCGTACCTCCTAATGGATCGATTTCGCCATCAGGCCTACCGACTTACGATCCCTCTACGCCTTTTATTCTTGAGCTCTGTACCATTTTGACTATCCGAGATGGTGAATGTACCACGAGCACCGCAAAGCAAGTCCTCGACTCTGTCCATGGTATTTTGCGCGATCACAGCCAGTGGCATGGTATCACCGTCTCGCGCGCAGCATTTTATGGTCTCATGATACTGAAGTCGGGCTACGTATGTGTTCTCCGCGAATATCCCCAGACTCCACGTCGACTAACTTATAATTGAAAGGATCATGATTTTGTGAATGTACCAATTTTCCTTCACACTATCTCTAGCCTACCACAGGATCTACTGCTAAAGACGGCGGATATTATACTCTCTGGGCTCTCGATTTGCACGCGTGACCCCGGCCCTCTGAGAAGTGAGATGATGACTTCTCCTGATTTCTGGGTCATTTTACGGGTGGTGTCGGGAGACGCCAATGCTGCGGCTCAAATTTTTGATATCTTGGAGAGAAGCACAACTGGAACCCCCCCTGCAATCATGGCCGACAATTATGAAGCAGCAATCTCACTTTTGAATCATTTTGCATCAGCAGCTGATCCTCTGTCTCCTCGCGATTCTAAGGCGCAGGAATCGACCAAGAAAGATGCGTAAGTCGACAGCAATATCCTCAAATAGGCCAGAAATTAACATGATATGCAGTGAGACCCAAGTAACAGCAAGAGGCTGCCAAGCTGTCAACACCTTGCATAGTATGACGTCTCGAATCCCACAGCTTATGCAACAGTCTCATCTAGAGAGCAGCGAGGGTATGTTCCATATGTCATTTTATCTTACAATTGTGTTGTGCTTTTGATGTGTTAACATGTTCTATCAGCGTGGTCGGCCTATTGGTTACCAATTCTTCAAGCACTTACGACACAATGTACCAACTCTTGTCGTGATGTTCGCCAGCTTGCATTCTCGGCCCTTCAAAGGTCGCTACTCTCCCCGGAGCTCACCTGCAGCGATCCAAAAGAATGGACAGCAATATTTAGTAAAGTTCTGTTCCCTCTAATTTTTAGACTTTTGAAACCGGAAGTCTTTTCCTCTGACCGGGACGGGATGAGCGAAATGCGTGTTCAAGTAGCATCTCTCCTCTGCAAAGTGTTTTTGCAGTACATGGTTCTGTTATCCGAGTGGGACGGCATGCTGGACCTTTGGATTAAGATCATTGAGATCATGGATCGCCTCATGAACAGTGGACAAGGCGACAGCTTAGTACGTTCCCCCCATTGTCCCACTTATGTTTTATCGCTGGCTTGTATAAACTAACTTTATTTGAAGGCGGAGGCAGTACGGGAAAACTTGAAAAACGTTGTTTTGTTTATGGCGACCAGCGGCTATCTGGTTTCGCCCGACAAAGACCCATCGAGGAAGAAGCTCTGGGATGAAACGTGGGAGAGGGTAAATAGGTTCTTACCGGACTTGCGGAATGATATTCTCAATGAAGAGACCCCCGAGTCTACTGATACTAAAGACGGCGATGGCGAAGAGAAATAGAAGAATTTTTTTTCTGGCTAGAATATAACTATGTTTATGCTCACTCTATATAATGTTAATACTATTGTGGTATAAGGCGGCTGTACAAACCGGAATTAATAACTAGGAATTTTTATTGTTTTGCTCGTGGTATATACACCAGATGATTAACTGCTGAGACAGGATTTTTCTTGACTCAGTCTATACGTACACATGTATATTCCTCTATAATCCGATCCCACCGTTGCGCCCTCCCGCTCTTAGCTAAAATATTGAAATGGACATTATTTATTGTCTTGCCGTGCCTTTCCATTAATGCAATAGTTGCCCTTCATTCGTACAATGTATTCTTTGTCGTAACAGCGACCTAGTTCGTCGCTTAGTTCTTGGCCTTCCGAGACCGAGTCGAAGAGCCATTGGTAGCAGCATAGCCCTCGCCATGGGCGGACACTCCAGATGCCGAAGCTGATGCCTTCGAAGCTTGGCGTGTCGACTTTTGCGCAGCGGACTTCCTCCCCTTGTTTGCATAGGTTGCAAAATAAAACGAAATGAAGAGGACAAGATATGAGCTGAGAACAATGATGCCAGAGTAAGCAGCGAATTCTTTGCCGGCGCAGTTCCCCCAGTTGGGCATCCAAGGCCAGTAGGTGAATGTAAAGTATGTGTATGATGCAAAGTAGACGAAGCCGAGGTCGATGACAAACTGGATGATTTGTAGGCGAGTCACCCACTCCTTCCACCAGATGCGCACCCCGCAAGCGCTCTGGAAATAGTACCAGTACATGACGACGTGGACAAAGAGGTTTAGAGAGATGGGAACCCATTGGACCGATGTGCTGCCAATTAGCTGGGTATAGCAAAGGACAGCCGTTGCGCCATGGTGGTAACAGTGAAGGAAAGTCAGAGGCTTCTTCTTGAGGAAGAGAAAAATTGTATCCAGGAGTTCGAGGTATTTGGTGAGATAGGTCATCTATGAGAAAGGATTAGCATGTAGGTCACTTGGAAGTCTCTTGAACGACAAGCATACATAGTACAGGACCACGAGAGGTTGGGTCCAGCCGCCATCAGCATCGCAGACGGCGAAGAGGGTTCCGCGTCGAACGATAGTGGGGAGCAGTTGCTCAATGAAAAGGGCGAGGAGAATAGCGCTGACAGCCGTGAGGACGAAGTTGTGTATCAGAAAGAACGTCTTGAGCTTGAAGGGCTCCCGGGCCCGCATCAGCTCGCGGCCACCGAAAATAATGAGGTAGTAAATGGCGACAAAGATGGACGTGTCCCTCAGCGTGGACATGGGCGTCTTGCCAACGACAAAGTCAAACTCCTCGGCCGGATATCCTGCCACATACTCAAACGCCTTGCTAAAGAGCGGCCACAGGTGGATGCCAAAGGGTCTCTCGACGCTGGGAAGGGGCAGTGAGTCTGCCATGACTGCGAAAACAAACGGTAGAACCCAATTGGGTTATGCAATGGCAAAGAACAGCGCAATTCAACGAGAGAAATGGGACGGGGAGAAGGAGAGAGAGAAAAACAGAGGCCCAGATATAAGACAAGGTCAGTAAGAAAGTCGATGCCGAGTGGCTGAAAGCAGGGCGGCCTTGGGTGGGTAAGGCGGCTTTCGAAGCCCGACTGTACCGAGTACCAGAGAAAAGCGATAGAATAGGGCCAAGAGCGCGTCAAGAATACACACGTTTTCTTCATCGGAGTCTTCGGGTCTCCTCTCCCGCTAAAATTGCGGAGCGCGCCGGGCCAGCCTACTTTTAACTACCCTCTGTGCTATACCGTAACTATCATAAGTGTCAGATATTGACCCAATTGTGCTTCCAAGCATGGGGCGGGCAAAGGCACCATCTATCGTGGTTACACCAACAGATGAGCGAAAAGGTGTTATCCAGAACCAAGTGCTTGCTTGCATTATCATTATCTTCATACGTACTGCGGCCTATCCTACCAGCCTGGAACCACCGTGCCTATGCATCTACCAGCATGAAGCATTGCTTCACCACAGCTCACCTGACCTTTGTTCCCAACAATGCTCTGCCTCCTTCGGCTCTGCCCTCTTCCGCTATCTTACCACTAACCCTTCGTCGCTCGTAAGCGGCTGAGGGGTTCAGCCAAAAATCGTTTCCGGACGAAACTTTGCGGCCGCTGCCGAGTGCAGTTGGTCCCGCCGCAACTTCATCACCGCTCGAGTGCCTTGTGTCAAAGTGGCTGTCAAGCTGGATAGAGCTATCTCGATACCTCTGGGACCGCATGTTCTGCTCCTCCTGGCTCTGTTCAATGTCTTGACTCAGCCAGCTGGTTGGCTCTCCGTCAGAGGCTTCATACTGTGCGTCAAAATCTATCTGACCGCGGCGGGTATTGCGAGCATTTAGCGGCTTTGGGAGGATTGGGTTCGACGTTAGGGGCTTAGGGTGCGTGATGCCAAGGCGGCCCTTCTGTCGAAGAATGTCGCCCAGGGTGCTCTCTTCACCCTCTGAATCGGATGAAATTCCACCCATGCTATACGGGTTTTCTAGAGCGGCATAGGACTTTGAGCCTGAGGAACGATGGGAACGCACTGCACGCTGACCGGGCATAAGTGCTCGTGAAACTGCGGGTGGTCTCCGCGTCTCTGCATCCTGAGTCGCAGGGGCCTTGCCGACCCTTCGTGGCGATGTTTCGGGCTCATGGGACGGGACCTCGGAGTAAGAGATTGGGTTTGACGCGCGTGGCTGATATCTAAGCGGAGCCTTCTTGCGTTCAGGTGAAGCGCTGATTCTGGACCCCATGCTGATGGCAGAATCACGCGATTCAGTCCTTGTGTGCATGAAAGAAACCGAGACGCGTTCTGGTACTCCCTCATAGACGCTCGCCGAATTACGCCGACTCTCCAGCCAGGGCTTCTCAGCCTCAGGTCCGTAGCTCGTAGTGGTGGATAGCGACGATTTGTTTCTCTTATGCGCGGGCCGGGCCGTTAAATTGTCCTCGAGAGGGTTCATGTCCGGCGGCATAAGGCTAATCTTGCGGAACAGCCATCCCAGCCAGGCACTTGACGAGAGTGTGATCAGATGCAAGCTACCTGCGCCAACCGCGGTATACAGCACAGCTGAGGTAAACTTGGGCATTATGTCCTGATTATTGAAGACGATCCCCCAATTTGTCGCATTCTTATGTAAGGTAAGGGCTCCGAGAACATAGCCAGCTATAGCCCCCGAGTCCAGTACGACACAGCCGAAGTGGTAAGCCGCTGAGGACGCAGGTGCTCTAGCCACCGCATCTCGGGAGAGGTGGTATATGGCGTAAGCTGAGTGGGTGATTGTTATCGCTTGCTGTGAACAGTATTAGCTATCTTAGTACTCCGTACTCCTGTGAGAAATCCACAAGACCCAAGACGTCTTGAGGCGAGCTACATACCAGGATCCTCATTGCCCAAGCGGTCGTGTCGTCTACGCCCGTAAACAGAGAAAAGAGAACCAGCACGCCAATGGCGGCAATCAACTGCAAACCACGCAGCGCAAGTTGAGCTCGTCTCAACCATGTGATGTAGGCCTTGATCCTGAGATCCAAAGGGGTATAATTGCCCGATCGATGTGGTAGAATGACATGGTAGCTAAAACAGAATGTCAATCAATGCTTATTGCGTCTCACTTAGAGCAAACGTACTCAGGATGAAGATCAAACGACACTAACGGTCCCTTTAGCGCAGCTTTTCTCGGTTTGGGCTCCCAGCTCGCGCGGGTAACAGCCTTTGGATCAAAAGTAGCAGTTGGGAATCTCGAATCCGGGCGCGATGGCGCACTATACATGAAAGGCTGCTGGACCATTCCGTCCAAGTCGGGGCACTTCCGCCCTTGCAAACGACACGCGTGGAATTGTGCTTGCTGTGGAATGCTGTGACTCTCCCAAACAATGGAAGAAAAAGAATGAAGAGGCTTGGAAATGCCAGTCGCGCAAAGGGATGGAGGAATGGCCTTTTTTTCCAATACGATTGATTACCATGTAGTACAACACCGTATTAGCTAGCGCAATGCATGACGCTCAGCTTGCTCCCTGCCGCTTCCCGCCTCTAGAGCTGAGCTCTGATTGGGAGTTGGTGAGGCCGTACTGGGCGCCGGGTTGCCACAGCAACACACTTTCGGAGCTCCGATGACCGATGCGGTCCGGCCCGATCTGCCAAGTGAGAAAGAATCTTGAGCCGTTCGCCTTCACTCCGCCGTCCGGTGGGCATCATGAGGGAACATTTCTTTTCCACTGCAATGGGCTACCGCAAGCGCCCGTTTTCATGATGACTCTCACTCTTCCCAGGCGTGCGGCGTGGGCACGTCGAAGCCTTTCTCTCAGAGGCTCCGTGAGGAATTACAGTGTCTCACCATGTCTCTCGCGCCAGGCCGATGCCCCCTTTCGCATGGCCGTAGTTGGATCTGGTCCCGCTGGATTTTATACGGCATATCGTGTCATGTCTAAGCTTTCACAGGCTCGTGTAGACATGTACGAGGCTTTACCGGTCCCGTTTGGTCTTGTTCGCCACGGAGTTGCTCCGGACCATCCCGAAGTAAAGGTGAAGAAGCTCTTGCGTCTCCATCCATGAAGCTAAATGATCTAACAAAGCCTCAAATTTAGAACTGCAAAGACAAGTTTGATGAAGTTGCTTCCTCTCCCAATTTTACGTTTGTAGGAAATGCCTCCATTGGCCATCCTGGGCATTTAGCAGAGCATTGCACCATACCTCTCAAGGTACTCATGAGTCATTACGACTCTGTTGTCTTTGCATACGGGGCGGCAGAGGACAAAAAGCTTCATATTCCAGGCGAAACATCTCTTCAAGGCATCTACTCAGCTCGCGAATTCGTCGGCTGGTACAATGGCCATCCAGATTGTGGCCAACATGAGCCAGATCTATCACGGGCAGAGGAAGCAGTCATCATCGGTCAAGGGAATGTTGCCTTGGACGTAGCCAGAATATTATTAGAGGATGTTGATGTGCTAAGGAAGACTGATATATCAGATCGAGCCCTCGCGCAGTTAGCGGAAAGCCGCATTAAGAGGGTTCATGTTGTAGGGCGGAGAGGGCCAATGCAGGTAGGCAGAGCAACTTGGGCAAAGCTGCGTTCATCGTTGATTGCATCGCTAATTTCACTACTTTAGGCGGCATTTACAATCAAAGAAGTGCGAGAGCTAATGAAACTTTCTGGAGTGGCTTTTCACGGGGCGGATAACTCGCTGATACCAGCAGCTCTTGATACCCTCCCAAGAGCCACCAAGAGGCTCATGGAGGTCATTCGAAAGGGAACATCAGCTAGCGTTTCTGAGTCACCGAAATCTTGGTCACTGGACAACTGCTTGTCGCCAAAGGCCTTTGTTGCAGACAGGCGGAATCCTTCTCTTGTAGGCAGCACCGAGTTTTATGTAACGAAGCTGGAACATCCATTCGACCCTCGATCGTCGGTAAATCGTACAGAGGAAACCGTCATCCTTCCATCGGATATAGCTTTTCGATCTGTCGGTTACAAATCTGTGGCTCTACCGGGATTTGCCGAGGTCGGTATCCAGTTCGACGAGAAGCGAGGAATCATCACCAACGACGGGCTGGGCCGAGCAACACAATCGTCAACCGACCTCGTTGAGCCTGCCGGGACTCATCCACCGGCTCTACCCGGCGTTTATTGCTCTGGCTGGGTTAAGCGGGGTCCCACTGGCGTGATTGCTTCTACCATGAGCGACGCATTCATAACCGGCGATGCTGTGGTTCACGACTGGCTGTCAGGGGCTCCCTTTCTAGATCGCTCAGGAAACGGCACGGCTGAGGGATGGGAGGCAATCAGAGCTGATGTTGGCGCCCAAGCTGATCAAGTAGTCACATGGGATCAATGGCGCCAGATAGACCGAGCCGAAACAGCGCAAGGGGTAACAAGAGGTAAACCTAGAGAGAAGTTTACCAGCATTAGAGACATGCTCAGCTCCATCAATGGCAAATGAGGGGCCAGGACATTGCATGGCATGTAATGTGTTGTACTATAATGTATTGTATTGTATTGTAATTGTACTATATTGTGGTTGTTTAAGAGCTCTTAATCTTCTCTGTTAATTCCGGAACCTTTTCAAAGAGGTCACCGACGAGTCCGACATCGGCGATCTGGAAGATGGGCGCATCGGGATCTTTGTTGATTGCCGCAATGACCTTGCTATCCTTCATGCCAGCCAAGTGCTGGATGGCGCCTGAGATTCCGACGGCCATGTACAGCTGAGGGGCAACAACCTTTCCAGTCTGCCCAACCTGGAGGCTGTTGTCTGCGTATCCGCTGTCGACGGCGGCTCGTGATGCGCCGACGGCGGCTCCCAGCGCATCAGCCAGAGGCAGCATGACCTTGTCGAATTCCTCCTTTGACTTGAGTCCACGACCTCCCGACACCACCTTGCCCGCGGTAGAGAGATCTGGGCGATCCGACTTGGCCAAGTCCTCAGACACCCACTCTGAAGCTGCCTCTGATTTGGCATCCACTCCGCTCTCTATGGGGGTAGAGGCCGCTTCGGGGGTCGCAGCGGGAAAGGCTGTGCCACGGATGGTGAGAATCTTGATGGCATCGGTAGATTCGACGGTGGCTATGGCGTTTCCGGCATATATGGGGCGGACGAATGTCTTTTCGTCTTCAATGGCTGTGACATCCGAAATCTGCTGCGAGTCGAGCAGAGCTGCGACTCTCGGTAAAACGCTTTTGCCGAATGCTGTGTGGCCGGCAATGACGTGGGTATAGCCGCCCTTCTTAATGTTCTCAACCAACAATGGCGCATAGTTCTCTGGGAGGCCCTAGTAGTTGAATTTGCGTTAGCATCGGGCTGTATGGTATCTCAGTCAAAAGTTGCGGCGTCCAGACTTTGTCATATGCACCGTTCTCTACGGTGATGATCTTCTCCAGCCCGTTTACTTTGGCAGCCTGCTCTGCGGCTGTTGAAACACTGCTTCCAGCCAGAAAGGCGTGAACAGAGCCACCAAGCTTAACGCCCGCCGTAACAGCACTGAGCGAGCCTTGAATCAGCTGGCCGTCTCGCTGCTCTAAAATAGCCAGCGTAGAGAGGGCATTGCTTCGGCTGTACTTGGACGCCTGTCGCAGGGTTCTGCCAAAGGCTACACCTCCACGCTTGGAGAGCAGTTGCCTGGTTAGCGACAACATGGTGAATCAATTGAGAAGATGCAGATGTCTAGGAGCATCACCTCTGGCCCAGAGCAGTTGGAAATAGGCTACTCTGAGCGGCTGGACGCGGCCCTCGGTTGTAGATTCGGCAGCCCGTTGTTCGCTCAAAGATGAGTCACGTGGACTCGGCCTTTGAAGGAAGAACACGGAGCACTCGAGGCGCTGGTAGTTTCTGGTACAGAGTAACGCCACCAAGCCAAGTAGAGACTTTAAGTACCGAGTACTAATTGAGACTGGTTACGTGTGAAAGGTGGGGCATAACGGCATTGAGGCCCTCAAGGTTGCGATGAATTCGAGATGATCTGCTTAGGTACCTATCGCTGTCAAACTGGCAAGGATGCAACATCATCATGTTAGACACCTTGTGGTACCTAACCTCTACCAGCTATGACCATTTATATGTTGCAAAGTAGATAGGTAGTATAGACGACTACTTGTATGCCGTACCTAATGTTGTTTGTATGTTCCGTTACTGTATTTTATCGTATTTAACCAAGTGTCCAGCAAATAAAGTATTGCGTTGCTCCAGTTTTTTTTTAATTAACGAAAAGGAAATAACACGGTTGCTCATGTATTTAGTGGCTGAGTTGAGTCGTCACTGTAAACTCAATTGACCTATCAAACGCTAGGTACCTAGTAGAATGGAACATGACCCCTTCGCGACGCCTATCAAATCTCTTTGAAATGCGCCAGCAGTATTACTTCCAGAATCTCTATATGTCCGCACCCTCTGCCTTGCAGAAGCCACGAATGATCGCAGCTCAAAGGCGCCCGGTAAGGTACGCTATGGAAGCTCTCTAACTATTCTGCCATTCATTTCGCCTTCTTTCTTGCTGTGTTCTTGCTGTTCGCATATCCTCGTCCACCGTCATGGCCGCCATGGGCCGGTTGGGTTTCCTGGCCCTTGCAGTGGTTTTCCACTTGGTCTACATTTATTCCATCTTTGATATCTATTTTGTTAGCCCCATTGTATCTGGCATGCAGCTGGTTTCGGTGGACCGTCCCGCAAATATAAAGAGTCCTGCGGATCGATTAGTCCTCTTTGTCGGTACGCTTGTCACGATGTCTTTCCAGGCTTGAACGCTCTACTCCCCATAGATTCTTCGCTAACCTGTACTCAATAGGCGACGGATTACGTGCCGACAAAGCATTCCAGGCCTTTCCTGAGCCATATCCCGAGTCGGACGAAGACCTCATCCCCAGACACTTGGCTCCCTTTGTTCGCTCCCGAGCCCTCCAGCATGGAACCTTTGGAGTTTCGCACACGCGTGTCCCTACCGAGTCCCGGCCTGGCCATGTGGCCATGATTGCCGGCCTTTACGAGGATGTTTCTGCGGTGGCAACGGGATGGAAACTCAACCCTGTCAACTTTGACAGCGTCTTCAACAGGAGTCGTCATACCTGGAGTTGGGGCAGCCCTGACATCCTGCCAATGTTCGAGCGCGGAGCTGTTCCTGGTCGTGTAGATGCTTATATGTATGCCGCCGATTTCGAAGATTTCTCCAAAGATGCGACACATCTTGACATCTGGGTGTTTGACCACGTCAAAGATTTGTTCACCCAGGCTGCAACCAACAAGACACTCAACCGAGCCCTTCGGCAGGACAAGGTTGTCTTCTTCCTCCACCTGCTCGGGCTGGACACAAATGGCCATGGTTTCAGACCTTTCTCAAAAGAGTATCTGCACAATATCCAAATCGTCGATAGAGGGGTTCAAGAGGTGACAGACCTCATCCAGAAATTCTATGCAGATGATCGAACAGCATTCATCTTTACCGCGGACCACGGCATGAGCGATTGGGGTAGCCACGGCGATGGCCATCCAGACAATACCAGAACGCCTTTGGTCTGTTGGGGCTCCGGTGTGGCTCCCCCCGTTCTCCATCCGGGAACAATTGCCCCGGGCCACGACGATTTATCGGCCGATTGGGGGTTGGATCATGTTCAAAGACATGACGTCGCACAGGCTGATATCGCTGCGCTCATGTCCTATCTCATCGGCGCCGAGTTTCCTGTAAACTCCGTAGGCAAGCTGCCTCTCCCATACTTATCCGCAAATACCCGTCAAAAGGCGGAAGCGCTGTTGGCCAATGCTCGCGAGATATTAGAGATGTATAGGGTGAAGGAAGAAAAGAAGCAAGCAAACGAAATGAGATATAAACCGTATGGTGCCTTTGGCGATGCAGGTCTTGCTCCGGCACAACGTGTGGCCAACATTGATCAACTAATCTCCCTCGGAAAATATGAAGAAGCTATCGAGGAATCCGACGCCCTCATCAACATTACCCTGGAAGGATTGCGCTATCTTCAAACCTATGATTGGCTATTTCTGCGAGCCTTGATAACAGTCGGATACCTCGGTTGGATAGCATATGCTATTGCAACGGTGATCAACTTGTATGTGGTTCCGACGTCAACTGCACCCAAACGCAGCACCTCGACCATCCTTGGATTTCTTTCCATCTTGGCGGCACTATATGCGTCCTTCATAGCATCCAAATCTCCTTCGACGTATTACGCATATGCTCTCTTTCCCGTTGTATTCTGGGAAGAAGTTTACGCTCAGAGGGGGAACCTGCAAGAAGGAGGCCGGTTGCTCTTTGGGCATATGGGATCAGCCGGTCATATTGCAGCCTTTGCTGTAAATGCAATTATTTACTGTGCCGTTATAGTATCTTTGGTAAGTTCACGCGTGTGTGACCCTATGAATGTTGCTGACTTAGTGTAGGCTCTCGGCTACATTCATCGTGAGATCCTGACCGGTCTGTTCATCTTGGGAACAATATGGCCCGTCGTGTGTGGCGCGTCCTTTATTCGCTCCAATGCTCTTCTCAGCATAGCATGGGCGATATCTTGTTTGGTTATGAGCACTTTCACGCTCTTGCCAGCAATGAAACACGAGAACGTTGACATGATGTATGTTGTATCTATACAAGTGGCCTCCCTTGCCTTTATCAATTCTAACATGTTGGAATAGCGTGGCCAGCGGTGTGATCATGAGCCTGATTGGAGTGCTCTATATGGGTTTTGAGCCTTTCGTACTGTCTGACTTTTCCTCTGAGCGTGCAAAGTCCAGTAATCACACAAATTCCTTGGTTGCTCGGGTGGCAACGGGTATTCAGGTATGTTTGCATTAGGCCTCTACAATACCATACATACGCAGGAAAGGTACTAAATACATATCACAGGTCGGCCTCATTATCCTTGCCACAATAGTGACACGCTCCAGCTCCCTATCAATTCAAGCCAAGCAAGGCTTGCCTCTGGGGAACCAGATCATGGGATGGATTGTTCTCGGTATGTCCTCTGATACGAAATATTGTCCCAGACATATGTTGGCCGGAAATTTTAACGAATAATAGTGTCATCTTTTTTGACCCCCTTGCTACATCGGTTATCGCCAAACAGCAATTTCATGCACCGCCTTGCCATGATGTTCTTCACGTGCGCTCCGACATTCATCATCTTCACGATTTCTTACGAGGGTCTATTTTATGTTGCTTTCTCACTTCTGTTGGTCATCTGGGTACGTCTAGAATATCGTATCGAGACGTTTGGCAAAAACCAAGCCGCCGGCACGAATGGGTCTGCAAAGACCGACAAAGCCGCATCGCATCGACCCTTGCGGCTATCGGATGCGCGTGTTTCCCTGTTCTTCATGGTCCTCCTTCAGTCGGCTTTCTTCAGCACCGGAAACGTTGCATCCGTCTCGTCATTCAGCTTAGACAGCGTTAATCGGCTGATCCCAGTGTTTGATCCATTTTCCCAAGGAGCACTGCTGGTTCTCAAGTTGATGATCCCATTTGTTCTCATTTCCGCAAATCTTGGCGTTTTGAACAAGCGACTTCAAGTGGCACCGTCAGCATTCTTCATGGTGGTCATGGCAGTCAGCGATATCCTGACCCTTTATTTCTTCTGGGTTGTTAAAGACGAGGGCTCTTGGCTGGAGATAGGATCCACTATCAGCCATTTTGTTATTGCCAGTCTTTTGTGCGTATTTGTTGCCCTGCTTGAAGGAGTCAGTGCCATGTTCATCAATGGGATTGATGTTGGCGACGGGTCATCTCAAAGCCCAAAGATTCAGGCCAACGGCAGCAAGGATTCGAAAAAGGAGAAATAGTGATAAAAGGACGGCGAGTAAGCATACGGGGCACGCCCAGCTACTTTCAGTTGCGAATAGAGAAGCTGTGGGCACCTTAATTATGACCTTACGATTATATCTTGCATTAGATTTAGAGATTAGCAGAGATATATTGCGTGCGTATGTAATCTTTGAACGGACGAAAACATAGACTGGTCGTTATTCATACTACCTCATACTCTAAATTACCTACTCTGGTAGTGTTATGCCAAGTTCTTGGGATTTATCCCTTACAGCCTGTACAGCCCCCTCGGGATTCGTTTCGCCAGGGTTTCGTAGCTGCCAAGCCATGCATATATCTAAAGCTTTGCCCGTCCAGACGCCTGGTGAGATGCCCAGTGCTTTAGCTAGAGCGCGGCCATCTATAAGACGTTTCAGGTTTGGAGCGTCGTAGACATCAAGCTCGGCGAGGTGTTTGAGGAATTTGTCCCATCCTCGAATAAATTCATCCCGGTCTATGATGGGTCAGTCAAAATCGACAATTCGCCTTAAACTCAGCGTTGCTGAATTTCGGAGCAAATGCTTACCTTTGTTATCCCCTGCAGGAAAGTCCTCTAGCTGCTCCATGGCATCGGCCAGTATCACTCCCAAGACCTGAAGCTTCCAATTTCCACCCACCGCTTCCCACTTTCTGATGGCCATACCGAACGTGTCTCGTTCGTGTATTTTCGGTGCAGATTCACATACCGCCTTCTTCAGTTCCAGTATCTCAGCACGATGTTTGTGACAGGCTCCCATGATGGTCGTGAGCTTATTCGAGGCTTTGAAACCTTCACGAGCAATGATACCAACCGGAGGGAGAGCATTCGCCTTCTGCTTGCGTCCAGATCGATCTTCTACAGGGATCCAGGGGCTAACAGCAGCGAGATTCCACGCCAGGTATGTGCTCTCCTCGTCGTCAACCAAGATTTGGCATATCGAACCAGGATCGCGATTCTGCAGTAATTCTTCGAGGCAGCTATACGAAACGTGCCATCTAGATATGTCAGGCATCGTTGTATTTCCTTGCAGCGGATCACTGAAGATGGCCTGGTAGAGACCAAGGCGATCTATCAGCTCCAGGGCCACTCGGGGGGTTTTGCCTTTATTAGTTCATATCAGTTTGCCGCTCCTATCATGAGGTGAGGAGCTTGTAGGCTTACCTTTCAACATCTTTTCCAGCTCGACGCCAACCCTTTCGCGGCTGATCTTTTTCCGGAGAGCCTCAAGTACCCTCTCATCACTCATAAACTTTTCTGACTCTGCGTCTATGGTAAAACCTAACCGAGAAGCGAACCGAATTAGGCGCAGTACTCTAAGAGGGTCGTCCATAAACGTCTGGAAAGGCTCCAAGGGGGTTCGAATTGTCTTGGCATCCATATCACGGATTCCGCCAGTAAAATCCTCAATCTGCTCCGTGTGCAAGTTATAAAATAGGGCATTTATAGTGGCGTCACGACGCAGAGCATCTTCCTCTGCAGTTCCAAACTCCATCTGAGGATTGCGACTATCTTCGGCATATGTCTCTTTGCGAAGATTGACGAAATCCAAGTCCATACCAAACAACTTGATCATGGCAGTCTCAAGATGCTTGGACTTGTCTGGATTGCTTGCGATGTGATGAAGCCTACCGATATCTCCGGGAGCAAATCCATGAGTCTGAGCGGCGTCAGGTTGCTGGCAATACTCTGAAAGATGCTGTGCAAATTGCTGTCCGGTCATGGCATTAATTGCCACGTCAATGTCGTGGCTCTCTGTTCCCAAAAGCCTATCCCGCACCCAACCTCCTGCCCAACGCAATACCAGCGGCTGGCCGAGCTTCACCGTCGTATCGATGAATTTGGCGACATTTACGAGGAGAAACCGGAGCTGCTGCTCCCGCTGGGTGAGCTGGACCGATCTGTTTGTCGACATGGTGGTGTTTAAAGCTGTGTCTCCCAGGAATGCGCTGAGTTTCCTCTTCATCATGAGGCGAGGGCCATATAGTCGCGACAACATAAAATGCGCGGTTACATTATCCTCTGCTTAATTGACGGTTAGTCATATCACCGATGGGTTGTGAGTAGTGGGTTTTTTGAGTCATACGAGGCGCGAGTTAAACAATGGACTTTTAGAGAGGTCTGCGATAAAGCTGTGCCTGGTATCCTACCCTAGAAAGTATGGGGTAGCTCGCGGGCTACATTGATGGGAGAAGCATCGAACGCAGCCTAAAAAAAAGAGTGTTACAATAGGGAGATTCTGGCCTTGAGTACCTCAGGTATGAATCGAATCGAATCGAATTAATCATTCGACAATGACATGGAAATTACTTTCACGACGAGCCACATGGAATGTGACATGGCAGGGTGTGACGTCATTATAATATTTGGCTTGCTTCATGCTATATCTTGCTATTCCATGCCGTTACGAACATCATCCGCCCACGATGGCATAATTTCCCTACACGCTGCTTCATAATCCTTTAGTTTTTGTCCCTTGGCGCTCAGCTCCAGAGTTGTCCAAAACATCGCCCAATTGCAACCCGCCAGCTTACTGGTCCCTACCGACCGCTCAAAATACCATTTATTGACGGGGTTATCCTTTCTGCTCCTCCAAAGCACGCCGTCAGGGAAACAGTCTCGGACCATGGCGTTGAATATGATGTCGGCAACCCCCCCACTGCCTTGACGGCTCCGGAGGACGGCGAATTTGTCGAGATATGGAACGAAGCGCCCCTGCTCATAGGCTGCTTGAGGGTCAATGTCATTGGGTTTCTCCCAGGTCAAAATGGCACATCCTTCGTATTCTCCCGCAATGATGACCCCGGCCAGGTTTTCTTTCGTACGCCGCAGGTAATCATCCACGTCCAGCTTGCGGCCGAAAGAATCCTCAATCAGAGTGACAAGTCGCTTCAAATCGATCTCCTTGTCTGACAGCTGCAGACGTCGCTCCCCAGGAGCCGGAGGACTCCATGGCGCCCTTCTTGGATCGGGGTAGATGGCTAGTGGCATGCCTCGTTTGACAAGAGTTGCATCATTCGACTCTGTCGTGTTCAAATATGCCGAATCCGGAGAGTGAATGCGCTGGAGGGGCAACGACGGGGAGAACACCGGCTTGTCAGTGAGGAGATTGTGAAGCAGGGGATTTTGTTTTCTGCGAGTCGTGACCATCCCATCAAACCCAAATTGATACTCGCCGTTTCGTATTGGGGAAAGCCCCGGAGACGAAGAGGTAGATGATGTGTTGGCCGCAGCGAAGGGGGTAGTTATGAGAACGGAAGCTGTTTCTGGTAAAAGAGAGAGGGTATCCCTTGCTAACTTGATGTTTTTGGCATGGGATCTATTTGCCTCCTCGGATAGACTGTTTTCCGGTTTTGATGATCTTTCATCACCCTTCAGATAACTCTGGAGCGTGTCATATTCTTGCTCGAGATTAACAAATCGCTGACAGACGCCGGGACGACCAGGCACAGGAGTACCTCCGAATGCATCCAGGATAATGACTCTCTCGACAGAAGCAAGCGGTTCAGCGCCCTGCCCAAGACTCCCATTCTGACTGTGATCGCGATCTTGCTCGAACTGGATTCCCGTAAAGTATCTCGTCAGTGCAAGGGAAGTTCTTTGAGCATCAGCAGGCGCGGGGGAAGTAATCTCATCGTTCCGCGCAAGAGATGGAATCACCGTGATCATGTTGTGTTGAAGTGCCCGATTGAGGATACCATAATCGTGAACATATATATCATCCCAAAAAGGAGAGGGCGAAGCCCCATGATAATGGGATGTACCGACAAGTACTTGTTCAACCAGTCTGGCGCCTGGTTTACCAAACGAATCGACGGCCTCACAGAGCCTCAAAGCCTCGTTTTGAAAGGTGGAACGACTCTCTCCTACATCACAATCCACAACGACGACGCTCAAAAGGCCAAGAACCCGAAGCTGGGTTAGGGTCTTGGCTATTCCGTTTATTGTGTCTGGCTGTAGTTTCTGCGGGTTCCGCAGGACCACAATGGCTACATCAAAGGGCCGTTGGACCTGAAGCTGTTTTGAGAGAGGTTTGTGCTGATGCTCAACTTGCTTCGATGCTCCAGCTGTAGAGGTGGGCTTTGGTAGTAGAGCATATTTTTGAAGATAGCCTTTGGCATCTCGCCTCGTGGCGGATGACTCTAGAACGGATACAATGACATCCTGCTACAGTGTTAATTATTTCGACAAGGCCATTGGCATGATCGTGCAAAGTTGCCGCGATCTATAACTCGGCAAGTAACTGATACGCACCCGATCAAGTTTTTGCTTCTTCGCTCGGCCCGCGGTGGGCGAAGAAAAGCTGCGAGCAATGGGGTTCCCAAATGTCCCAATTGCTGCTCTATTTTTCACTATGGACCAATTCAAAGATGATGAGAATCGTGGGGCCAGCTTTTTCCCGAAACAAAGTATGCCGCAATTCTGATGAGAAGAGTTGATGTTGGCACGGGTCCAGTATATGCTAGAGGCCATACCGCATCTCGGACCCCCGGAAGGGAGCCTTGATGGGGTTGTGAATCCAGAAACGCCTTGTGTAAGATGAATTGATAGTGCTCGTAACCCGGTAACTGCAGGCTTACTTCAAGAAATACACCCTGAGAGATATCTTGCCGGGGGATTAAGTGGAGGGAATTATGAAGGTAGAGGCGGATGAAACCAATTAATTCAAGCAGCAGTTATGACTGGGAGCAAGCAAACAAGCAAACAATGATGACTTGTCAATCCAATGGCCGATTATAGACACTGGTTAGTTTGTTACAGAGGCATTGGATGGGGTAACAAAGAAACTGATACCCTGTCGTGCACGTTGCAATTGAGCTTTGATAGGAAATTCTTCCAGTGTGGAGTTGCATGTGCTCGCTCGGTACCTGCACCGCAAATTCCCGGTGCCAAGGGACCTAACGCACGTATGACTCTTTGCCGTTACCGGCCATTTCCACCGAGGGTCGTCATACCTTAAATGGACCTCGAAATGATATTTGAGATAAGTCATTCAATTCCTCTCATACATACAAACTATCTCATGAATAGTGTATAAATGCACTCTGAGAACTTCAACTATTCTTCCCCCCTCCAACGAACCTCCTCTCAATTGTTCCCTCCTAAGTCAAATGTTTACCCATTTTGTAATATAGACACTAATTCATCCCCCCATAGGGAAATGAAACTGCAGGCAATCTGCCAATTACATGCAAGGATGCATGCAATAATTCGTCTCAAAACCCGCTCCTCAGCCACGCTTCCAGGCTGCCTTTGGGGTCATAAAAACGCCTAGCCCATGAAACGTGACTCACGCCGAATGATGATTTTCTCGGCTTGCCACCACTACAATCCGTATCTTGAGGCTCGAGTCTCACAAATGGCCAAATTCGCGGGTTCTTCTTATATGTACCTATTTAATATGCTGTGTGTTAGAGGAAAGACGACGCGGTTCTCACTCATCACCACCTCGCCTTCCACCAATCGCTCAATAATTCTTGAATAATATATACAGCTGTCAATCTCCCATACTTTATGAATAATACGTTCTCTCTTTCAACCAATCCCTGAAGACACCCGCGTTTCCAATGGAGCAATTACCAGTTGATGCGACCGCTGAGCGGCGCTTTCAAGAGTCTCACGATACTGCGCTCTGTTTGATACCTCCACCCCAATCTTGGGGGCCTATCAATGCGCTGCGATCACTCAATGATGAAAAATCCACAAAATGGCCGCCACATGTTACTCTTGTTTATCCGTTTGTCACGCCAGAAGCCCTCCCTGATGTGGCTGAGGCGCTCTGCCAGCATAAGATTGCATCTCAGGATGAAGACATCCCCATCAGCTTGGAGGAAGCTGGAGCCTTTTCTCACCGCCGACGAAGCACCGTCTTCATTCGGCCGAACCCCGGACAGCAAGTCAATCGTCTCTCAGAGCTGAGAGACCAAGTCTATCGTTTTCTCGGCTGGCCCAAAGGCAGAGAGTACCGGCCTCACTTGACGCTTGCTCAGAGCGAGGATTCTCAGACATCATGGCACCAATTTCTCCTGGAAAAGGCTCGGCTTTTGACGCCGTTGACATGGCATACCCATCAGCTCGCAATAATGATACGTGACCATCAATCGCCGAACGGCACCGCAGCCTCGCGACCAATGAGGCTTTGGGGGTACATCGACCTGACATCTCAGTCTGTTGTTCGCGATCCCGCAACTTTGGCTGCGATCCCTGCTCTGCCAGTGGATATTTCTCTGCCACGCCCTCAAACCACATTTCATCATGATGGAGTGAACTTGTCATGGGAGCCTCTTTCAGAATCCATCACTAACACAGACGTTGAGCCAACTCAGCTCAATCGTCTTGTTATCGCCTCTTACAATGTCCTGGCCGAGTTTGACTGGCCACCGAGCTCATCTCGCTATCTAGAACTTGTGGGCAATATTCTCTCGGAGCGCGCCTCCGCTGATATTCTTGTCCTTCAGGAAGTCACCGATCAGTTTCTCAGTTTTCTACTATCCGACTCCAACATTCGCTCGCAGTATCCCTACGCCACTCATGGACCACCCGATCAGCATGGCGTTGCTCCTCTTCCTAGCCATTTAAATATCGTTGTTCTAAGCAAGCTTCCATTTCGGTGGGAGTATCTTCCGAGCTTTAAACACAAGGGCTTTGGGATTCTCAAATTCCCGACAGTTCGAGTGGGTGGGCATTCAGACTCTCTCCCAATGCCCCTAGTATTGGCAGCTTGCCATCTCAGCAGGGGCCTAAACGATGCTGCCCTGGCGACTAAAAGAGACGAGCTGAAGAGACTTACCGAGCACTTGAACTCTTCGTTTCATCAACACTCATGGATAGTTGCAGGCGACTTCAACTTAGCCTCGTCCTCACATACAATCGATCAAGCGCTGCAAAGGGGCGAAGTTTCTCAAAAGGGCCTCGCTTGTCTTGAAGAAATTGAGGCTACATTGTCCAAGGCTGGGCTCCAAGACGCATGGTTAGTTTCCCGAGTTGGCCCTGGAGAATCTTCGAGTACAACGAAAAATCATGAATCGGATTTGGGACTTTATGAGGGAGAACAGGGAGCAACCTTTGACCCAATCTCCAACACCCTTGCTGCGGCCTCGGTCAGTGCCAACGGTAATCGTCCACAGAGGTATGATAGGATTCTAGTCACCAAATTTGCTCAATTATACCCTCATGGATTCAACATGTTCGGCCAAGCCATGAACGCAAGCGGGAGTATCTCTCAGAACCCGGCTAGCGACCATTGGGGCATTCGCTGCCTTCTTATGCTGTCACCATCCAATGTGGGCGTTGATACTCCCTCTAGTTCCAAGTTCCAGGAAACCAGCCTACACAAAGCCTCTCCAATATGGGGCAGCTTCGAGGAGTTGAAAGCCAGTTTGGTATCCAATGGCCAATTTCCTTCTGCTTCGGATGCGGAGCTTAGACAAGAAGCAGTAGCTCTGTTGCAAAGGACTTTGCTAGAGAATGATGCCACTGATGACGCTGAAAAACGCTCACAAGTTCAGCTTGTTCTCATCCCTGTGGGATCGTTTGGCCTTGGCGTGTGGACCAGCTTGTCGGACATAGACTGTCTCTGTGTAGGCAACATAAGTTCCAAGACATTTTTCTCTTTGGCGGTGCACAAGTTGAAGAAGGCTTCAGCGAACGGTATAAAGATCCTGCGTCGCGTTATGGCAAATACCGGAACAATGCTTGAGTTGGAGATCCGCGGCATCAAGTTTGATCTTCAGTATTGCGCTGCCGCAGCAATCGCTCAGGGGTAAGAGTTGGATATCTCTTCTCTTTGATTTGTTTTATTCTACTGGAATTTGCTAATGGTACAACCAGATATCCCGATGTTTTGAAACGACCTGCATCAGACCCTATCTTCTCCTTGCCGGTACAATCAATAGCAAAGCTTAAACCCGCTCGGGATCTTTTCTACCTACGGAGGTCCATTCCTGATATGACCAAATACCGTGTGGCGCATCTTTTCATCAAGGCCTGGGCACAATCCAGAGGATTGTACTCGGCAAAATTCGGATTATTGGGGGGGATTCACATCACCTCTTTGCTGGTGCCTGTTTGCAAGGCCTTGGCAAATGAACCCGAGGCAGCCTCCACCGCCGATATTTTGACCTCCTTTTTCTACCACTACTCGAAGTTCGAATGGGAATCAGGAGTGGTATTCGATCCCTTTTACCATCGTGACTTGAAATACCATCGCACGTTGAGGGAGCCACTTTGCCTGCTTGGTTGGCATGGTCCATCTCTTAATACAGCGTCCAGCGCCTCCATCTCCACTGTCAATGCTTTGGCCTCTGAGTTGACCAGAGTGGCAGCTCTTCTTTCTCAAGACGATATGACATGGAGCAAGTTTCTCGGCATGGAGCTATCTGGAACTCCGTCGAGCTTGATAGAGAAAGGCGCGGCTGATTTTCTTGGTTCCTATCGAACGTACATCAAAATCAGTGCCCGCTACTGGGGATCCTCCCAACAGAAAGGAAGAAGGTACCTAGGTTGGTTAGAGTCGAGATTTATATCCATACTCGTTGGTAAGTGTCTTCACGAATGCCATAAAAAACACAGCAAGTACTCACCTATAACATAGACATAAGCCGAAAGACTCTGGGCCTTGTACCACGTATCTGGCCCGCCAGATTCATAGACGAGGATCCAACCAGCGGTGCCGGTGAAGAGAATTCGGAGCTTTCGGCATGTTATTTGATAGGCCTTAAGTGGGTTGATAGTATTGCGGACAAGTCTGCAACGAGCCAGGCCGCCGCAGAAGGCAACATCCGCGTCATTCTCCAAGAATTCGAATCTCGCATCCAGAAGAGCGACAAATTTTATGACGCCGAGCACTGTTGGATGAGCGCATCCATTGTGCGCCGATCTGGCCTCGGCCCTGTGAAGCTTGCACCCGGACAGCTCTACGAGTACGATGGTGCCGATACAGATCTCGACGACGAGGAGAGCGACTCGGAAGAGGAAAATGAGCCAGCGAGCGAAATTTACGCCTCCAGGAAAGAGTCTCGATCACTGAAAACAGGCGCCTCCAAGTCTATATCCGAAGTTGTTAAGCCGGCTGGGGCAGGCAAGCTCCGCAGCGCAGTCGACGCCATGAATCGCATCCGATGGGATTCAGGCATGGACTCTAGTGACTACCTAGTTGGATACGAAGATCGTTTCCTCGGAGCTCAGGAGAAGGCATTGGACAACTGGAGAACCGAACAAACAGACGAGGAATTCATTCCACAACATCGAATCTTGTACTTCAAGCGCAAGAGCGATGGAGTAATTGTGTGGGATAGGAGGACACGAGTAGATACGATATTTGGTAGCGGACAAAGAACGTCCAAAGTTGATGCGTAAAGCATTGTGTGCTAGGTATATTGGTATATTAGGGTAAAACTATTATATGATTATAGGGTTGGCTATTGCATCCACGGCTATTGCGCGTAGCATATAGTCAAATCCAGTTTGAGTAGCCATGCGTATAGAGGACATCTAGTCAGGGTTTGGTTTGATAAGACTACCCAGAAGCCACCCTTAATTCTGCATTGCTCTATTCGAGTGATTTATTTCATGATTGGCACTTATCTGTGCGACTGATAGGGAACCCGTTCGTCTAAGAGAGACCAATGTTGCTTTGTAAATCCTCTGACGGATACTCATTCAACCTTGTGTGGTCTCGTGTGAGATGGGTCGAGTCCTTGGCATTATCGCATGCGTCTGTCATAGATCTTCATGACGCCTAAGTGGCAAGGCTCATAAAAACGCCTGCAATCGACTGCTTGTCATACTTGACGTATTTGCCCTTTCCTTTATCAATCTCGTGGTAACGATCCCAAAATCGTTCATACAACGGTTGCAGCTTTTGGCGAATGTCTTGCCCAAACATTGCTCGTACTTCGCGGTCCATGCTGTAAGATTTGTGTTTCCCTACCATGTCATCGAATGCGTTGTTGAACTGCGTAAACTTGTCCTTGATCTTGTCCTTGTCCTTGCTGTTGAGGCCCTTCACTACCGATGCCGAGTCGGCAGAATCCGCATGGCCAGACGTCGGGCGCTTGGTTCGGTTTGTGTGGATGGTATCGAATAGATGGACGGATATGTCCCTACATATATCGGTGTACATGACAGTCGCCTTCTTCCTCCACTGGTCAAGCGAATCAAGACGACCATCAAGCAGTGGTCCAAGCTCTGAACTGCGAATCACATGGTCTATAACGACAACACTGTTGGCTAAGAAGACGCCCAACAGGGACTTGCTTCTGAGCAGCACGCGGGCTTTTTGGTCCAAGGAGGAGAGCAAGACTTCGATAGTGTCAAGACAATATTTGGCGAAGAGGTCCTTACCATCGGCGCCAACATCAAATGAAGCTAGGCTCGGTATTCCCTCTGTCGTGCGGCCGTTGGCAGCAGCTCCAGGATTCCAGCCACCGTCGCCGAGAGATATCATGATGCTTGAGATGGGCCTTAAAAACTCCACCATTGAGTTTAATCGCTGCATCGTCTCCGCCACGATGGGACTTGCAGCTCCATCCGTTGGGAGCGTCTGCAGGTTGCCTATTTTCCGCTTGGTCTCTTCTAGCAACTCGGCGAGAGAAGACTTGGCTGTCTCGCGGACGGGTTTCAGAGCGGCAGATAATGATCCCTTTAGCTCACCTGTCCGCTTGTCGAGGTTATTCGAAAGACCGGAGATGATTTCGGTAACTTCGTAGGCCATGTAGCAGTCGGTGGTAAGATGGGATTTGATGTGAGTATTGAGCTCTCGCAGAGTTCGGGCCAGTTCAGTCACAGCAGCTTGGCACGTCGCCTGCAGGATGGGGCCCCAATCCTCACGCGTAAAGATACTGCAGATATTGTCATATTCCGCAATAAAAATGCCCTCCATAGCCTGTGTGTATGTTCCAATACCATTTGCGCCTGCTTGGTATATATCGCCTGGGTTCTTCTTCTTGGCGGTATTGACACTCGCCGCGGCCAAATTAGCTAGAGAAGCTGATAAATATGGCCCTCGTATATCGGCGTATATCTTGGCGACAGAAGAGTCGAAGCCGTTGGCGTAGTTTCCCGCAACATGAGAGTAAATGAGGCCCAGCCTAGCAATCTTGTCTTGGGAAAGCACGGGAAAGGGCTTGTCTTTGGTGATGTAGTGGAGCGGTTCGAGTGATCGGGGGGTTTCGCCGCGTAGAATCTTGTCGAAATGGTTCTCTAACTGCGTATTTCCCAGCTTGATGAGACGGGTCAGGTCGTTCATGGTGCCCTGGTTTGCGCGCAGATTAGACGTCTGCATTTCCTTGTATGAAGTGCTAATCCGTTTGATAGAAGCCAAGTAGTTGGACAAGCCGGCTTTTTCAGGCCCGGATCGAATGATTTGCTCCTCGTCATCTTTGCTATCCGAGGGTTGCCGTAGGCGATCGATGGCAGCAAGCACAGACTCGACATCTAGCTTCCTTACTTAGCAGTAACTCCAGCTTTGGCAAGAGAGTGCGACTAACTCTTGGAAAGTGTTTGCAGGCGCCTCGTTTCTCCGTTTAGAGGACCAGCGACATCTCGTACGCTCTGGCCCGTAGCTTCGAGTCGGCCGAGGGAAGCTTGGATCTTCTTCGTCAATTGGGTGGTTCTATCGAGCCTGGAATTCAACACGTCAACCTCCGCTCTAGCTTCCTCGTCTATAGCATGGTATGTGCTATTGGACAAAGCCCCAATAGCCATGACGCGTGCGACAGAGATTCGGCTGCTTGGAAACGAAGAGAGTTGAAGAGCAATGTCATCGACAATACGGAGTTGCAGGGGGAGTCGTATCCGGGGGCTAGCGGGAGATTCGCCGACCGATAAGAGCTAGATGGCATTCGCTCTCAACGTAAACCAGGATTAGGTAATCAGCTTAGAATACCGGTATAAACACAACATTTACATATCGAGTGCTGGAAACATGATATATTCTGTGCATAATAGACATTAAATATCATCATTTATCAACTCAAGTTCAAGGCGCGATTCAAACCAGCAAATTTGATCTATATAATCGGTTCTAGGTTTAAAAACTCCTCAATTTCTTGGTATACATAATTCAGATCGGCTTCTTCATCTTTTCCCTTGGACCAGTTATAAGTCAAGTCCTTATTTCGGCTCAATAATTCTCCTATTACCTCTGCTCGGTCGGTGATAATCTCTGGTATCCCACTTATTCTAGCACATTGGCTGCCCAAGCTTGTCGAGCTGTATCCTTCAACTAGCTTGAACAAGTAAATGACCTTGGCTTCCGCATCAACAGCATGCGAGTCAATTTTCACCTCCATGTGTGCTAATGCGAGTTGACCATAGTGATTCAAATAGCCATTGGCAAATATTTCGTAGAAATGTGTAGCCGCCAACACTTTTGGTGACTTCGTTGCGGAAGAAAGAAAATAGTCTAGCATTGCTGTGAACATCCCAACACCATCATCGGCTGTAGTTCCATTTCCAAACTCATCCAGTATGATCAGGCTTCGTGATGTAGCATATTTCATGGCATGTGAGACTTGTTTCAGATCTAGTGCGAAGGTGCTTCCAGTACTGGACACGCTCTCTCTTGACGAGATCCGAGTCAAGATTTTGTCCACCGTGCCTATGATAGCTTTATCAGCTGGTACAAAACTACCAATATGTGCCAAGTAAACGATAGCTGCAACCTGTTTGATATAAACGCTTTTCCCAGACTGGTTTGGTCCAGTCAACACTAACGCTTGGACTCGACGTCCTGGTGCCGTATTGTCATCGCCGATGAAGCAATCGTTGGGGATAAATGAAGGAGCCAGCAACTCTTGTAGCGGATGTCTTCCACCTGTGATGTTAATGGTGTTTTCAATTGTCATCTGAGGTGCTTTCCAGCCATACTTTGCAGCGCCAATAGCAAGAGCAAGAAGGGCATCGAACTCTCCGCAAATGGTTGCAGCCGCTAAAAGCGTCTTCTCATGGGCAATAATATCCACGGCTAGCTTCTGCATCACTTCAACTTCCCTATCTTCTGATCGTTAGCAAGTCTATAAGCTTGGTCAGACGACACGAAGCCTACCGCTGATTTGGGAGTATATATCTCCAAACTGGTTGTCGAGGTCCGTCATATGGCGATTTTTATAGTAAGCCGTTTCATTATCGGTGAAAGATTTCTTCCATAGACCATCTCCTGTAAATTCCGCATCGAAAATACTGCCATTGGTTTGCTGGGAGTCTTGCTCTACTACAGTCAAAAATCCAAGCTGAGGAAGGAAAATGCATGATTTGATATGCCGGCGTGCCCACATTGGCAAATCTTGAATAACACTGTTGGCGACCTCTGTCAAGAGGCTATCTATGCCGTCATACAGCCGTTTCAACTCATCTAATTTGACGTCAACGCCGGGCTTGACTGAATAGCGTTGCTGGAACTTTGCCGCTTCAAAGTTGACAACTCTATCAATCATGCTGCCTACCAGATTGAAGGCTGGGGGAGGGATTCCGTCGACAATCTAAATTGTTGTTAGAATCAGTGTCGGACAAATTTTAGGCCACTCACTCTGCGAATAATACTGCCCTGGTTCGGGTTGGATAGAGCAATTGCAATTTCTCTGAGTTTGAGGGATTGAGATGCGAATCTTCTCAGTGTACCCTATACACTAATGCTGAATGATTTGCGGGAAGACGGAGAGTTGATACCCTTGTGAAGATGTGACATTGTATGCGCTATATCTCCCATTTTTCGAACAATAGAGACAGCGCGTCTTGTCTTTTCCTCGTTGTTGATTTCCAGAAGCATGGAAATAGTGCGTTGCCGGTCAGTGATGATGTCGAGGTTTGATGTAGGATTAAGAAACATGTGTCGGAGGTGGGTTCGGCCCTGGGGGGTGGAAGCCAATGGATGAAGGAGACCATATATCGAGAGGTTCTCTTTTCCAACTGAGCTCTTAGAGTCGACATTCCAAGCTTGGCTATTTGGGTGTGACTCGTGATTGATGATCTGTAAGGATAGGAGGGACTCCTCGCTGATAAAAACATGATCCAATAAGTTAAACATTGTAATAGATACCACATTGAAAAGGTTTTCTGTGATAGAGCTGCTTAAAGATGACGCGAGCGAACGACGCCGATGTAGCTCTGTAAAAACGGCGCCTGCGCAGCTCAACTGTTCTTATGAGTCTTCGTCCAGACATCAACTTTGACGCGATTGTCTACTTACGGATGCAACACTATCTAGGTCAATCAAAGAGCCGCAGCGGATTAGTTTCATGCAATGAGGTTCTTGGCGATCGAGGGTTTGAGCCTGGATATTCTTTTCACCAGATTGTCTCTCAATATTTGACGGAGATGTAATCGGAAATGAGGAAACTCCGTGAGGATATAGCGATGACAATTCTTCGCAAGCAAACATGTGCGAGAAATCAGAAGAAGACATTAAACGCAAAACAAGCCCTGATAGTCGAACAGATAAGGAGTTAAAACGATCAGCTATGCCAGATGCTGAATGCACAGGAAAATGCTTACTGTTAGCATTCTTCTCCGCATGCTTTTCAACAAAGGCCAGGATTGTTTCCGGAACTCGCCGTGACATCAGAATTGTCGTCGCCTGCGCGAAATTGAGAAATTGCTCTGCTACGTTTTCGTTCACCATAGGTATGTCATTCGCTATCTTGAGAACACCGTCCGCCGTGGAGAAGATGCTGCATCCCATCATCTTCTTGTCTCTCACGTCTAGAGCGACGATGGACTCCCTGAGGTCGTCGGCCCCGGCGTCTTGGTCGCACGCGACATTTTCTGCGGCTTCCATCGTGAAATCTCTTAATAGAAGGAATTGTACGAGGCGTGGGCGTTGTTGGATAGGTGAAGTTGTTAGGGCATGAGGTAGTAGGAGGTAGGGGCTAGGGAGTAAATGATACGACAATGAAAGGCAGGAGCGATGCGATTCCCCTCGTATCTCACTTATCGATAGGATCATGTTGCTTGGGCAAGAGCCGAGTACAATGTATCACCACAAGCACTGGAAAACGAGAAGCGGATAAAGAAAAGTAATCGAATTATAATTAGACACGCGCCATACGCCCCCGGCAAGACTGTAGTGGTATTATTCCTCGCTGTTGAACATAGACAGGCACAGGCGCCTAGAACTCTGCGACAACGTCACCAGTATTATTTATAGGGATGATACGATCTCGTCCTCCTCCACGCGAATCGAGTGCTCCGAGCCCATTGCTTGTACAGTGGTGAGTGCCTTCTCCGGCGCGATTACAGCAAAGCCCCTATGAAGATATTAAGAACTGTTTTGGACTTATAGAGTTGGAAAACGTACCTGATGATCGTGTAGACATGTGTGATCTTGCCACCGGCTTTGAGGATGTTGTCCTTGACTTGGTTGACGACCGAATCTGGTGTGGAGGCGTCATCAAACCAAATGATGGCTGACTTCTTTTGATCAACAGCAGAGCCGAGTTGGAAAAGGCTTAGAGCCGCGACGAAAAACAGGCTGTACTTCATATTGGCGGAGGTGAGTGAGTAGGTAGTGTGATGACAATACCGGAGTCGACGATGTTGCGATTGTCAGTGGGAGGATGGAGACGGACAATCTGGCACCATGCCCCTTGTAGTTTAGTACTACGCTACTCACCACAGTGCTCCTTACCTAAGAATAAAACATTACCTAATTAAATTCTAAGAGAGAGAATTAAATAAATTGTTTAATTTCATTTAGCTTTGTTACATAGTATCTATTAAATGTATAGTGTTAATAATATATCAATAAAGTAATCAAATAATTAATATAACAATAAAAAGTTCTTTAATTCTCGAAATATATAAGATACATACAACTTATATAATAAATTTACCTTATTTCATCGATGTGACTTAAGAAACTGTTAATAAATAATAATTAAGAAATACACAACAAAGGATAAATTGAATTCTAAAAATAGACATCTCCTAAACACCTCGAAGCATTACGGATTGTGGCGCAAGTGAAACGCGAAGCTGCCTCCAAACCCCTGTTCTCTCAGAGGCCCATTGATAGTCGGCTGGTGATTATTCAATATGTGTATATGCTAGATGTTGGTATTCGATTCCTTCCCCCCCAAAACACTGTTTGGATACTTATTCATAAACCACACAGAGGGGCTATTGTCGGCCGATGCTTATTCCAGCAAAGGGATCAGCTATCGGGCCTAGTCCGTAATGTCGAGTCCGTGCTACGATTACGACGCATATCGCTTTGAAAGCTTGTGACAATGTCCTCCGAGCTGCCAGACGACGACCGGACGGCACGCTCGCCGCCTCTGGTTTTACAAGGCGCCAATTCGTCCGATAACCACCGCGAGCCAACGAGGTCGAATAACGAACCCGGAGTGTCAACCTACTGGCATCCGTCCTATAGCTCGTCTTCTCATGATAGTATAAACTTCGATTCGCATATAGATCCTACGGCGCTGCAGGCAGCGCTTCCTCCTGATATTCCACCACCTCTCTCGCAATCACCACACTTTGCTCCAGATTCATATCACCCGTTCGATGGAGGCTCGCAGTACATCGAAGAGTCGGCGAATCCGTACTATTCGGATTCTGATAGAGTTCCGCTTACGGCGGGAGTGCAGCCGATATCTGGCACCCATATCGAAGACACTCGCGGAATCCTTGCTAGAGACAGTTTCCAGACTGTTCGTGACGACGACAATACTCCAATCCGTGACCAAGAGGGAAAGGGACTTGGACATGGTTCGAATTCGGGTTATCTATCCGCTGGTCATCAAAGTTATGGGTTAACACTGGATCCTGGAGACTTTCGCCTATCGCGATCACCGTCTACATCTGGAGCCTTTCATCGCGCCGGATCAATTGTGAGGGCTATGTCCCAGAGAGTTGTGAATCTCAGCGGAGAATCAGATATCACCGACCAGGGATCTTCACGTTATCGCTCTCGCTCCCGCGACTCATCAAGTGAACGACCAGTCAACCCAGCAACGACGACGTACGGCCCGGAATCGTATTATGGCCGACCAGCTTCTTCTCGGGAGGAGAAGGCCGGTCAGAACCTGTTCTTGACTACCGATATTCCACCTCGCGCCGCTCGCGTAAAACCTCCCAATCCTCTCAAGGGCAAAACACTGGGCATATTTTCTCCAGAGAGTCGATTTAGATTATGGATGTGTGATATCCTGGTCAATCCATTCACTGAGCCCTTTATCTTAGTCCTTATCATCGCTCAAACGATTCTACTTGCCGTGGAATCCTGGCCAGACGTCTTCAGTCCTGGCAATGAGCGCCAAGAGCGATGGGGTAAAAAACCAATAGACTGGACTATACTGGGACTCTTTATCATATTCACATTAGAGATTGGTGCCAGGATTGTGGTTTCAGGGTTCATATTAAATGCGGCCGAATACAGTACCATTGATCGCAGCAGGGGCATCAGGGCAGCAGTTGAAGATCGATACAAAACCATTTTTCAACCCCAGCGACAAAAGTCAACGAAAAGAGTTCGGTCAACTCAACCTCAGGCCGCCCCTGCTTTTGCCCGCTCCTTTACAACGCTGATGCAGGGCCCACAGACTGGTCCAAAGACGATTGAGGACCAGCAACGCTTTCAATTGGCACGCCGAGCCTTTTTGCGTCATTCATTCAATCGCATGGATTTCGTTGCCGTTGTCTCTTTCTGGATTACCTTTGGGCTAAGTATCAGTGGAACTGAGCACCGACGCCATTTTTTTCTCTTCAAAATGCTGAGCTGCCTTCGCATTTTGAGACTGCTTGCCCTTACTCACGGCACTGCTGTAAGTGGTAGTCTATTTACTTTGACTTATTATGATGCCATACTTATGCGACATAGATTATCCTGAGAAGTTTAAAGAAAGCTGCCCCTCTCCTTGTCCGTGTAGCGTTTCTCATCAGCTTCTTCTGGCTCCTTTTTGCTATCATCGGCATACAAAGTTTCAAATCCAGCCTTAGTCGACAATGTGTATGGTTAGATCCGTTGGATCCCACCAATTTGACAGCCTCATTCACCAACAGTATGGAATTTTGCGGTGGCTACTTGGATAACGCGACTGGAGCCACGCGGCCTTGGGTAAAATTCAGTACCCCCGGATCGCTTGACAACCTGGCCAGGGGAACTGCCGAAGGGAAAGGTTTTCTGTGCCCTAGAGGATCGATATGCCTGCAGCAGGATAACCCTTACAATGGAACAGTCAACTTTGACAACATCCTCCAGTCCCTGGAGTTGGTCTTTGTCCTCATGAGTGCCAATACTTTCTCTGACTTGATGTATTACACTATGGGCTCAGATTACCCTCAAGCGGCTCTCTTTTTTGGCGCTGCAATCATGATTATGATGTTGTGGTTGACAAACCTGCTGATAGCCGTCATTACTTCATCGTTTCAGGTCATTCGTGAAGAAAGCAAGTCAAGTGCCTTTACGGTTGAAGCGGAACCATCTTCACAGTTGCACACAGATGAACGAAAACGAAAAATTTCGCCTGCACAGAATTTATACAGGAAAACCTCGTTCTTCTGGTTAGTTGTTGTTGCCTTTGCATTGCTCAGCGAAGCTTGCCGTAGTGCATCCATGTCACATACTCGAGAAAGATTTATCAACGCAGCCGAGGTTATTGTCACCATACTTCTCGATATTGAAATTATCATTCGAATTGTGGCCTTCTGGCCTAGGTTCCATCGCAGTTGGCAGAACTTGTTTGATTTAGCCTTGGCTATAATCACTTCCGCAATTCTTATTCCGCCTGTTCACAATACTCGGGTATATGCGTGGCTCACAGTCTTTCAAGTCCTTCGAGCATATCGAGTTGTCTTGGCAATCCCTGTGACGCGAAAGCTCATCTTGCTAGTGCTGGGAAGCGCGGCGGGTATTGGGAACCTTATGCTGTTTGTGTTTCTGATGACCTTCTTGGTGGCAATCCTAGCTGCGCAGCTCTTCAGGGGTCAAATCCCCGTTTACGACGATGATGGGAACTTGAATCGCATCTCATTCAACACCATATTCAACTCCTTTCTTGGCATGTACCAAATCCTCTCCAGTGAGAACTGGACGGCTATTTTGTACTCGGTCACCTCTTATACCACGGCAACGAAAACGGCTTGGATTGGTGCGATTTTCCTAATAGGCTGGTTCATTTTGTCATTCTTCATCCTGATCAACATGTTTATTGCTGTTATCCAGGAGAACTTTGATGTGTCAGAAGACGAGAAGCGTTTAGAGCAAGTCAAGGCCTTTCTTCAGAGGAAGGAACTTGGGCGTACGGCCAACAATCTTACACTGTCGACAATCTTCAGCTGGGGAAAATCTCGCCGCCGCAAGGATCCATTGGACTATGGCCCAGGCATGATGGAGATGCTTCTCAAGGATACCGTGGTGCAGGAGTTTTTGGATGATGAAGTGGCCGACCCTCTCCGTCTTAACCCAGAGCACAGAGGCCCACCGCAACGGAGCACGACGAGGCTGATGGGAGATGGTAGGCCGGGGTTTTTAAAGAAGATATGGTCCCGGATCCATAAGAGCGAGCCCAACCCCTTTTACTCCAATATCCGCTTTGACGGTCCGAATGGCACCTTGGACCCTCGACAAATGGCCCGGCAGGCGGTAACAGCAACGTCGGCTCGCCGTAAAGCCCAGCGAGATTACCTCGCTCAGTATCCACGATACAATACCTCGTTATACATTTTCCCTCCCACCAGTCGCATCCGGCGATTTTGCCAAGGTCTTGTAGGCCCAGCAAGAGGCCTCGAGCGGTTTGACGGCGTCGAACCCAACAAGATAGCCTGGTACACGATATCTACTTTCATCTACGCCTCAGTCTTTGCAATGGTTGTGATAGCATGTGTCACAACACCGATCTATCAAAAGGAGTATCGAGATCACCATCCTGCTACCATGACGCAATGGTATATCTGGACAGACATGGCCTTTGCTGTCATCTTCACAATCGAGGCTATTATCAAGATAATCGCCGACGGCCTATTATGGACGCCCAATGCATTCCTACGTAGCTCGTGGGGCATCATTGACGCAGTTGTGTTGATTACCCTTTGGATAAATGTTGTGACATTACTTATCGATGATGGTGCCATTTCGAGAGCATTGGGTGCATTCAAAGCCCTTCGAGCGCTCCGACTATTGAATGTCAGCGACAGCGCGCGGGACACGTTTCACTCACTCATCATAGTCGGATGGTGGAAACTTTTAGGTGTATGGAGAACACTATATTCCATTGACCTTTACTAGAGATTGCTAACACTGTCATAGGCCGCATTTGTGTCCATCTCTCTTCTGATTCCATTTGCCATTTACGGCTTGAATCTCTTCAGTGGAGAGCTAGTGTCTTGCAATGACTCTGGCGACATAACTCTCCTATCCCAATGTTTCGGCGAATTCAACAGCACCCCTTATTCTAGCGATTGGCCAATTTTGGCACCAAGAGTGGCGGCAAATCCGTATTTCAGCTTTGATGACTTTGGCTCGTCGCTCTTCACCTTGTTTCAGATTGTCAGTCAAGAAGGATGGGTGGATGTTTCTTTTGCTGCTCAAGCAATTGTTGGTCGCGGCATGCAGCCACAGGATGCGGCCAATCAGGGGAATGCCATGTTTTTCGTTGTATTCAATCTCTTGGCAACCGTTTTCATCCTGACTCTGTTCATCTCCGTCTTTATGAGAAATTACACAGAGCAGACTGGCGTTGCGTATCTGACAGCAGAGCAGCGATCATGGCTTGAACTGCGAAAGCTTCTGCGCCACATCTCACCGTCAAAAAGCTCCTATGATGAATCAGAAAACAAATGGAAGAAATGGTGTCACAAGAGAGCCATTGAAAAAAGAGGCAAGTGGTACCAAGCGGTTACCGTGGTGCTGGTTTTGCATCTGGCTTTGCTGGTTGCCGAGTTCAACGACGAGCCATCCTGGTGGACTACGACCCGTGAATACGTATTTTTACTCTTCAGCCTGATATACATCAGCAACATCACCATCCGAATACTAGGCCTGGGTTGGACGCGTTTCCGACGAAGCTCTTGGGATCTTTACTCTCTCGTAGCTGTATCGGGTGCTTTCATTGCTACTCTAGCACTGTTGATTGCAGACGCCAGGGCTGATACGTATGTGCAGCTGCAAAAGATATTCTTAGTGGCCATCGTTCTCTTGGTGATACCTCGGAACGACGCGCTGGACCAGCTGTTCAAGACGGCCGCGGCAAGTTTGCCTGTAATTGGTAACCTCCTGGCCACCTGGTTCGTGTTCTTCCTTGTCTTTGCCATTGCCATGACGCAGACCTTCAGCCTGACCCGGTTTGGAGATAATGAGGGAAGCGACACCAACTTTAGAACAGTTCCGATGGCTTTGATCTTCTTGTTTAGAATGAGCCTGGGAGAAGGATGGAATCAAATCATGGAAGACTACGCCGGCATCGAGCCGCCTTTCTGCGTCGAAGCTGACAGCTTTTTCGACAGCGACTGCGGCAGCAAGCCATGGGCCAGGTGCTTGTTCATAGCCTGGAACCTTGTCAGCATGTACATCTTTGTGAACCTGTTTGTCTCGTTGATTTTTGAGAGCTTCAGCTATGTTTACCAGCGTTCGTCTGGCATGTCTGCGGTTGATCGAGATGAGATTCGAAGATTCAAGGAAGCCTGGCGGAGTGTAGATCCAGCCGGAACTGGCTATATCACCAAAGAAGCCTTCCCACGTCTGCTCGGCGAATTATCTGGTGTATTCCAGATGCGGATCTATGAAGCAGAGGATTCTGTACGGCAAATCCTGGACGATGTTCGCGAAGATCTCAGGATGTCTCGCCATACCTCGATAGTCTCGATGGCTGCGCTGAATGACATTGATATCAACAGATTAAATGAGAGGCTCAGCCATCTGGATGTCAAAAAGATTCGCAAACGCCGCCATCGATTTAATATCTTTTACGAGGAAGTTCTCGTCAGCGCCGATCCCGATAAGGGAATCGCCTTCACCGATGTTTTGATGATTCTTGCTCATTACAATATTATCAATGATAGCAAGAGTCTAAGGTGAGTCCATACCGCCGAACTATAGACTAAAATTCAAATTGACTAACGATTGACAGGCTTGAGGAATTCTTGCGGCGGCGAGCACGGCTACAGCGTGTCGACGAAGGTATCCGACGACGGATCGTGCAGGGTTTCTTTGATACACTGTAAGTACAATTTCTTGGGCCCCTAAACATATGTGCTTGAACAGCGAGCTGACAAGATTGGCCCAGATACTGGTCACGCAAATTCAAAGCACACATGGAGCGAAAACGAGCCTCTCGCATGACAACAGTTCCGCAGCTTAGAATCCCGGATATTCTAGTTGAAGACGACGAGGATGACTCCTTCGCTGCACAGACAGAAGCGAAGATGTCTCAGGTCAGCATGGGTTCTGGTGAAGATGGACATAGAAAGTCGGCCTGGCCTCCGGAGTCGATAGCAGATGGCGGCGCCATGCACAATCACCCTCTCGGCCTCCCTCGCGCATCGTTATCGGCAAACGAGGAGAGCGGAGGCGTTTCGACATTCAGCTTCGAGCTCGAAATGCCAGATGTTCGGGAAGCGACGGTTGCGGAATTGTCACGCCCGGTGGACGATGGGAATCTAGACTCGGTCCAGGACATGCTGGATGGCTCAGTATGGATAGACAGCATCCGGCGGAGTGCGACTCTACGGAGCACAGACAGAAGCTCATATAGATATGATGATTTGCCCTAGTCATCGCTGGGCGATGTAGACGGGGGAAATTATTGGGGAATACCGTTTAGAATAAACATATTTACAGGCGAGTTAATTTTTGTTTAGCCGTAATCTATCTAATGCATGAACCTCTTTGTTGTGAATATCTTTCTTTTGCCACTTTTTGCCTTTCTCCCTTTTCCCCACGTCTTGCCAGTATGTCCCCCCTCCTTTTCTCATATGTTTGACAGCATCTTCATTTCCAATTATAGACATTATCGTGTGTTGTGAATGTCCAGGACCAGAATGTCGTGGGCTCCCACCCGGGTCAATTCATCCATCACCACAGCAATCTTCTTCTTCTCAACCATTGAGCTCACGGCAACCCAGCCGTCGTCCAGCGTTGTGATGGTTGGGGCCCGCTTTCCCGGTGTGATCTTTGTAGCTGCCTCGACGCCTGACCGTTCAATGTTGTATTGGCAAAGGACATATCGCTGGGCCGTGATGACACCACGTATCCGCGAGGCAATCAGATTGACCAACTCGGGGTTGGATGGTGAGCGGGACTTGATGAGGACGGCAGTTGAATCGACGACTGTGTCGATGGCTTTTAGTCCCGCAGCCCTCATGGTCTCTCCTGATTCTGCGACGGGTTTTAGTTTCGATATGCTAAGAGCCCGCCAATGGGGAGAAACGGGCGGAGAGAAAATGGCAGCAAAGGGAGCGCAAGCATGTAAAAGACCAACTTACCAACAAGGTCGACGATACCATCGGCGACACCCAATGCGCATGCCGCCTCAACACTGCCGCTCAGCTCGATAATTGTAGTCTGAAGCTTTCCGGAGGGCGAACCGCCGTTTGCCTGAGCCTCCAGCTGGGCAAAGTACTCCGCAGTCAGGTTGACGAAGCTCGTGCCAATGGTGCGGCCGATGAGGTCTGCGCTGGTAGCGTACACGCCCTTCTCGGGAACCTGGACCTGGAGCTTGCACGAGCCAAACTCGAGTTCCATGATGCTCTCAGTGCCCGAAGCCTGGGAGGCAGCAGCCCCCGCGCTGGCCGCAACGGCATTGACGCCAGCGTCGTGCTCCTTGACCTGATCCCATCCGGTGATTCCCAGGTCGACGCGGCCCTGGCCAACAAACGTCGGGATGTCGGCGGCGGGCAGGAAGATGAGGGCGATCGGGAGGTTCTTGACGAGGGCAATGTCGAGGCGGTTCTCTCTGCGGAACTGGATGTCGGCGCCTTCGAGGAGATTCAAGGTAGCCTGGTTCAATCGGCCCTCTGCAGAAGAAGAAAAGGAAGAAAAGAAAAGGTCAGCGCCAGCTACAGGAGAATGCTGTTTGTTGCGATCAAGGAAAACCAACTTTTTGGCACCGCAAAGAGCAAGCGTCCGTTGAGACTAAGACGAGAGAGAAGAGAAAAAGGGTCAGCATCTTTTGGTTCCTTATACAGCCAGCGAAATAAATGAATTGTCCGGGCCAACGCCGTATAATTGCCTCCCAGACTCACCTGTTGACGAGATCCATTGTGACGGACGATGGCGAGAGTGACAAGAGAGAAAGCAATGTCGCCAACGGCCTTGACGATGGAGGGGTCGGAAGAAAAGTACAGTCGGCAGTCGTCGAAGCAAGTGGGACTGTCTTTTTCGACGAGTCATACCATAGATTGAAAATGACGGAACGGATCCGATTCTCTGTTAAAAGCCATGGCAAAAGCGCTAACAACGGAATTGTTTCTCGAGCCTTTCGGGGCCCTCCGAAACCGGTACCAGAAAACGCACCAGTAGGTCCCTACATATGCAAGTCATCCATTGGGTCTTACTTTCTTATTTCTGAACTCAGACATTCCAACTCCACCCACCAGGGTGTCAAGTATCGGGCATGTAGCAAGCCCGCTGGTGGTATGCAAATTGCGATATGGAAAGGTACTTTGTAGATTAGTCTGGGGTACATTGGCTTGGCACCACATGTCAAATACTCCCATGCCTCTAATAAGCCCCAATCTGCCACATGTCAGTGACGGTAGACTGTGAAGCTACTGCACGGCGAATCCAGCGCTACACCAACAAGCGCACCTTGTCTCATACAATGGTGAGGTGGTTAAAGTACCTTGTGTATATATATATCTATTTTATAGAGAAAGAATCGAATCAAATGTCAATTATTATGTAACCCATATTAATATTAATAACAAGTTGTCAATCATCTTATTGTGCAACGTTTATTACTTGTATATCAACCAGTGCTAAACCTATATACCTTATACCAGGCAAAAACATACCTCCATGTATCGGCGCGCTTTATAGCAGTATTTATATCGTGCCCAAGGAACTTTTTGCGCCGTCTACTATACCGGGTCTACATCCCTAAAGACAAGACACTATACAGACAACAACGGCGGCCCCCGGGTTTGCTTGGCCGGGGGGGCGGAAATGGGCCCCTCGAGTCCCCTTTTTATGACGACAATAATGCCGGTACAACCAGCCATCATCTTCTGTCTGTCTGCTGCTGCTGCTGCTGCTGCCGCGCAGTAGGGCTCCTCGCCCAGAACCATTCTACCATCCAATGCTAGAGAGAGAGAGAGAGAGAGAGAGAGAAAGAGAGAGAGAGAGAGAGAAAACAATAAGAAAAGACATGTGCGCTGCGACAAAGTCTCGCTCTAAATGACCAAAATCAACAAGTCAATGATGCGCCGCGCTCTTCATGTTGCCATTGTACTCAATGTGATAAAAACACCCTGTCAAGTAAAATGTCTGAAGTCAAGTCATTTGCTAAGACGTGGGACAATTCTTCCACTTCGAATTAGCTTCCCAACATCAATCTGTGTTTTGACCTTTGGGGTTTGGGTTTAGAATGCAGGTCCTAGACCATTGCGGGATTGTCTTTTGCTGAAGCGGTTCCTTTTTGCGGGCGTGGGGTCTTCGATGCTGGCTTGGCCTTTGCTCAAATGGTTACGCCCAGATCGGTCGCTGCCTGCAAAGCCATCTGAAGTGTTCCCTCTGCCGACTAGAGTGCTGGACGGTGTTGATACCTGTGACGACATCTCGCCAAAGCCGGCGTCAGATGCCAGCGTCTGTTGTGACAATGCCATGTCTCTAGCTCTCTCTAGGCTTTCCACCCATTCTTCAGCAAACGCATGGTCGCCCCCTGAACCAGATGCAGTCTTTGTTTCTTCAAATGTAAAGTGTTGGCCGCCCTATTCAATTTATGAGATTCATGATTGCCGAGAATATAATTCAAAGGGGAAAGGGGGTTATATGGTCTTACCGTATCGAGACACCATACGTACTGGCCCTTGGCATCCTGATGGGTTTTCCACGTTGTATCGGGTGCCAGAAGCGACAGCTCCTGTTTTGCTCTCTTCTCTTCACCCCCCGCTGGAGCCAACAAGATGCGGCCGCTTGAGGTGACCATGACGAGCCTCTGCCGTTTTTTGGTCGTGCTTCCGCCAAAGAATCGAGCCAGTTTCCTATGGCCCTCATCAGACCCTTTCCCGTTGGATCCATTGGGTATTGGCGCAGAAAGAACCATCATGTCGCCAAGCTTCAAGATGCGTTCGTTGTTTCGCGTAAGCACTGGAGACCACTCAATGTCTAGCTGTGTCGGGGGTGGCAGCTCCGTGATGATACGGGCAGGTCGGTTGTTGCCGTTCACTGGATTGCCTTGCGAGCTGTTTGGTGGCTGTGCTCGGGTGTTTGGGCTAGGGCTGGTTGAAAAGTTGTTGAGCTGGATGATGTTTGGTTCCTGGGCTGGCGGGACATAGGGACGCAGTCGTGGAGCTTTGGACCTCCACAAATGTCTTCCAAAAGGCTGGCCGCTGAAGAACTCATGGTTCTTGATGTGCTCGATGGTGAGTCTCCTGGCCGGGTCAAGAACGAGGCACCGCTCTACTAAATCTCGTGCCAGGGGAGGAAATCCTTGAGGAAACTCGTATTCCAAGTTGACAATCTTCTGAAAAGTCAGGTATTCGCTGCCGGCCTTGAAGGGTGGCCGTCCAGCCAGTAGCTGATAGATGATGCACCCAAAAGCCCAAAGGTCGCTAGCCTTGCAAGCATTCTTGTGCGTAAGCAGCTCAGGGCTCACGTATTCGGCCGTACCAACAAAAGATGCCGCACGGCCGTCGTCGTTACGATTATCCGTGTCGAGTCCATCGCCACCGTCGGCGTTTCCGTCCTGCGTGGCTCGGGGGTCGTTGAGGAGCCTGGCAGTGCCGAAATCTGTAATCTTGACGTGCATCTGGTCGTCAAGCAGCACATTTTCTGGTTTCAAGTCACGGTGTATAACTCCTCGCGAGTGCATGTAGTCAATGGCGTCGAGAATCTGGGCCCCGTAGTATCTTGTACATTCGACATCAAACGTGCCGGTCCTCTTCAGCACGCCGAGCAGCTCGCCGCCATTGCATAGATCGAGCACGTAGTAGAGGGACGTCTCGTCTTGGAACGTGTAGTACAGGCGAACAATGCCAGGGTGCTCGGTCAAGCGATTTAATGTGTTTTTCTCGATATTGACGTATTTGATCTTCTTCTCCTTGATGATGTGTCTCTTTTCCAAAACCTTGATGGCGTACTCCTTGAGTGTCTGGCGGTCAGTCGCTAGATATACGGTGCTGTACGAGCCCTCGCCGAGCACCCGTCCAAAGGAGAAGTCTCGGACTCCTTTTTTGATCTGTCGAACGACCGGGCGGCCGCTTTTGTCGAGCTCCCGGCGTACACCAACGGCGGCGCCGCGGTCTTTCCACTCCTCGCTGGTTGTCGGGATGGGGGCATCGCCGGCGAATGCCTGAGATTTGGCACTCGAGGCACTGCCCTCGCGCTGAGACGGCTGTCGTGAAATCGCGGGCTGGGGCGGGTGATGGTAGCGTGAAGGCGCCCTCTGGCTGGGTTCTCGGCCAAGGTATTGCGCAGACACGGCGTCGGGTCCTGCCGCCGCATCGGAGAGCGTCACCCGCAAGCCGTCGGAGGAATGCAGGATGCGTGGAGGTTGAGATTGGGGTTGAGGTTGGGGTTGGGGAGCGTTGTTGTGGTTGTGAGCTTCGACATCGGCTGGGGGCGCCGACGGATTCGGGTCGTCGTGAGCAGCATCAGTAGCATCGTCGGGATTGGCGATTCGAAGTCCTCCGAGAGCCTGAGAGAGACTCAGGTCCCCATTCATCGTGACGGTCAAGGAGCACAGGATGCTCCTTGGGGATGGCGGACTCCCTACTGTATGAAACAGGGTGACGAATAAACAAGTACTCGTACAGTAGCCGCAGCAAGGCACGGGCAACCGTGTGCTAAGTCGCCTCTAGCTTCAGAGTCCTTAATGCAGTGGATTCGGCCCTCCCTTCATCTAGTGCATAATCCCAGGTACGTACTCGAGGAGCAGCTCAGCAAGTTATAGCCAGCGCCTTACGAGATCTCCTAAAGGAGTAAGAGATGCTCCATATTCAATCTAACATTTGTATAAAATAATATTACCTTGTACTAGCACAGGTCAGGTCAGGTCAGGTAGCACGAGCTCGTATGTACATGCTTGGTGCAGTACCCGGGTGTTAAGGTACTAATACGAATATGCAGAAATATACCCGACATATAAGAGAGGGAGAGGGGGAGGAAAAAGGAAAAGGAAAAGGAAAAAGCAGGAATAAGATTGGCCTACTTGAGCCAGAGATTTCGTGATTATAATGTATTTTTACATACTACAGGTAGGTACTTGCCTCCTAATGCACCAGAGTCAATGCTCCACATACCTCATACCTCCTAGGTTACCTGTACGTAAGGTACGGAGTACTAGAGGCACGCATTTGAATTTGCAAAGAACGGAGCACAAAGTACTTGATCTCTATACACGTTTAGTAGTAGGATTTGTGGTCTTGATTCCCTGCAAGGATGTACTCCTGTTATCGCTTATCTTCATACATATGCTACCCTACTAACCTACCAAGGTCACAGGTATTAGCGTAGTACCTGTACTCGTGCTGCTACCCTCATGTGAGCGAGCCCCTCCTTGGGCTAGGTCCCTTACCTGCTAAGCTTAGGTAGTACCTAGCATTGTTCCGCCCCTAATAAAGTTTCCCTGCCTGCTTGCCTGCCTACCTAAGTACTACTTACACTTCGACACTTGCAACTCCAACAAAGCTCAACATTTACCTTTTTACATATCCCCCGCCATAGACGAAACGAAACCCCTCCCCGTGCGATCGATCCCGAGATATTCTACAATGAAGGATCCCTTCTTCGTCCCGCCAATACCATGGCTGTCCGAGCTGGTGCAGCCGTTCAGTGACCGTTACGGCCTCCCTTCGCTGCCGCTGCATATCCACGAAGTGCTTCTGTCTGCCATATTCTATTCACTCATTTTCTGGCCCATTTCGCCGATTCTGTCGAGATTAATAGCGCCCCAGCACTATTCCAAATTATCTCGCAAACGACGGCTGAACTGGGATGCTCACGTGGTGTCTTTTATCCAAAGCACCTTGATCAACCTCATTGCCATCTGGATCATGGTGGTAGATGAAGAGAGAGGCAATATGGATCAGGAAGAGAGAGTATGGGGCTATACCGGTGCTTCAGGTATGGTCCAGGCCTTGGCGGCTGGCTATTTTGTATGGGATCTGTTTGTGACCAGCTTCAACCTGGACGTGTTTGGGCTCGGAACTCTTGCGCACGCCATCGCAGCTCTGCTGGTCTACACCCTTGGATTTGTATGTAATTTCTCCAAAGACACATTGATGGTTTCTTACTGACCGTTCACCAGCGTCCCTTTGTCAACTATTACGGACCTGTCTTCATCCTCTGGGAGCTTTCCACGCCCTTCCTCAACATTCATTGGTTTTTCGACAAGGTCAACATGACTGGATCCCGCGCCCAGCTTTACAACGGCATTCTTCTGCTCTTCAGCTTCTTCTCTTGCCGACTCATCTATGGCACCTTTCAATCGTTTTGCGTCTTTAGAGACATGTGGTCTGTTGTCAATGCTCACCCAGCAAAGACGTTTTCTCAATCGCCCGTCATGATCTTTACGACGTCAGAGACCACCGTTCCCTCCTGGCTTGCAACATCATATCTCGTGTCAAACACCACTCTCAACTTCCTCAACTTTTACTGGTTTATCATGATGATAAGTGCTGTTCTTAAACGATTCCAGCCGAACGAGAAGCACGAGACGGCTACAGAAGCTGAGGTGGACTTGTCTTCGGTTGTCTCTGGAATATCTAGGGGCCCAGAGCCGCAGCGTCGGAAGCAGGGCAAGTCTTGAGACTTGGGGCAGTGGTTTCTGCCTTGACTTCCGTATGACTCTTATGATGTTTGTCGATTGGAAAGAGATGACGCCTACATGTGTATGTGTCATGGGGCTGCGCGGTGCGGTCAGGCGACCTAGACGGTTACAGGTATGAGACATGGGCCGGTGCTATGCGGGGGGGATCTCTTGTTAGTATTGGGGTTTCAACTTATGGGAATGCTGTATGGTAATTGGTTAGACTTTTGTTTTATTATTTTTATCCTTACTTTTTTATTATTATACTACATTGTTTTCAAGACGACGGTTGGAATTTCACACTTTTAATGTTTTAATGTAATAACTATACAGCTATTGGCTATTTAATGCGTAATACATTAGTTTTTTAAAGAATTACAATTAAATCAACTTTTTTATAACAAAAAAAAATTAACATATAGATACACTTTAAAAAACAAAAGTAGACCTGTTTCTAAATTAGTATGATTATTAGTCATGTACATTCATCTTACTCTTGACCGCACGCGTCGATACGACTAAGCCCTTCCGAGCATGGTAATGTATAAAATCATACTGACAACTCCATCCCAAGCACGCGCCCTTGTTCCCACTAAACACCTTCATCTCTTAAACTCAGCCAGCCGCGAGTGGGATTCTGCTATCCCGCTTCAGGGCTAGGCAGGCCGCTAGAGTCCTGCATCCTTACCTGACTTGTATGCTCCGTGTCTGTCACTTTGTCTGAGAATATCCACAGGTAATGCCAAAGCTGGTTGACCATCCGACCTCGAAACCATGAATTCGGCCTATGGCTCGTCTGATGTGCCCCGGCAGGCGCCTATCGGAAGTCATGGCCCTGTGCCGTCTCTCCCTCCCGTTGTAAGTCCCAGCTCGGCGTCAAACTCGGCGTCTCTGGACCATCTGTACCATCACCAGCCGCGCCATCCACTTCCACCGGGTGCTGGTCCCCATTCTCCAATCCAGAGTCAAGCTCCTCCACACCTGCAGCCTCACTTTCAACCTCACCCGGGCCAGGGCCAGGGCAGCCAGGGCCATCACCACCAGGAACGAGACCACCAGCTGCCGCCACCCATCAACGCCTACAACACACACCCCCAGCAGCTCCAGCAGCTCCAGCATGAGCCTTTGCCACCGCGGGTGCTGGACCCTGCGTCCAGCGAGCAGAGAGATCAGCAGCAGCAGCAGCAGCCTCCTCCCCCTCCTCCGCCTCAGCATGTCCTCGAACGCCAATCCGGATCTCGCGAATCATTCAGTGCCTTGATCCACGCCGAGGGACAGCAGGTTGGGTCGGCAAGTATGCTCGTTCCATTCTCTAAGAGCGACGAGCTTACGGGTCGGAAGTACCAGTTAGTTGCCTCGCCGCGCCGCCATCATTTTTTGATCCAACGCAGCTAATCTAGCTTCCAAGCCTCGATGTAGTCCAGCAGCCTCGACGAGCCCGCATGTGCGGCTTCGGTGACAAGGTCAGTTCATATGCCTTGGTCCTCACGCCACTCGCAACAACTTCCAGCAGACTGCTCACAGCCTCATAGGATCGACGGCCAATAACACCACCGCCCTGCGTACGGCTTGTCATCACCGATCTCGCTACCGGAAAGGAGATAGACTGCAAGTATGTACAATCTAGTGCGGTCGGATACCTATGTCGACGAGTTCAGGCTCATTCTAACCTATCCAATCTCAGTGATATTGACCATTCCATGTTTGTACTCAACGTTGATCTGTGGAACGAAGACGGCACACGCGAGGTCAACCTCGTTCGCTCTTCCACAAGCAGTCAATCAGCATCCGCAGTAACGTATCCATATGCATCCATCACCATTGGAGATAGCTCGCACCCGACATACGGCCAAAGCATCCCTCCCCCGAGTCGTGATGCCACTTATAGTCTGCCACACACTGCAAACTACCCCCAAGAATACCAGACTCAGCCTCCTCAGCCTCCCCAGTCTACTTACAACCAAGGTACGTTGTCGCAAAGACTGCCCATCTTTGTTATTGATACATTGCAGACCATTCTAATCTAAAATTCGCAGTCTCTGCAGCGTATCAGCCTACCACATACGGCCCCCCGCAACAGTATTTCCCACGGCATCAGGCGTTTGGTTCGGACGCTGGGCTCCCTGGAGCGGCCTTCGGAGGATATATGCAGGACCCAAACTCCCTGACGAAAATGGCCGTGGTCGGTGGGCAGCCCCAGGGCATGTTTACACGGAATCTTATTGGGAGCTTGGCCGCAAGCGCATTTCGCCTGACCGATACAACGGATCATCTCGGTATTTGGTTTGTCCTGCAAGATCTGAGTGTCCGAACAGAAGGACCATTCCGGTAAGGCGGTACCTTTGGCGTAGCTTGTACAAGTGGAGATGCTAACTTGCCTGCATAGCTTACGATTCTCTTTTGTCAACGTTGGCGCTCCCGGAGGGGTTGGCAAGGTCAATACAGGAAGGGCTCCGATATTGGCATCATGCTTTAGCGAGGTGTTCAACGTTTATTCCGCTAAGAAGTTCCCCGGAGTCTGCGAAAGCACGCCTTTGAGCAAGACATTTGCCGCTCAAGGCATCAAGATTCCCATTCGCAAGGATGCCAACGGCAAGGGTGGAGATGGGGAGGATGATTATGCCGACTAAAGGCTTGCATTCCCTAGTATGGCTAACAAATCTGCTGGTTAATGGTTTTATCGACTTGGACAACAATATCGACGAACGTTGCACGTTCATAATACAGGGGGCTTGGCCAATACGAAAACCGGCTGGCTCTCGTGAGCAGAGTTCCAGCCCGGGATATCATTACGACGGATACAAGAAACATGCGTGTTGAGACAAGATCAATGATACTTATTGCCACCCCGTCATACCAAAATGTTCTCCCATTGAACCCTTCGTGTATATACAGTTACTTTTGCTTTACAAACCAAAACTATCAAGCAATGATGCAGCATCTGGCTCGTGAAAGGTCGAGGGCGGCGCTACAGGACGCTTAACCTGTTCACGCTCGGTCAATATCTTGGCGTGTAGCTCCGATGTGTGGAGATCGTTGACAACGAGCGAGCTTCTTCGTCTCAAGAGCGTCAATGGGTTCATGTCGCCTCCGAGTCCAGTCGTTGTTTGCTGTTGGAATTCCCACGTTCGAACTAATGTGCACCCTTGTCAGCTATCCGGCCAGATTTTGAACAAAAATAGGAAGATGTGTGTGTGTGTGTGTGTGTGTGTGTACCTAGGCTAAGGCCGAGAAGATCGCAGCCCATACGATCGTAAAGCTTTGCGCTATGAAGAACAAATTCCCACTCCACCTTGGGCGATACTTTGGAGGCCCCTCGTAACGTTTGAAGCGTTTGCTGTCGCAGCTGGGAATAAAGTACGACTAAGGCGGGATCGTCCGTTAAGAAAGACCGAGACTTTAAATCTGGCGAGGAAGGTGTCTCAAGGAGGGTATATATGGGAGTCTAGTAAGTAAATATATCCATTAGTCTTTGCACTTCATCGTAAACTCCAAGTAACTCTTTTCGATTGACAATACTCACCACAAGCGCTCTCACTGCCATGTCCTTTCTGCCCAGCATCCAGAATGCCCAAGATGCAAGCCAGCGGTTGCCCTCACGCGATGCGACTGTCAGCACTTCTTCTTGTAGTAGTTTTCGTAGTACGGGCCCTTCATTGCCCTCGTATACGCGAGTGATGGCAATGGCCAGCTGTAGGTCTTTCAATTGACGAAGACAGACCTCAACAGCATTCTCCAGCTTGTCCGCCAACAAAAAGAAGGCAGCCGCATATTCTGTTACTTGTTAGAGAGTATCCCATCAAAGTCTCCTTAATTCAACCTACTAAACCGTCGCTTGCTCAACAGCGCATACGCATTTTTCAACGCAGCTGTACGCCATCTGGGATCCTCAAAGTCGTGACCCAAGAATTTCTGCGTTGTGGCTTGCTCTCTGTCTCCCCCGGCCATTCGCCAAAGCCCCTGCAGTATCGTCTTCTTACGAAGCGCAATGTAGAACAGGCTGCACTCCACCGGGCTTCTATCTCCGTTCTTGGTGTATTCATTTCTTGCGACGGCCTCGAATGTTTTTTGCTACCCAAGGTTAGCACATCTGCTATAATACGTCATGCGAATTTCACAAACCAATTGTTGTGTGTCAGTAAGCCACATAAATATGCCGCTTTCTCGAGCATTCTCCCATAGCAAAACGTTATGGTTCTGTCGAGAGACAAATTCCGACAGAATGTCCTGGCTGCCAGAATGATACGCCCAGTTAATTTCTCTCCAGGAAAGCTGTATCTCATTCGTGCGCCCCTTTCGAAGTGCGTGCTGTCGGAAAAATAGCATAAAACGGGCTCCATTCTCATCTATCGAGCGACGCTCTCGCTCCACCAATGCCACGCACTCAATCATGTCTACTAATTGAATCTGCTCATGGCCTGAGAGTTGGGGGATGCCCAGCTGAGTAAGTCTTTCGTTGATTGAAGTGGCAATCTCCTCGGTGAAAACTTCCTCATCTTCTCCCTTTGCGGTTGAATCTAAATAACTGAATCCCGTTTTGAGTGCTTGGCTGCTATTTTCCTGTACAAATGGTTAGCTGAATACCTACCTATGCATAGATAAGAATGGATGTATCTTACAACTTCCGGCTGGTAAAACTCTTGCAGGTCAATTCCCAGATAATTATCCACAGATTCTCCTGGAACAAGAAATTTCAACGTCTTATGGAGCTCCACGAGAATTCGTCGCACGAGCTTGTTCCTTCCTGCGAGGATGCATTGACTGAGAAACTGCGGGTGGAAAACGGGGAGAGGTCCGTTAAATCTCTGCACAGCCTCAAAGAGATCCCATGTCCCATCCTGACGATGAGGCAGTCTAAGATCAGTAGTAAGTGATTCCTCGGCACTGACACGTCGGTCATAGACAAATAACTGGTTTCCCGCTCCGATAAGTAGATGGCCATTACCAAGCCATGTTGAGTCTCCGATCGGATGGGGTGTCAGTTCACGGATGCTAATCTCGCGAATTGGGGCCCAAGCGGCGCCCTTATTCAAGTAATCAAATCGCATTTGAGACAGGAGAAGAACACGATACTGGAACCCAACAGCCAATATCGATTGAGCATCGGGAGTTGAGGTCCAATCAAGATCCTGGATAGCATCTTGGGAATGATAGTCTTCGTCAAACTCGAGACGAGATCCACCAACATCCCATATGGCAAGAGTTGACCTGTTCGATTTCACTATTGCAACCTTTTTGAGCATACTGCCGCTAGTCAACGCCGGTTCTGTGAATCCCGTTTCAGCATTACACGTTGATAGCCATCCAACGCTCTTGCGTTCCAGATCAACACGAGCTGTCCAGAGGTCGATTCGGCCGGTATGAGTACAAGACATGGCGATATCCCGGGCGAAGACGTCCAGAAATCCAGATGTTATGGGACCAGAACCCGCAGGGTCAACAGGAAGAACATACTTCAGATCGTCATCAGATTTGATATCAAACTGACAAAACTGTTCGATCCCCGCTCCTAGGGTACTTGTTGAGTCCTTGGCATAGTTTGGAAGACTGAGCTGCCAGACAATCCCATGCCCCTTGGATGTGATCATGGCCATGTGTGCAGTTCTATAACTTGCATCCTGCGGTTTAGGCAAAACAATAAGGCAAAGCGGATTGCCCGGTGCCTCATACGTACACTCGGCGAGCATGCTGCCCTTTCCATGCCGGCAATCCCAAAGTGATATGACATTCTTCCTGTGTAAAATGACAAATCGGCCTTGACGGAGAACGCAAATGCGGTGAATATGGCCGGCCTCGGGAATAATGCTGCGGCGACGGAAATCAAGGAATCCATGTGAAGATCCAACCGGGTTTGTTGGCGAGTGATCCCACACGACGGTTTCGCCATCCGTTGTTCTTGATACCGCCGCCCGGCCGCTGAAATTGCGCACAATTTTCCTAATTGATGCAGAGTGGCCGGACCATATCGAATGAAGCAGCAATCGTTTATCATTGGTTGTGGGATCAAATAAATCTGCAGCGCTGCACTCAAAGATGGCTATCCTGCCATCGAAAACGTGAAGTAGTATCCGCAGCTGTCCATTTTTCCGATTGCAGTACGTCTGGATTTCCACATGAGATAAATCGTTCGAAGGTAGAAGGCTAGAAAGGTTTTCCAGTCCCGGTGATATTGTCTGCGCAATGTTGAAAATTTGGCGATCGTCCGCCAACGTACTACCGACATTCTCCAGAGCCCAAGCAGTCAAGAATCCCGACCGATTCATGGCGAGGCATATCTCAGGGCTCCTGTTCGCAATAGCTACCAAATGATCCAACGCTACGTCGTCAGTGCTGCTATCATCTGCCATTCGCTGTTCTATGGCCCTTTCCACGGAAGCTGTGAAATCTCGCCCATCGATAATACAAGCCAACCATGGCTCTTGCGGAAGGGTACCAGTTGGCATTGATTCGGTTACGTTGATTTTCCCCCAAAGCTGCCATTGCCAGCCATTTGCCGTATCAACTGGGATCCACACACGTACATGGCCATCCAAGCAGCTGGTGTACAAAACATTGCCTGAGTTTTGTTCAACATGGAACGGCTTGCGCCATCTGATGCTCGTGACAACATCTGGGTGAGATAGGTAGGCCAAGTCGAATCGAACGTCATTAGAGCCATAGGTCAAGCGGCGCCAAACTTTGGTGAAGTAGTCGTGGTCAGCGATGGAGGCAATATAAGCCGAGTCATACGACAGTGTCGCGGTCTTGGCAGGGCTGGGAAGCCATTGCTCCCACGAGCGCCCGGGGTGCTCCCCAGTGCAGAACAGAGACAGGTAGTTGCCTGCAACTAAAAGCTCTTCTGAGCTGCCCCAAGACAACGCGCATGTTGTTCCAGCGCCATCCTGAGGTACATCGAAGGTGACTTGGAGCGCCCACTGTTGAAATGTGAGCTCATTATCTCATACATTGCGAATGATCAGGATGGTGTGACCTTTAGTGCATCTTCTTGTAGCCCTCCCAATGGTTTGTAGATTCGAACTTGCGTCGCCGTGCTCGTCGCGATTTTGCCCGTCAGCTCGTCAATGGCTATTGCCTGCAGCGGGTCGTCATTGTCGTCGTATATCGTCTGAATGATTGTCTGCAGTCCATCGAGGATGGTAAATGCATTCCCGGTAATGTATGCCTGGGTGGTTGGAGGAAACACATGGTAAGCTGCTGCTCTCCTCGAGCTCCGAGCTTCAGGGATACGAATGGGACAAGCTTACATTCAGGTGTAAGTTGTTCCAATAACCAATAGCCAGACCTTGGAGTCTTGACTGCGGCTTACCCGGCAGGACGATGCTCATGCTCCTGGGAGACGAGGGTCCAGTAGGCTAGCGAGAGGTTGTCCAGATGTAAGCTCGAGGATTGCGATGGCAAGCATGATAAATGCGCAGGTTCATGGGTGAATCCAGATGACGTTGCGACAGGCCAACCAAATCACGGCGCGTTAGAGCTTAGTTTAGTTGGTGGTTCTAGCATTCTAGGTGCTGCAAAGCACAAAAGGGCCCGTGCTCCGCGTACTAACCTCAGGTACATTGGTACTAAGGTACCACAGCACATGTACCTAAGGTAGTATCTTCAAGTTGCAATACTTACAAAACTCTACATCTCCAACTTGAAAAGTAAATCATCAAGTAAATGATTAGGCACAGAAAGACACGTGTAATGAGAGATAAAAAAGTCCCCCCTTAAAAAGCATCAAGACTATAGTACACAATGTTTGTATTCCACAAGAAGGTACCTGACAGCACACCCAATCTTACCACACGCCGCAAGTACCTACCGAGGTAGCCTGCTTAGCGCCTCGTTTCGTCGCAACTCTGCCTCTGCCTCAATCTCAAAGCGGACACACTGAACACCAAAAGTACCTTTGTACCTCCCGGGCGATGCCCTCTCGCAAGCAAAAACCGCCCCTCAAACTTTTTTGTTTGATGCTTCCAACAATACATTCCAAACCTCTCGCAACATGTCCAACCCATCGCAGCTCTTCTTGCTAGCCGACCACATCAAGCTCTCGCTGCTTGAGTGGCAGCGCGCCCAGTCCTTGAATCCCGACGACACCACCCTCAGCGGTGACATCTCGCGCTCGTTTGACCAGCTTCGTAATGGCATTGCTTCGTTGGACCAGGATAGCGCTCGCCTCCAACAGGCTGGCGATGAAGCGTTCGTTCTCCCCCTTGAATCGTATAGTTTGCCGCTTTTTACTAATTCTTTAGCAGTGCCGCCCAAGCTATTACGGAATCTCTTCCGGCGCTGCACAAGCAGTATGACGAGTTAATATCTCAGTACCAGTCGCTCTCCAGCCCATCCTCCAACCCGCCATCCGATCAAGACGCCGGCGAAGAGGCAGATCCAGCCAATAGATCCAATCGCAAATCAAAGACGGTGCGGTTCAGCGAAACGGCTTCGTCACCAACCCAACAGCTATACGGACGCTACACCGACGATCCGAATGCCTCATCAGAGTCAATGGGATATAGCGACCATGCCAATGGGCTGTCAAATCAGCAAATTCACGAATACCATTCCCAAATCTTACAGGACCAAGACGACCATCTTGATCGCTTAGGGGCGTCCATCGGCCGACAACGGGAGCTCAGCATGCAAATTGGAGACGAACTGGAAAGCCACATGGAACTTCTGGATGAAGTTGACCATGCCACTGATCGCCACCAAAGCCGTTTAGATCGGGCGAAGAGAGCCCTGGGAAAGGTTGCAAGGAGCGCATCAGACAACAAGCAGATGGCAATCATCTTCATCCTCATTGTTATTCTTGTGCTATTGATTGCTATTTTGAAATGAGTGAACAAGATATGAGTAACTGCTGGGTTCACATCATACAAGGCTGGCGTTGGCGTTGAGGTATTCTGCGTCTTCTGGGTGCGATTTTTGGGATGCTTGAGTATGGCGCACACCTAATTTCCTAGATCTCTGGCACTGATAATCACCATATTTGTTTATATAGGATGATTTTTATGTTTTTTTTTTCTTTTCACAACCTAGGTGTGTTTTCATCCGGAGCGGATGTACTGCTATATAAATAGGTATGGTTATTGGTCTTGCAATCTAGAATTCTCACGAATGACGCTGAAGAGCCATCAACGAATCACATCACCCTCCTTGTCAATGCCCTCAAGACTTTCGAGTACGCTGCTGCCCCCTAGCATCCCTGTTCCTCCCCCTGGCATCTTTCCTTCGTTGCACCAGATCTCGTGGAATTTGACACTCTTGTCGCTCGAGGCAACAACAATGCATCCGTCGCGAAGTTTTTGATCGCGATTCGTGGCCTTGGTCTTGGCTGGCCACCGAGGATACGGGATGGCATACAATGCTCGAAGATCTCCGTCCCATGGGATCGCCGCCACTTGCCTGCATTCTGGCCAGCTAAACACGGCTATCCGATAGGGATGTTCGGGCTCTGTATAACCAAAAGTAGCGGCAATCTCGCGTCTGGTCGACGACCATATGAGAGCCGTCACCTGAGCTGAAACTGCGATTGTAGCCAAAGCTGAGCCTGAAGTTGTATGGAAGAAGTGGATGCATTTATTATTAGACCCACCACCCGTTGCAACCAGTCCTTCGCGCCATGGGCAGAATGCAATGGCCTTGACTGCAGCTTTGTGTATCCAGCGATGTTTCTCCGACCCAGGGCCCAACCTCCGAATCGCCATGGGCGATGGCCTCGCAGGTCGAACGTTGGCTGCATCCTCCTAGTTAGTGATGGCATGGTTTTGCTTGAGCAGGCGTCCTGGAGGTAAGGGGCATCTTGTTTGATCAATCAAGCCTTCCCTGGTGCAGCCGGTGGCCAAGTGCCATCCCGACCATGGGGCGCTGTTTTGAACAGACTCTTGCTTCTCGATAAGCACGGTGTCTATATCAAAGAGACAGCACAAGTTATCATTTCCACCGGAGGCGAAGAATCTCCCGTTGGGCGACCAAGACAGGCCGCATATTTGCTGGCTGTGAAGTGAAACTTTGGCAATAAGATATATGGTTCCCGGCCAGGTGTCTCGTGTCACCTCCCAGCCCATTGGCCACTCTACCACGTAGTAGTAAATCACGCCAGTGTCATCACCAATGACAAGGTCCTCAGTCTGAACAGCGATTCCAGGGTTGAATGGGTTCCTGGAAGGCCTCAGGGTGATGATCGGGCGCCAACTCACGCAAGACACCGGGAAGGGCTGTTGCACCTGGAAGCGAGGAAGCGCGTCATAGGTGGACTTGAGCACCAAGGTTCCGTCCGATCGTCCTATAGCCAGAATGCACTTTCCCCCTTCCACTGACGAAAAGGAAACGGATGTAAGCCATACATGAGACGCAGCAGATCCATGGATAGCTCGAGGTCCTGACCCCTTAGACCAGATGTATAGGATATTCCCTAGGCCAACCGCAAGCTTTTGGCAGTTTGGCGAGTACGCCAGAACAGAACAGTAGAAATCATCACGCAGGTCCGGTGCATCAAGGACTCTTGCACACGTTAGCTTGACTGGACAGGTTTGCAAATCAGGGAGACTGAATACCTAAAAGGAGCTGCAGGAAGGGATCGCCTCGGCAGTGGATTACAATTGCCTGCCAAAGATTAATAAGTCGTTATCTTGAGTTAAATAGCACAGACTTAGCCTCGTACCAAGAAGTTCATCTGGACCGTCGTCATCATCGGTACGTGCCCAAGATGCATGCTCCTAGTCTGCTAACAAGAGCGGCATCGTCCGAGTCGGGAAGTCAGGGATCATCGACCCCCCACGAGTAAACTCCAGTACGCGGCGGATGCGGTCAATTCTCAGTGCAGACGCAACGCGACCATGGTAAAAACGAGAGTCATCGCGGCGACTAGGTTTCGCCGTAGCCACAGACATGGTAAAGAGACGAGCAGTTGTGCTGCTTGAGAGTGGACGGCGGCGGCTGCGGTCCATCTCAGGCGTTGCAGGAGCCAGGCCGCCTACTCTCCATACATTGCCTTGGCTGGGCTGCCTGATTTCCGAACGGATGTTTGACAACGCACCCCCACCTATGATTATCAAGTCAGCAAGTCGACATCCTCAGCCATGTCCCCCCCCCCCCTTGGAGTTGGAATCACCTTGACTGAGTGGGTGGCTAACCAGTGCCATGTGGGCTTCATCTGAGGCACGCGCTGGAGGACGTTGGGGTGCGGAGAATTGAGCCAAGGAGACCCCTTTTCTTCTTAATAGTTTCTCGGCTGGTGAGAGATCCTGAAGAGGCTTTGTCGTCTGATACACCTGCCGGCTAGACTCGTCCCCATCCCGTCGGGGGACAAATCTGTCTGGAGTACGTGGACCTCCAGTGACACATTTCTGCTGAGAGAGCGACTTCTTGGCGCCATCTTTACAATCAGGCAACGGGCTCAGCTGCTGTGGGCTCCAGGCAAGGAATGGACAATAACGCGCCGGAGTTGAGCATGGGCTCTGGTTCGATCTGGCAAGACGTGGTAATGCTGCTTTCTTCGCTCTCCCAGCTGACAGCCCTGGGCTATGGCGAGATCCAGCCCCGTCAAGATGCGAAACATAATCGGCTTTAGGGTGGTGTGGTGAGTCGTCTATTGAGCCATATCCAGAGTCAGACCTAGGAAATAGGCAGGTGACATTTGGCACACTCCCGTCTTCATGCCGATCATAGGCCGCATTGTTCGTCGTCTTAAACTCAGGGACCGTAGTAGAAGTCATGGCACGAACCGACCGCTGCTAGCAGGCCCACTTGCTGCGACCCCCAGTCTTTCCAGTGAGGTGAGGCCGAAACGAAACTGTCTAGATGATGCTGCCTGATAAACACACGGAACATAATATTTCGGCGACCGAGATCCAGTTCATCGACTGGCTAGTTCTGTAACAATACAAGGGCTGCGAAATACAGATCGCCCAGCCTGCCACCGGTTAGTTCATCGTCGTCAACCACCCAAGATATCTCTGGTGGAGATGGTTATAGGGAGAGAGAAGAGTCTTGCAGCCAATAAGAGACATGTTGGCGCCAGGAAGATAGAGTTAGCTGTGTGCGTATGGCGTTCTTGCCCTCGCTACCGTCTAATGTTGCATCTGCTACTGCGTCTTTTATTACCTATTGATTGCAACAAGAAACACCCGTCATTGGGGCAGCCTGCCATTCCTATGCATCTCGTAGGGAGAGAGGGTTGGAGGCTAGCTTAAGATGGAAGGTAGGTGGTGGCAGTATCTGATGATGGTGTTTTGGGCGCCGATAGGGCATATCAGGCGACTCGTCTGTCTGCTACAATGACAACTACCTCTTTAGAAGGGGGGTTCCAGGTAAATCTGTGATAATTGGTAGTAAACCGAACGAAATCTACATGCTGCCTATCTATTAGTAGTAAGTGTTTGATGCTTTGCTTCTCCACATGAGGTTTATACTGAGAAATTCCCTCTGTTGTCCTGTTATCTGATAGGTATTTTCCATGATACATCGCAAGTACCACGTAGGCATGTGTGCAGGTCTGCACCTCTTGTAGACACATGTAGTGAAGTGAGGCTGACGCGTGCTCTCTCCGGCCCTTGAAGAGGCTCGGCAGTTTAATAACCGCCGAGTTGACGACTTGGAAGGTCGATTATACTACTAAATTACAGGGTTGCTCGAGTGCTATTCAGAGCCCCGCCTCACGACGGAATATACTAGCATTTTACCTTAATTACTAGCTTATATTGAATGCTGATTCGCGCGGCCAAACTACTACCGTTGGTATTCTCCGCTTGACACACAGGCGGCCTTTCCAGGCACGACGATTCCCCATTTGGTAGGTCACAACTTCAATGCCCAGTTAGTCAGATCACGGAGTAAATTCGTCTCCTCCACCAAGGACTGCTTGTTCCTTGTCGATATCAGCAGATGTCAGCTAGTGGTGTTTCATTTCGTAGAATTATGTGATGTTTATTTCTTACACGTACCTATGCTTCCTATCTCCCTGTCAGCCTTGGTAGGGCGTTCGAGATACTTACCTACTGACAAAGGTTAGTGGAAACAATTTGCAGTAATATCAGTCGGTAAATGCATGAGGCAATTCAAAGACGATGCCAGTTGGAATTACCTACATGTACCTACCTACCTACCTACCTCCTACCTACCTAGTACCAACAGTTGTTGTTTCTCACAGGCCGATATGTTGAGGTAGTAGGTAGTACTGCCCCCCGCGTATGCATGCCCTTTAAAGAGAAGCCGTAACCGCCCTGCTAAAGTCCCCCGTGGGGTTGTTCTGCAGGAGATGACAACTACCTGTAGTAGGTTCTTTCTTTCTCTGGTACCTACCCAATGTTACGCTCGTACTACCGATAGTCGAGTATTGTACTCATACAAGTTCTATCGTGCTTTAGTAGTACCTACTACGCGTACTACCAGGTAACATGACGCGAGAGCTCAGCATTGTATACATGCATGTACCTCGAAGATGGAGATGCAGGGGAGCAACTCCTTGGCCTCGGCGCGCTTATCCAGGCAGGCCCGCTGTACCCCGTTATCGCCTTCCCAAATCGGTAAAATCCAACTACTTCCTCGGCGCGATATGGAAATCGTAGGCTTTAGCAGCATCACGCCCGCAGTCGAGAATTCCAGCAGGGAGCGGCAAATACTCGAGATACCACGTTGTCACAACTATCTCCAGCCAGTCGCTAATCACGATAAGCTCTATTCGTGCATATGCGCCTTTTGAGACATCGCCGCTGCTGCGAGGGGCATCACCAGATGCACGAGATGCACTTACATGTGCCCCCTACCAACCCAAGTAGGTCCGATCAATGGGATGCATCTTGAGCACATGGTGGCTTTCTGCAATCTGTAGCTTCATCAGCCGGCGCTTCGTGCCTGGCAGCATGACCCCTGCCTGAGACATTCCCTTCCCCCGGGAAGCCGGATATCGCCCAAAAGCATATCAGAGCAACCGACTTCTTGCCGCCATTAGCAACGTTGCTAGACTTGGCGAGGGTATGAGATGCCCGTAATTGATATGGCGCTGAAGCTAATCATGACCTCCACCTCGATTTGGTTCGCGCCGGGACATGCCTATCCATGCCAGTCGAGAGCCGCTGGACGTTGAGCACGGGACAGGGGTGGCACGCCTGGAGAACCATGAGCTCCGGGGCATAACGTTGCCATTGATTGCGAGCTATAGCACTATTGAAGAAGCATGGGTTACATGTTGGTGCCAAGGGCCTGAAAGGGAAGCTTCATAAGTGAGCATCATGCTTTGTAGAGCATCTGGAAGGCTCCACAGCCAGATATATAAACATCGTTGGTTCGCATCCAGCGCTTCAGAAGAAAGTTTAATTCAGCATCGGCAAGCTTGAACGATCTACCAACATCACAAGCAATTCACCATGTTGAGCTTCCTCGGAAAATCTGTGGCCCTGTTGGCTGCGCTGCAGGCTACTCTCAGCTCTGCAAGCCCTCTGGCTACCGAAGATCGCTCTGTTGAGAAGAGAGCCAACGGATACGCAAACTCCGTCTATTTCACCAACTGGTGAGTGAAACCAATAAGCTTCACATAGATTCAATGCTGACTATAAGTGATTAAAGGGGCATCTACGACCGCAACTTCCAGCCTGCCGATTTGGTGGCATCAGATGTCACTCATGTCATCTACTCCTTCATGAACCTCCAGGCAGACGGCACAGTGTAAGCCAGATATCCCGGAGGGAATATATCTCCAAAAGCCGCTTTCTAGTTACTAATTGTGTTTCAGTGTCTCTGGCGATACCTACGCTGATTTCGAGAAGCACTATGCCGATGATTGTAAGTTTCCCTCTCATGGCTAGATACTAAGTACACATACTTACACTCATAATAGCTTGGAATGATGTCGGCACCAATGCCTACGGCTGTGCCAAGCAGCTGTTCAAGGTCAAGAAGGCCAACCGAGGCCTCAAGGTTCTACTCTCCATCGGTGGCTGGACCTGGTCCACCAACTTCCCTTCCGCAGCAAGCACGGATGCCAACCGAAAGAACTTTGCGCGAACTGCCATTACCTTCATGAAGGATTGGGGTTTCGATGGTATTGACGTCGACTGGGAGTACCCTGCCGATGCCACCCAGGCCTCCAACATGGTTCTTCTGCTCAAGGAAGTCCGATCTCAGCTGGATGCTTATGCTGCCCAGTACGCCCCTGGCTACCACTTCCTCCTCACCATTGCTGCCCCAGCTGGCAAGGACAACTACTCCAAGCTGCGCCTGGCCGATCTTGGCCAAGTCCTCGACTACATCAACCTCATGGCCTACGACTACGCTGGTTCCTTCAGCCCCCTCACCGGCCACGACGCCAACCTGTTTGCCAACCCGTCCAACCCCAATGCCACCCCCTTCAACACCGATTCTGCTGTCAGGGATTATATCAACGGAGGTGTTCCCGCCAACAAGATTGTTCTCGGCATGCCCATCTACGGACGATCATTCCAGAACACCGGTGGTATTGGCCAGTCCTACAACGGAGTTGGAGGTGGAGGTGGTGGCTCTACTGGAAGCTGGGAGGCTGGTATCTGGGATTACAAGGCTCTTCCCAGGTCCGGCGCCACCATCAAGTACGATGATGTCGCAAAGGGTTACTACAGCTACAACGCCAACACCAAGGAGCTCATCTCTTTCGATACCCCTGACATGATCAACACCAAGGTTGCCTACCTCAAGTCTCTTGGCCTGGGAGGTAGCATGTTCTGGGAGGCCTCAGCCGACAAGAAGGGATCTGACTCTCTGATTGGAACCAGCCACAGAGCTCTTGGAGGTCTGGACACGACTCAGAACCTGCTGAGCTACCCCAACTCCAAGTATGACAACATCAGGAACGGTCTGAACTAAGCTGCCTATTTTCAGGCGCTTCTTGTACATTGAAGATGTTACGGGGGGGAAGCTCTTGGAGGAGCAAAGTCATCAAGTAAATAGTTGTTTATATACCTGTACATAGCCACATTCATATATATAGATACATGAATAGTATCTGAACTTATTAAGAAACCTTACAACAAGGCTACCTGCCATCTATAGGTGTCATCCTATTTTGTACTGTGATATATTCCTAGTTGAACCTCGATGGGAATTACGCTAATCTCTGTTCGTTTCGTCGCCTTACTTTATACAGAATAACCAGGTGGAAAGGTCAATTTATCCAAGAGGATAGAGTTGCTTCGAAATATAAATCCCCTCGCTAGAACAGAGCAAAATTCCTCATCGCCCCGGAGCTAGCTTGGCTCGTCTGAGCTACCTTGCCCATCTCGGTGATGGTAGTAGAAGTTCCTGGAATGCTGGTACTGGAGCTGGAGTTGGGCCCCCGTACGATATCGGATTGTGATGCCTCGAAAACACCAAGGCAATCCTTGCTGCCGCAGATCTGGGTCTCATCGCCGGTGCAGGCCATGTTGCAGTCGCTCGCATTCGGCGTCCACTCACCGACAACGTGACTACTGCACCAACACTCGTTGCCCGCCTTGACGCCTGCAAATATGAAGTTTAAGCGGTAGCAGGCGTTTTGGCACTTGGGGATTGTGAGGGCGGCGTCTCCGCCCTTTTTACTGACGAGCTTCTCGAGTATTGGCCGATTCGGTCTGTCAGCATAGCAGCCAAGGTCATCCCACGCGGTTGGAGAAGGCCCCAGAGTGGATGTCGTAGTGGTGCTGATGGGTGCTGAATTGCTGGTAATAGTCGTTTTAAATGTCAATCTATCAAGCTTCTCTTGAGTCAGGACGCAGTAGGGTGCCTAAATCCACATGTGGCAGTCGACGCCAACAGAAGGGTTCCATTTCGCGAACTCCTCGGGGCTGATTTTGAACAAAGCTCTGGTTTCTTGGCAAGTTTTGCCATCAACGTTGTTGTACCAATCGAGGTAGTTCTTGGTCGTGGTAGGGTTCATGCTGTAAGTCAGGGCGCGAGACCGCGGTACAGAACCGTGAGCCGAGGGTGAGAGCCATGAGCGAAGGAATAACGATCTTTATGGTAAAGAAAACTAAGTGAGTGAAAGGACAGAGCGAGTAACAACACAGGAGAGAAAGGTCAATGGATATATGTTCCTGTGCAAACTGTGTTGCATGTAATAGAAGTTGTCCGCGCTATACGCATTAACGTCTGTGCTTCTTGTCGAATTCTCTTCGAAACATCATCAGGTCGAAGCCAAGGCCGCGCAGCATTTCCAATGACACACTTTTCTAATCTCCCGTTCGAGTTACGCTCGAAAATCTGGACGTCGACTATCGAGCCGCGAACCGTCGAGATTCGCTTCGAGATCGGCAGAGTCCCCTTTGGCAAAACGCGCCGCACCACACGCCTTGGTGTTTTGTATGGCTCATTGATACAGAGACAAATGATATGGTAACTGGGCCCAAGAATTATAGGAGAGTTGAGAGATATCATGAGGAAGCATGCCGTCAAGAAGCAGAAGAAGAGGCACTGCAAAGGTTAGAACTGGCTGGTGCTGCGGATACTGGTTAGTAAAAGGACATCAAATCTGACTGTTGATAAAAAAAAAAAAAATTCTCTCGCAAGGGCTACCTAGTACCAGAAGCAAAGATAATAATAATAATACCTCCTAATATATGTCGTCCTGACTCCTTGATGTAGAAATACAACCTTGTCGACATGCGGTTTGACGATCGCCTACGATCTCGTACCTGTACAGGTACCCCAGTAAGGTGCATGCAATGGTCCGGAAAAGTATTCAGTACCTATGACTCTATGGGTATTTAACCACCGATAAGTGTACTGCATACTTGTGCAACGATGCCCATCTTCTAGCGCAAGCACGTGACCAAGATCGCCGCCCGTGTTCGCGACGCGGTTTCACTTTACACCAGCCCGAGCAGTCGCAACCGGTTTGGCTCTTGTTTGCTATTCCTGGCCCCATTGAGATTTCTCATCAAGATGCAGCAACAGTATCGTGCCTATACCCAACAGCCGCCGCAACGGTCGCCGCATCCCCCGAACCAGCGGCGCGGTGGAATTGGTATGCGCATCTCCCTCTGTCTCTGTCCAGCAGCCAAGTCGCATTTCTTCTAACTTGCTCTTACCTGCCCAGGGCCCATGATGTCCTCTGGACCGCATCCCTCGGTCCCGCTCACACAGGCGCAAATTGCTCAGCAGCAGCAGCAGCAAGCGCACGCCAGCGAGTTGGCAAAGCGGAGAAGTCGCAAACCGACAGACAAGAATATTCCCGATGGCGTGGAAGATTGCATTATCGACCCGGATGGCGTCAAGAGATATGCGGAATTGAGAGACATCGAGAGGCTGATTGACGCTACCATTACACGAAAACGACTTGATGTGCTCGATGACGCAAAACGAAGCTCCAAGGTCAGCCTCCTTCCCACCACTCGACACAACGTTTGTACACGGTGGCTTACAGTTTCTTAGTTACGGAAAACCCTGCGAATCTGGATAACCAATAACGTTGAAGACCAGATCTGGCAAGGAAACAGCCTCAATGCTGATTCTTTCGATTTTACGCCGGCTACGGAGGCGTCCTACCGGGTGAAAATCGAGGGTTATCTCCTGGACGAAGACGATCAAATAAAGGACGAGGATGCGGCGTCCAAAGGCTCTCCTGCAGCGGACAAACAAGAAAGAGGCGGTTCGGCCCAGAAACCTACCGGCCCAGAGGCGAACCAAAAGAAGCATCGATTTTCACACTTCTTCCAGTCTATTACTGTCGACTTTGATCGCTCTCGGTTCCGCAACGGCTCTGAACATAACGTGGAATGGAGACGGCCAGAAGCCTCGCAGGGCCAGGCAGGTGCCGCCGTGCCACCTGAAGCCGATTTTGACGAATTCACTTTCAAGCGCAATGGAGATGAGAACATGAACATCACGATCAATTTACAGAGACACGAGTCGCCCGAAAGATACCAGCTGACTCCCGAGCTCGCGCAAATCGTTGATATGAAGGAAGCGACGCAACACGAGGCCGTTATGGCGCTGTGGGAATACATCCGACTATCTGGACTGCAAGAAGATGAAGAAAGGCGTAACTTTCGTTGCGATTCATATCTGAAAAAGGTCAGCACCTGAGCAATCTTCCCTTCCCTTCCCTTTGTTCACGATTACTAAATGACCTAGGTTATCGGGCGAGATTCGGGTGTTATACCAATGCTCGGCGAATATGTTGTGCCACACCTTCGCCCTCTGGCCCCCATATCTCTTCCATATACGATTCGAGTAGACGAGGAATTTAACAAAAATCCTCAGCCTACGGTGTATGATGTTCAGGTGCTGGTGGAGGATCCTATCAAGGCTAATTTGCGCCCCTTGTTGAACAACCCTCAATACGCTGCCTCATTGAAGCAGATTACCGCGTTAGATGAGCAGTTGGCCAGGCTTGTGCAGGCAATCTCAATGTCCAAGGCCAAACACTCCTTCTTCTCATCGCTGAGCGAAGACCCTGCCAGTTTCGTAAAGAGTTGGCTCAGTTCGCAAAAACGGGATCTCGAAATCATCATGGGCGAAGCGGCAAGCGATGCCGAAAATGTTGCTGGCGATGAGTGGCGACGGGGCGGGAACAACAGCGTGTGGAACAGCCAAAATGCTCGCGAAAGCGTCAACGTGCTGCTCTCTAGGCAACGATGAACGCGCTGTATTTTAGTTTTTTTTTTTTTGCGAATCAATATTGGGTTTGAGCAGATTTCGGTCAAGAGGCGCAGATGAACAAGGGCGAAGGAAATAGATGAAAAGCTACAGTAGCAAGTCATGACATGTTGCTCGGAAAGCTAGAGTGTGGTTCAAGAGCTGGGGTATGATAACATATTTCGCCGAACTGTTTTTGCTCGCATACCAAATCAGTTTGTAATATTATCTTCTTTAATAGCACGCCCCTTGACCCGCAGATGACTTGTCGTGGCCGTAACTCCCCAGTATTGCTAAACTCCAATACAAATGAGGATAGAGAGCAAAACAAAAACCCCCGTGATGTGATTAAAAAAAAGGCGGGATAGCAAGACGCTCATATAACATCAGTTCTAACTATGCCCCCCCTCTCCTCTTCTCCCCCCTCTAAGAATCGAGATACACTATGATGCGCTAACAGATCGTTGAGAGACCACGGGAGTCGATGGCATATTACGGATTTGCTTAATCAAAAATTCTCGTTCGTCAATGAATTGTTCGTCATCAGTCCGATCCTCGAGAAAGTGCGCTAGAAAGACCAGGAGCTTCTCGCGGTTCATGAGAAGAATCTTTTGGACGGCAATGGATTTATGCGGATTCGCAACGAAAACCTTGAACACGTGGAACCCTTCATACTGGACCATTTTCCTGTCGTCTCGAAGAAGATTCATGCATATTTTCAAGTGCTCGCCACTATCGACGTAAGCCGTCATGACGCTATAGTTGGAGCGATCCAGCAGCAGTTCGCCAAGAAGTTTGATGGATTGTCGTTTGGTGACATAGCTGTTTGACTGGACCAATGTGTTGTTGTATTTGTCAAAGAAGAGCTCGAAATTGGTGGATAGATACTTCGGGATCAGGTCTTTATGCCGCGTCAAGAGTTCCTGCTGACCGGTTAGAAAGCCTGGCTCAAAGAATTCGCGTTTCAAGTGTAGCAGTCATGTCCCACCCGGAAAGTCGTAAACGCGTCGGCAGCAACCTCAAAGGAGCTCTTGTTGATCCAGTCGAAGAACTTCCAAAAGACTCCGCGGCCGCTCTGAGGGCGGTTGCGGTCAATAGCATTGAGGCCTTTACAACTAGATCCAGGTTCATCCCCGTCGTCATATAGGATTATGGCAGCGGCGGCCTCGTTTTTGAGGAGCTCTCGGAGAACAGATCCCGCAGGAGTGGCACTTTCTTTGTGGTCATAGGCGCGACAGAGTTCAACTAGGACTTGTGGTCTGTTACACACCACATATGACAGGGCGATGGGGTCGCTCTTGGGAGCCGCTGCCGCGGGCCGGAAGCGGAATACATAAGAGAAGATCACTTGGGTATCCTTTCGCGACTCAAAAGGTAGGCGATAGAGGTTGGTAGCTAGCAGGTGGAGCAGGTCTTCGTCTATCAGAGCCGTGACGAGCTGATAGATCTGCTCGGGTGAGCTCTCAGTTTCTTAGGCTAGTGTTAATGCACCCAGATGGCTAGGCTGAGAACAGTGGGACGGAGGAGAGTAACGGTACTAGGAAGCGTGGGCGGCGTCTGTATATTGCATACCTTGAGTGCCTTGGAGAACGACCTTCATCTGGTTGAGCACGCGAGCAAGCTCTTCAGCCTGGTCGTGTCAGAAAGCAACGCCGCGAACGCCCGAGGAATCCCGACACTCACCTTGGAGACCCCGTTAGGGCTTTCGAGCTTCATAATGTGATCACGAGCTTGCCTGGGCAGATCGGCAGCAGCCCGCGATCTGCCTCTCCCAAACAAGAACGACATGGTCAAGAAGAGTTGGGTTCTGAGCTGGGGAGGATCCGGTCGCTTCTCTCTCTTTCTCTCTCTCTCTATATGCCAAACGATTGCCTCTAGGCATAACCTCGCGTCACATCAGCCGTCTAAAGGGCCATCCGCGGGCGCTATTCGGCGGTTGCTTGGCTCTATATCCAGAGCTCTTTGGCCCAAGTTGACAGCCTGTTAATAGGGATGTCTATGAGATGCGTCAGCGCGCCCGTTGAACGGATTATATCAGCTGTGCTCCGTACTCGGTACGACGGACTAATACGCATGATGCAGAATGCTACTGCTTATGGTTTAGCAGCATTCAAGCAATTTCGGTGCCCCGTGCGTCCAAATGCGCGACTGCAACCCCACTTACCCTCTGCGGAATCTCCCACTGCCCCTCCATTTCGAACTTTTGAACTTTTGACTCACTCGAGGCCGATTTCGAGACTCGAGCAGTGGCAGTATAAAGGGTCATCCTTTGCCTTTTGCCTCTCACTTCTATTTATATCTACTCCATTCACTTGCGAGAGAGAGAATAGCATCATGTCCATCGACTTTCCCAAGGAGGAGGAGGCCATCCTTCAGCGATGGAGAGACATCAACGCTTTCCACCGTCAGGTATGTCAACAAAGCATTATAAATTATCTTCTGCTGCAACGCATTCTCATTCTCACAACTTCTACAGTTGGAACTGTCCGAAGGCCGGCCGCCTTATACCTTCTATGACGGCCCTCCGTTCGCTACCGGTCTCCCCCACTACGGTCACTTGTTGGCGTCCACCATCAAGGACATTATCCCGAGATATTGGTCCATGAAGGGCTTCCACGTCGAGCGAAGATTCGGATGGGATACTCACGGACTTCCCATTGAGCACGAGATTGACAAGAAGCTGGGAATCTCCGGAAAGGCCGCTGTGGAGAAGATCGGAATTGCAAAGTACAACGAAGAATGCCGTTCCATTGTCATGCGATATGCTGCGGAATGGCGCACCACCATTGAACGTTTGGGACGATGGATCGACTTCGATAACGATTACAAGGTCAGACCCTCATGTCGAGAATCCCATTTCATCTCTCCGAGAGCATTACTAATGCGCTGCCGCAGACCATGGACCCAACCTTCATGGAATCCCTGTGGTGGGTTTTCAAGCAGTTGCACGAAAAGGGCCAAGTGTACCAGGGCTACCGAGTTATGCCTTACTCGACGGTCTTGACCACTGCCCTTAGCAACTTTGAGGCAAACCAAAACTATCAAGACGTTACCGATCCCGCAGTTGTCGTATCGTTCCCTTTGGTCGACGATCCCGAGACTCACCTTTTGGCATGGACGACTACGCCGTGGACTCTGCCATCACACACCGGCCTCGCCGCCCACCCAGACTTCGAATATCTCAAGATCAAAGATGGCAAGACTGGAAAGAACTTTATCATCCTGGAGAATCTTCTTACTACTCTTTACAAAGACCCCAAAAAGGCTGATTTCCAAAGACTCGGCAAGATCAAGGGATCAGAGATGCTTGGGTGGAAGTACAAGCCTTTGTTTGACTACTTCTATGAGGATTTTAAGGACGTAGGATTCAAAGTTTTGAATGCCACCTATGTCACGGCGGATAGCGGTACAGGAATTGTGCATCAAGCACCAGCTTTCGGAGAGGACGATTACAATGTGGCTCTTGAGGCCGGTGTCATCAGCGAAAGCCGTCCCCCTCCAGATCCTCTCAATGATACTGCTCACTTCACTGACCGTGTCCCTGACTTTGCTGGAATGCATGTCAAAGAGGCCGACAAGCACATCATCAAGCACCTCAAGCAGGCTGGCCGACTCATTGCTGAATCTCAGCTTCGTCACTCGTATCCCATGTGCCCACGATCCGATACGCCCCTTATCTACAGGGCTGTGCCATCATGGTTCATCCGTATCCCGGAAGTTATTCCAAGCATGCTCAAGAACATTGAGGATTCTCATTGGGTTCCATCATTCGTGAAGGAGCGCCGATTCGCGAGCTGGATCCAGAACGCTCGAGACTGGAACGTTGGACGAAATCGTTACTGGGGTACGCCGATCCCGCTCTGGGTGAGTGACGATATGGAAGAGCGCGTTTGCGTCGGAAGCGTTGAGGAGCTCCGAGAGCTCAGTGGCTACACTGGGGAGCTGAGTGACATTCACCGAGACAAGGTCGATCACATCACCATCCCTAGCAAAATGGGCAAGGGCACCCTGAAGCGTGTGACCGAGGTTTTCGACTGCTGGTTCGAATCAGGCAGCATGCCCTATGCCAGTCAACACTATCCGTTCGAGAATGTTGAAAAGTTCAAGGCCTCGTTTCCCGGAGATTTCATCGCCGAAGGCCTGGATCAAACACGGGGCTGGTTCTATACCTTGCTGGTACTGGGCACACACTTGTTTGGCACTTCACCATTCAAGAACTGTGTTGTGAATGGTATCGTTCTGGCTGAGGACGGAAAGAAGATGTCAAAGCGATTGAAAAACTACCCGGACCCCAGTATCGTCATGACCAAATACGGATCCGATGCCCTAAGACTCTATCTTATCAACTCCCCCGTCGTGCGAGCAGAGCCGTTGAGATTCAAGGAGACTGGAGTGAGGGAGGTCGTTCAAAAGGTCCTCCTGCCCCTGTGGAACAGTTACAAGTTCTTTGAGGGCCAGGTTGCGCTCCTAAAGAAGGTTGAGGGAGTGGACTACAAGTGGAACACGGAGCTGGAAACCACAAACACTAACGTAATGGACAAATGGATTCTGGCCAGCTGCCAGAGTTTGCTACAATTTGTTAACGAAGAGATGAAGGGTACGTACTAAGAGGTTGGAAAACTTGATATATCAATCTGGAGAAGCTAACATGTATTCAAGGATACCGACTGTATACCGTGGTCCCTCGACTCCTCGAGCTCATTGACAACACCACCAACTGGTATATTCGATTTAACCGACGCCGTCTCAAGGGAGAAAACGGCCTCAATGATACCCTGCATGCTCTCAACTCCCTCTTTGAGGTGCTTTTCACTCTGTGCAGAGGATTGGCCCCCTTCACGCCTTTCCTGTCCGATACCATCTACCTGAAGCTTCTGCAGCACATTCCCAAAGAACTGCAGGCCGAAGATGCTCGGAGTGTTCACTTCCTGCCGTTCCCTGAGGTTAAGCAAGAGCTGTTCGATGCCGAAGTTGAGCGTAGAGTATCAAGAATGCAGCGAGTCATTGAGCTGGCACGTGTCTCTCGAGAGCGCAGAGCCATTGGCCTCAAGACGCCCCTTCGAACATTGGTCGTCATTCACCGCGACCAACAATATCTCGATGACATTAAGTCGCTCGAATCCTACATCACCGAAGAACTTAACGTTAGAGACTTGGTACTTACTGGAGACGAAGAAAAATACAATGTGCAATACAGTGTGACGGCTGATTGGCCGGTGCTTGGCAAGAAGCTCAAGAAGGATATGGCTCGTGTCAAGAAGGCCCTGCCCGGCTTGACCAGTGAGCAAGCGCAGAGCTATCTCACCGAAAAGTTCATCATTGTTGATGGCATCCGTCTAGAGGAAGGAGATCTTGTTGTCCGCCGAAGCGTCAAGGAGGATGAGGCTTCCAAGATGCTGGAGATCAACACTGACAGCGATTTGTTGACCATTTTGGATTCGGAGATTCACCCTGAGTTGGCTCAGGAAGGATTGGCTAGAGAGATCATCAACAGGGTCCAGCGCCTGCGCAAGAAGGCCGGCTTGCAGCCCACCGACGACATCAAGATGGAATACAAGGTCTTGTCAGATCCTGACAATATCGGACTGGAGGAGGCGATTGTTTCTCAGGCATCCGCTTTCGAGAAGGTCCTTCGACGCCCAGTTGAGAAGCACCAGGAGGGAGCCGCCAATGAGCTCATTGCCGAGGAGGAACAAGAGGTTCAGCAGGCCACTCTTTTGCTGAGACTTGTAAAGCTCTAAATGTAGAATGCAATGTACATGAGAAAAAGAATGAAATCTAAGTAAAATAGAAAATAGAAGAAAAAAACTGTTCATTAGAATTAAGTCCCTGTAAAAATTCCCATTATTTTATAATTATTTACACCTTTTTCACTGCCAACTAAAGTGATAAAATTGATTGAGCCTCCGTCAGTTCGCTGTAATGTATGTAGATGGAGGATATTTGGCGGACTCACCAGGTAGCAGTCTTTCAACCTCAGGAATTCCCGAGCGCATTTATTTTTGTATACATCATTATAATCCGCCATGATGCATTTCCCATATGCAGCGGCCTAGTTATACCATGGTTTTCTTTTCTTTAGCACACCGTTGAGAACTGAGGCAGAAAGCATGATGGAATTTTTTGCCCACCTCTACTGTGCATTTGGCGACTGCCTTGGAAAGCTTCTGGACGGGACGGGTGGATGTCTGAGGATTCATTTATTTCGTTGATGAAGAGTTTCTGAATGAGATTGATGAAATGCGTGAGGGCTAGTGAATTCCGCTGGGCAGGGCGTTATTGGTATGGATGTTTTTGGGGGGGGCGATGTGAAGGAATGATGATGCTGAGATGTTGGTTGAAAGGCTGGGAGTGGATTTTGGGTGCTGGTGGGAAGGTCTGTTAGCGCTGTGGGGAAGTTTGGGTTGGATTCTTGTGTTGCTCGTGGGGATGGCGATTAACATGGATTTCTCGACTGGTGAAGTGAATATCATGGTGTATTATAGACTCTGAGAGTATCGAGACTTCTGAGGGGTTTTTTTTTTAATTCTCTACATCAATGCGCGATGGAGTTGATGGTCACTCATTCATTGTAGGTTGGAGCATATACTGGCATCATGCACTGTGAATACTGTGCAACAACAAAACATGCAAGGAGGAGATTTCTTTCTTATTATCCTACATCAAACACACTACTTTGATCTGTCGTCATTCTGGGCCAAGTTTCTCGAACTATTGTTTCGATGCTCTCGGGCGAGGATTCCCGGGAACATCATCGGGTCGCTTCCAGACAAGTGATTATCCGTCTTGGCGCTGGAAGGCAAATGAGGCTCTCCCGTGTGAGCGTCGACAAAGGACACATGTCCCTCGGCCTCTACATCCTTGGATTCAGCTGCCGTAGTAGCCGGGAAAGGCTGGGTCTTGCTCTCCAGAGGTTCTGCTGCTTGGGCGCTTCCTGGCACCCCGTTTGCCACAAGGTCATCGCCAGAGCCGTAATCAAGATATTTTCTCAGGCTAAGTTGTTGGAGTAAGTATATGCATGCGCGAGGGGAGGAATATGCAAAATCACTTACATGTCTCTCTCTTGGAGGAGTGTATGGTATCGGAATTCTTCTCTGCGATCTGGGACATTTGTCTTCACCATCTTGTTCCCGTCCTTCCCAGGCTTCTCAAAATCTTGACCCAGCCACTGTTTCTTGATGGCTTTCTCATAGCCACTCTGTTTGACCGAATTCTTTGCCAGCTCGCACATGTCCACTGGACTCAGCTTGTATATCTGTGCAGCCACAGCATACTCTTCGATCAAGGGTTCCTTGGTAAAAGCAAATTGCAACGGGTCGTCTGTGGATAGAGAGACGTTCAAGCCGCGTCTGAAATACTGGTGGAATGGGTTTCGTTCATACGCAAGGAACAAGGCGTTGTTACTCAGCGGCGACATGGCGATTCCAATCTGCTCCAAATAAAAGATATACTGGAGCAGAGGAACTTTGCGAAGAAGCAGTCCATGGCTGATGCTATGACAGCACAGTGCCGCCACAGCCAAGTGTTCGCTATCGCCCGCCTCTCCACAATGAGGTCGTAGAACGAACGTGTTGAAGCCGCGGCTGCGTCGGAAGTGGTTCAACGAGGTCATGTTGGCATACAAGTAATAGATCCAGTAGCTGTATGGAGGATTTTGCTTCGTATCCCAGGCTCGGGGCACAGGGAACTTCTTGAACAGACGACGTTCGATTTTGCTTTCGTCATCGACGCTGTCAAAGCCAATGACACGCTGTAGAAATACATGTAGCTTTGGATGGCTCGAAGGATCTTTTGTGACTTCGAAGAGGGGTTGGAACACATTCTTTATAACCTGCTCAAACGTATCCATCAAGCCGCTAGCTTTGTAGATGTCGTAGAGGCGAGGGATTTGGACGAGCCAGCGGACGTTGTGGGAAAAGAGCTTATTGTCCACAACCCAGGCTGCGAGCCTGTCCCACTCATCTATGGACTTGCCATAGATGGATATGCGCCATTCGACCATCTGGTACTTGCTGGATTCTAAGTCAGCTATCACTTCCTTGGTAATCTCCGCCAGGTAGCGCCCGTGGATGAAATTATCGGTTTTGAGGAAAATAGTCCTCAGGCGCGACTCGCCGATGGGGTTGTATTTGAGGTTGAATTTATCGAAACGGTGAAAGGAATCAGTGTGTGCCTAGTCGGTCAGAATACAGGCGTGCTAACAAGTCAAGTCCCCTTGGGACATATAGCTTTGCGACTTACATGCATATCAAGTGTATCTATGCTCAAATCATACGCTGTCAGATTGATACTAGCAAATACCTCCGCCAAGGTGAGATGCTTGCCATCTCTGAAGAGCACAACTTCGTTCGGGTACTTCTTCATCTTGCTCTTGATGAATCGCAAGAGATGTTTCTGATTCATGCATGCAGAGTGGTGGACGTGCGTATCCACCTTTCGAACATTGTAGAAATCTCGATGCGGCACCTTTTTGCTGTCGGCAGTCTCCTGATATTCATTAAGGAGGACATATAGATTGTGTTTGCCCTCCAGATATTGAAGTCGACGAAACGCAAAGCTTTTACTTGGACCATCAGATGAAACGGTGAGGAGTTCTTCCAAATCGATATAAAATTCTCGAATGGTAGGCACACGAATAGCAGGAGTTTTGCTGACTGTAGAGTCAAACACTTGATAAACTCCTTCGCTGTCCATTTCAAAGGTCATCTCGCCGTTTTCTGGCAAGGGAAGCAAGTCTTCGAAAAAGAAATCATCTCCAATGTCGTGGCCAGGCTTTCTTTTTCGGACAGGCCTCTTTCGTTCTGTAGTAGTTGTCGAAGAGCCGGCGCCTTGCTTCCCGGCTTCGTCAGTGCCATTACCGTGGCTGTGAATCCATGCTGGATCGGGAGGGGGAGGGTATATGTCCCAATCTGCATTATCTCTGGGGTTGTCATTGGGCCCTTGGTTAGAAACAGAAATGTACTTGCGTCTCATGTCAAGTATTCTCTGAATCTGCTTTGAAATGGCACTGAGCTCAGCCGTTATATGAGGCTCAGTGTCAAAGAGTCCATTGCCTGCTAATCCAATAGTGGGGTCATTGGCGACCCTTGCCTCGTTAAACCCATGGCTAGTATTCAGACTAGGCTTCAGAGGATGTGAGGCACTGGGGGGGATTGTCGACTCATAGGGCCTGGCAGGAGTGTCTACGACTTCTGGCTTGTCTATTACCTCGATCAGCAATCCGTTTTCTTTTCACATATGGCAGACGGATTTGCTATTCACCATCGAGATCAAGTACCAACGAATCAGCCCCCCATTCTGTAGCTGGGCGTGAGCCCGAGAGAATGAGAGGACTTCCGAAAGGAGTTGACTGTGGCCATGGAGAATTCCCAGTCCGCGGGTCAATCTTGCTACGCTGATAGAACAGCTTTGCATCCGTCTGTGTCATCTGAAGCTCTGCAACAGGGTCATAAAACGTCGTGCGTTCTTGGAGATCTCGTAACAGCATTCCATCGTGGAGATGTTCTTCGTGGCTCTCGAGGGAATCTGGATCGAGTTCTGGGTCGATTAAGCCACTGGTGGCCTGCCCTTGGACAGTTTCATCATCCCCCTCTTCTCTGGTACGAACCGGAAGAGATATGCCGTTACTACCATGCAACGCGTGGTCTAGACAAACGTGATTAGGAGTCTCATTTACGGCAATTCAACAACGCAAAATAACAGCCATGAAGAGCAGAACGAAAAGAGTCGAGGCCGCCCCATTTACTAGGTTCAAAACACGGCCCAATGAAGCGCAACTGGGCAGCCACCAAATGCTTATCCCGGGTATGAACTCACCAGCCATAACTCTAATTCGTTTAGTCGGCCGTCTAATGAATGGATACCGGCAAAATGACTGTGCCAATGGCTGCGCAGTTGGAGATGGGATGGGCCAGTTAGTCGGTGGTGAATGGTTCAAAGTTACACAGCAAGAATTCGGTGGCACAAAAACAAAGAGCCACAGCAAGGCGATCTCAGGTACTTTAGGTACGGGATACATGCAGGCAGTTGGATTAAAGCTAATCCGCACTGGTGTTGGGTCACGCAAATTGGGACTAGCGCCTTGCTGTTTAAATAGAGCCCTTGTCTCTTCAAGTGCCGAGTTTGAGATATACGAGATCGCTGGGGAATTTTTAAATGCACAATTCTGTATTACACTGTTGAAAAAAAAACCGACAGTTGGTGTGTATATATTGACCACCTACCGTTTATACGAATCTAAAATGCGACTTGTATTCTATATAGACTCTTCTAATCGGCCGTTCCAAACCGGATCATGTCGGGGAGTCCATCTCTTCGTCTACTTGCATCTTCTATCAATGACAAGGTATTCGCTCCGAATAACAACGAGATCTAGCTTTTTTGATGAGAATATTCCAGCAGCAATTATTACTCCTTCTTCTTTTCCTTGGCCGGGGCTGGTTTCGGGGCAACGCTGTAGAGGCCGGCGGCTCCAAACACGACTACCGCGCTGAGGAGGGTGCCAGCTTTGAGAGTGTTGCCAAATAGCCAGATGCTTAGCAGGAGACTCATGAGCTTTCGAATGCTAAGTATTATCGTAACGGTGAGTGCCGATGCGCTTGCGGCAAGGAGATTCACGCCACGAATACAGGCATACTGGGTCAACACGTTGGCCGAAAGATAGGCCAGTTGGGACGGAACTCGTACAGGCTGCAGCGATGCAGCGAATGGTATGTTTAGTGCAACAGGAGTGCTCTTGGTTAGCACGAGTAAGTTGCGCCACATGGAGGGCGCAAAGGGCAAAAACAACGGCAGTGACAAGATGTGGGAATAGAAGAGATTCTCTTTCCACTGTGGCCCGTACTTTCGATACGTTGCTTCGGTATACAGCCCCATGATAGCCGAGAGTACTTGGGCGACAAAGATGATTAAGAGCCCAGGATTGAATACAGGGTCAGAAATATCGTCACTCGGTTTCTGTATAACATGTTAGACTGAGAGGAGAGCGTCATCGGTGACGATGACGACCTACTTTGTCTTTTGAATCCGACCAAGCAGCTAGGCTGACGCCAATACTCAGCAGAAACACTGCAAATATTTGGGGGCGTGAATACGTCTTGCCGTAAAGATATCCGGCAGCCATGGTTGTTATGCTACCCCCGGATCGTAGGATGATGTGAACTGGTACGGATATGTCGTAGCTGAAGGCATGGTTGTTCAACACGTTGATGGTAAAGAACAAGAGGATATTGACAAGCCAGCGGCTAAGCGGGACGACGTTGGGAGTCAGGAAGAACGGCGGGCGTGATCTATCGAATTGCGCTATGTAGCCTGTGATGGAGACGAATAGAAATTGAACGAAAGTTACGAGGGTTCCTATGCGGATAAGTGCAAGGTTGGAATCGGTTGTCTATGGAGGGTATGCGAGTGCAAGTTTACCGTTTGTTGGCTCGAAACTATGAGGTGTACATGTTAGATCATGTAAGTAACCGGAATCAGCATTGAACGAGCGGCCTACTTGATGATTGCCTCTAAAGCATACACCTGCGGACACAAACTGTTAAGTCACGCGATCACGAGCGTTCACCACTGGGATACTGGACGCACGTTGGAGCAGCATCCGCCGAAAATCAAGACTGTGATTACCGCCGTGGCGAGCAACGTTGAGCCGCTGTCCACAGCGAAGTGGCGCGCAACATTGGCCAAGGTCGGTGATGGAGGCCCCTTGTTCGATTTCGACTGAACACCCTTGCCCGGTGTCAGTTTGGTTGGAGGAGGCTCCATTGCGTCTCCAATCGTCGAGGCAAGATCATGCCTTGTCGAGGAACAAACATGTGGCAGAAACACTGTTCTGAGGTGCGGGATAGCACAGCCAAGGGTGGTTTGTCATCTTGGCTGAATTAGCATGGGGGTAATTTAGATAAAATCCACCAAACGATGAGGTGAGCTCGTCAATCGATTAAGAATTATTAGAAATAAACCTTGAGCTTTTAAAATAAGACGAAATATTCAACTTATTGTTTTTTTTATTAAAAAAAAGTGTAAATTTAAAGAAATTATATACAAAATGCCCTTATGAAATACAATATTGAGACAACATCTCGCTGAATAATATTAGCTATTTAATATTTAATTATCTTGTTAATAAAATATTAGTAAGATCTTTTCCAATTTCTCCCAAAGCACTACCCTAATTGGTGTAGCTTGCCTCGTTAGCTTGGTGGAGGGGTACTGCTAGTATGACGGATCTCAGCGACGTAAGTCTGATAGGTACCTAATTGCTGCTTTGGCGATTCCACCGTTAAGCAAACCAACTGACCACGAACCCACGACCTTGAAACCAATCGGCGTCTTCTCCCGTGCTCTCGCCGTTTACAAACCGCTACGGCCTGTTCTTTCTCCGCCAAATCTTCCCTGAGCATCGACTCCTCCGATAACACTGCTCAGAAAGGTCCAAGTCCCAGCCAGCTACAATGCCGACCACCACTGCGGAAACCCTCTCGCTGGTTACGAGAAACGTCTCTGTCGCTCCGCTCGTCCTCCTCTCCGCAGTTGACCACTACAACCGAACAGTACACAACAAGACAAAGAGGCGGGTGGTTGGAGTTCTCCTCGGCCAGAACGATGGAAAGAACGTGAGGGTGTCGAACAGCTTTGCAGGTACGTCTAGAGAACTAGGCAGGGAATCTGTGGAGATTCTCTATCCAGTATGGCTCTATGGCTGTATGTTCTAACGAGTCCTCTTCTTTTGTGTAGTCCCTTTCGAGGAGGATGAAAAGGACCCTTCAGTATGGTTCCTGGACCACAACTATGTCGAGTCTATGAACGACATGTTCAAGAAAGTAAATGCGCGCGAGAAGCTGGTGGGGTGGTACCACACTGGACCAAAGCTCCGTGCCTCTGATCTCGAGATCAACGAGCTGTTCAAGCGCTACACACCTAATCCTCTACTGGTCATTATTGATGTCCAGCCAAAGGAATCGGGTGTCCCTACCGACGCGTACTTTGCGGTCGAGGAAATCAAGGATGTAGGTTGCTCTTGGTGACACACTGGGGGGAACGAGCTGACTCTTTTCCTCAACACAGGATGGAACGACGACTGCTCGAACTTTTGTCCACACACCGTCGATTATCGAGGCCGAGGAAGCGGAGGAGATTGGTGTTGAGCACTTGCTAAGGGATATTCGTGACGTTGCTGTTGGCACTCTGTCCACGCGCGTCACTAACCAGCTCCAGTCTCTTCAAGGACTGCACCTTCGGTTACGAGACATTGGTGCCTATCTCCAGAAGGTCCTTGATGGACAGCTCCCCGTCAACCATGCGATCCTTGGCAACCTACAAGACGTTTTCAACCTTCTCCCCAACCTCTCTACACCCGACGATGACAGCAAAGTGGGAAGCCACGAACTATCACACGCCATGAGCATCAAGACCAACGACCAGCTGATGGCCATCTACCTGAGCAGCTTGATACGCGCTATTACTGCATTCCATGATTTAATAGAGAACAAGATCCAGAACCGACAGCAGCAAGACGAGAAGGAACCCAAGAAGGATGAGGCCGCTAATAAGGATGAGAAGAAGGACGGCGCTGCCACCACCGCAAACGGAGAGGGCAAGGAGAGCAGCGACAAGGAGAAGCCCAAAAAGAAATAATGAAAGGGAAAGGTCAATTTGATGCCACCTGAATTTGGTGGGCGAGCAGTGCTTAGAGTAATAAGTGAAACAGTGCTTTCCATATGTTGATGGTAGCAAATCGCTAGGCAAAAAATCAACTCAAATAAACACTTTGCAAGATTCACCCGCGCTTGATCTAACTTGTGCAAATTGTAACACGTGAAATCAGTGGCCTCCAATTATGCCAGCCAACTCTTCTTTTGTTGTGTATCTATCTTGGACGTGGCCTCCAGGAGTCTTCCTCCATTTCTCCGCCAACAGGCATGCGAGGAGGTGTTTACAACACGGAAAATCCTCGAGTGATGTCAATCTATCCAGCCCCAGGTTGCCGAACAATCCCTTCGGTGGAGGATTTTGAAGTTTCTCGCTACTATTGACCACATCATAGTGGGAATACGCATCGAGGGCGAATCCACCACATGAACAGCTCCATGCGTCAAGATGCACCGCATATACCTTTGTTGTTTGCGGCGTGTGTCGTTTACGCCGAGATGTAGTAGAGACGGCAGACTGGACGGTGTACATACATATCTGATCTTTGTGGTCCATTGCTTGCAAGCTGTCCGGGATATAGTCTTCAGACGGTTCGTTTGTATTCTCAATTCCTTCGTGCTTAAGGATATCATCAGGAGATACTGATGCTGGTGCTGCTCCCTGGGGTGCCTTTTGTAACTGGTCTGCTACCAAGAGACGGGTGACCAGGTCACGATCCAGTAGATCCAAGGCCGGCAAGAGGAGACTTGGGAAGATGACATGCAGAGTCAACAATTGCCGGCGCCAGTTCACATCTTCAGCAGATGATGGCGTTTCTCTGATCGACTCGACAGCATCAGGGTTATCAGTGAAATCACTTGCAGCATGGACTCCCGGGAGAGGCGATGGCGGAATAAGGGCCGCGAATAGCTGGTGGTGAGATGGCAGACGATGATCTCCCATCATGAAAGCGTGTTCTGTCTAAGTGCGAGTCCCGGTAAGAGTTGAATGAGGCCTCTCGAGTCTGGATCTCGCTATGTATAGCGTTGGTGATGGCTTATTGGTTTCATCTTGCTGCAATCATCTAGGTGTGGAATAGTGGTGAAACTTTGAAGAAGAGAAAGGGTGCTACTTATGCACCGATTTAGATGAGAGATGGTTCAAACGAAATCATCGTAGGTCAGATCTGCGTAGGTACGGAATCAAGAAGTCGTGACAGATGGTCGTGCCTTTAAATTACAACCACCTAGTCTATTTTAGGCACTAATTTCCTGCTTCAACAACAACCGCGTTATCGCATTCCCACCTCGGGACAGGAAGCAGTATAAAACACTTGTACTCATGATGCCATTGTCTTTGTTTTTTATCTATGCCGCTACACTATAAAATATACTTGTTTTATGCATTATTACACGGGAATATACCAAATCAAACCCACTCCTTGGGCTCCTTCAAGACATCCACCAGTCTCTGCTCCCTGCTCTTGGGCTCTGGCTCGTACATGTACTTCCAGCTTGCCGTCAATGGCAAGCTCATAAGAATACTCTCGACTCGTGATCCAGGCGTGTTCAGTCCAAAGGCGGTGCCTCGGTCGTGAACTAGGTTGAACTCGACATACTTGCCTCTACGGATCTGCTGCCATGCCTTTTCCTTGTCATCGTAGGGCATGTCCTTTCGCTTCTCCAGAATGGGGACGTAGGAGGGCAGGAAGGACTTGAGGCAGTCCTGTATGAATGCAAAGGTGTTCTCCTGGTCTCGCTCTGTCTCGTCTAGATCGTCAAAGAAGATACCGCCCACGCCTCGGCACTCACCACGATGCTTGTTGTAAAAGTACTTGTCGCACCATTTCTTGAATCGGGGATAGTACGTCTTGTCGTGAGAGTCGCAGGCCGCCTTGATTGTCTTGTGGAAGTGGATGGCGTCTTCGTCAAAGAGGTATGAGGGCGTCAGGTCGCAGCCGCCTCCAAACCACCATGCCTGGGAGGTACCGTCGGGATTGGCCGTTTCGAAGTATCGGTAATTCAGGTGCACGGTGGGAGCCATGGGGTTGTACGGATGGAGCACCATGCTTAGGCCTGCGGCGAAGAATTCCAACGACTCGACATCGGGATCAAGGTTCTTGTGGTTTTCGCGCATCTTCAAGATGGCGGGCTTGGGAAGCGTTCCGTAGACGACGCTGACGCCGAGGCCAGCCTTTTCGAAAACGTTACCCTCCTGCAGCACACAGGTTATGCCGCCGCCGCCATTGGGTCGCGTCCACTCGTCTTTGCGAAACTTCTTTCCGTCGATGCGCTCGAGTTCCTTGACAATTATCTGCTGCTGCTCCTTGATGAACTTCTCCATCCGCAGGCGCATGGGCGACTCTTCGGTGACCACTGCTTCCCTCTTCTTCTGCTCATCCTTCTCGGCAAGAGATGTGACGTCGAGCTTAGCAGGCTCTGCTGTTGCCTGGAAAAAGAAACGAGAAGCATGTAAGCTGGAGGGGCCTCGGAACGGATTGTGTCTCCCCGGACCTATCGTGTCCAACTCACCAAGCTGTAGGCCAAGGGAGCCGTGATACCAATGGCGGCGGCTGCCAGCCAAACGGCCGCCGAGGATGAAGTTCCGAAGCTGGCGGGAGCTCGCCGACTGCCCGAAGCGGACGATGCCCATCGATTGAAGGTCAATTGGCCTCTGGGAACCCGCGCCGAGCGCAGACGGATTTGTGCGGCCACGCGCTGGACATGGCGAGAGGCAGCCATTGGTGAAGCCATGGCGGGGTGCAATTGGTGACGAGATGAAGAGGGTTGAGCCTGGGCGACCAAAAGCCGAGACAAGGCGGGCGACGCTGGATTTAATAAGACACAGCTGCCAAAGTAAGCCGGAGAAAGATTTTCTCGTCGTCGTGCTTGTCGTCGAATTGGCCAATTAGCCCCTCCACTGATCGAGCCACCGGATACCTGGTGGCGTGTTCGGTTGTTGAGATCTTCCCACACAAGTCATGGTGGGTTAAAAGTACGGAGCACTGCTTGTCTGACGGCGGCCGGCACAAGCTCGGATCGGAGGGGCAGGTGGAAGCCGGTTGAGCAGAGCATGTCACTATTCGACTAAGGTAGTCTAGACTTGCGTTTGAGCCATGCAGATAGAGAAATGGGGACGTTGAATGGCATGGTGATGTGTGGATTGCGTTTAAGTTATGGAGTTGATGCGCTTGGTTTCGTATTGCCAATAGAAAAGAAACTACTGGCGGAGTGTTGGGCGGCAGACACAACCGAGAGAGACGGCAAAGGAGAGCGACCTTCGGAGTATCTGTGGTACAATGTCTAGCTAAAAGTGCAAGGTACTGCTAGGTACAGTAGAGATGAATGGCACTACCTATACAAAGGCGATTGCAACGGTATAAGCGATGAAAAGATGGATAAAAGAGCAAAAGAGGCTTCATGACAAAAGCATGCACTGACTTTTACCACAGCGAACATGCCTTTGACATAGGTGTCTTGGTAGGCAGCTGATTACTGCATTTACTGTCCATATTGAATTTACTACTATAACAAAGCATCACCTTGGCGTCTACAATCAAAGAATATGGATGGATCCAATGTATACCTCGCTATCTATGGCGTCGGTTGCGTGAGAGCCTTTGATCCCAACAGGTAGTTTTGCGAGTACGCGTACCTCGAGCGTACAGCGTACAGTAAAACGATCACCCGTGCAGATGATGAATATTCCAGAAATGCTACAGCAGTTACTACGTAGGTAAGCCCACGCGCAAGAGTGAAACATGCGGAAATTGTACAGCTACATGTGACCAGAGCAAAGGAACAACCTTGAACCAACCATTTCTTTGTCCGCTTCCCTTCCTCCATGTTAGCAGGTAGACGCTTCTTTAGGTATTTTTCATCTCCTTTCATTTTCCTTGCCTTTCTCTTCTGATAGGGCCAGGATGAATCATCAACAAAGGTGCACGGGGTGCTGATGGATTACAAAGGAGTTCCTTATCCAGATGAGATGAAAGCGAATACGGCGCCCCGAGCTCAGCTGAGGCAGGCCCAGCCCAGCCCAGACGGGAGTACCCCGTACCTGCGCCTTTGTACTCCGTACTCCGTACCTCGACCTTGACCCCTCGTGCGGCTCACTCCAGTCGGGACCTTGCCCGTCAGTGCAAAGGTACCGGGAAGCCCCCCTGGTGACTTGACTGTGAGCGCACAAGGATCCGGCAGCTGATCATGTGGTCTCGCTGCTAGGTACCTGTACGCTGGAGAGACAGTCATCATCGGCGTCCGCGTTGTGCGTGTGTACATAAATCGACCAGCCACAGCTAAGCTCTCCTTGTGCCGTGCAGCTGTGCCGTCGCCGTGCCTGGGTGGGCACCGCAGCCAAAAGGTACTAGGTACCTGGCCTCTGCCGTCACGCTTTGTACCCACCCCGTACCCAGTACAGCAGCCCCGGCTTTGTACCCTGAGTGAGTGAGTGATTCACCGCGTCCCGCATCAACCTTAGCGCGCCACCCAACTCAGTTGAGTGCAGGTTGCGTGCTGCATCCGTTCCCGTTCAGGCCCAGCACACTAAAAGGGCGAGCGTCACTGCCTGCCTGCGCCTCTTGCCTTTTGCCTGGCCTGGCCTGGCCACCGCCTTGTCATCGGGCCAGAGTCACTGGGTCACCCCTCTCCTCCACTTCGTCACCACAGCTTGCCTGGGCTGCCTTAAACTTCTACATCATCTCTACATCCCTGGAATCCCTTTTTCTTCCCCTTTTCATCTCTCCAGATTCACTTTCGACAACCCTCTCCCTCCATCTCCGCGCCATCGCTATTTATCGCCAATATCGCCCTCTGCATCGCCATCGATAGCCACAGCCGCATAACCAACCCGCTGCGCCTTCACTCTCGTCACCCAACACTTGTAACCTTTTGGTTGCCGTCAAGATGCGCAGCAAGTTCAAGGACGAGCACCCCTTCGAGAAGCGCAAGGCCGAGGCCGAGCGCATCCGACAGAAGTATTCCGATCGCATTCCTGTAAGTTGGCGGACACCTACCTTATCATTTGCTCGTCCTCGTCCTCGTTCCCCGTTCCCGCCCCGACCGGGTCCAGCACCCGCCATGCAGCTTGCCGTGGCTACCCTTGCCTTTTGAAGATGAATCTTGATGGCTAACCAAACTTCCTCCTCATAGGTCATCTGCGAAAAGGTCGAGAAGAGCGATATTGCTACCATCGACAAGAAGAAGTACCTGGTCCCCGCGGACCTGACAGTAGGCCAGTTTGTCTACGTCATCCGCAAGAGGATTAAGCTTTCTCCAGAGAAGGCCATTTTCATCTTCGTGGATGAGGTCCTTCCTCCTACTGCCGCTCTCATGAGCAGCATCTACGAGGAGCACAAGGACGAGGACGGGTAAGAGCTCTATCCATCATCTCCACCCATCTCCAGGAACTGCAGGCTAACATTTCATCGCTAGCTTCCTTTACATCACCTACTCCGGCGAGAACACCTTTGGTACCGCATAAACACCGAGGCGATACAGGGGAACTTTCCAAGCCGATGAGGCTGATGCAGGCGTTTTGGTCGTTGGGCTTTTACTCTTTCCGATGGGGGATACTGGTGCTTTGTGATATTGCGAATTCATTGTTTTATCAAACAAGAAGAATCGAGATGAAGATGCTAAGCCATCTATCTCATCTCCATGTTATCCTTGCCACGAGCCTTAGTTTTGGGGGAAATGATTTTGTGTCACGACAAGGGAGGACTGGGTGACTTTCACATGTAGGCGGCCAGGCACCGTATGGACCGTTTCAGCCTCTCCTGCGTGTGACTGTTGCGTTCTCTTTTGCTCCGCGCACCTATGCTTGTTTTCTGTCCTATTGTTGACAGAACAACAGAGATTAATTTTAGCATATCCGCCAATAGACGTTGACTCTTTCCCCAACCTCTTGCGTACTAAGTGAATCTTGTGAACATGTGCATACGGAGCCCCAAGTAAGATCGAGTATGGAACAAGACATTATTATGTATATATATATATAGTTGAGACGAGCATAAACATCGTACTTTGCATGGTATATACGCCCAATCAAAACTGTACCCCCCTCTTGACTGATACGTTTCCCCTTCCTTTCATTAATATTCGTAAAAAAAAATCATCCAAAATTAAACCTTTTCAATATGCGACTCCATGATTCCATCGTATTGATGCATCACCTTCTCATCGATAGATTCGTGGAACACGTCTACCTTTGTAGAAGCAAACTTTCGCGCGCTAATCTTCTTCTCGAACAAGACGTCGAGTTCGGCGAACGTGCGGCCGCGGGGTTCAGGGAGGCGGAAGTAGGTGTAGACGATGCAGCAGAAGCAAATTCCACCCTGAAGAAAAGAAGAGTGTTAGTTTAGATGCAAAAATGGTTTCATTTCATCTGCGACCAGGCAGGGTGTGTGTCTTACCCAGAAGAATCCGGTGTAGTTGCTCCAGTTCCAGGCTGTGGGGTTCAGCATGTACGGCGTCAGGACGTTGGTGATGATGCCGACGATGTTGCTAGACGAAAGAGGTTAGCACATCTGATCGCTCAGTAGTATTTATGCAAAGTGAAGAAGAACTTACTAGAGGTTTCGTGCCAGCACAACCGTCTTGATTTGCAGTCTACGCGATGAAAGCTCGCCGACAAGGGAGTAGCACACGGTGCCGACGGTGAGCTGGTAAAAGAGGGCCCAGACGACCATGATGCTTCCGGTGGCGAGGGAGCCTTCTCTCCTGTGCGACTCTGGTACCAGACCCAAGAAACCCAAGACGAACAGCATGCTGCAGAGGCCGCAGAGGCCGTAGAGATACAGAGAGCGGCGGCCGATGCCCATCGTCATCAAGCCCCATGCGCCAAAGACGCCGACCATGTTGATGGCGTACTGGCCCAAGGCGAACGAGTAAGAGTCCCTGGTGGAGAGACCGGCCTGCTGCAAAAAGTAGGTGGAGTAGTTGGAGAAGGCGTTGCCGCTCAGGTTCTGGATGGCCCAGGTCATGCAGACAATCTCGGTACGGCGCCGGTCAACGCCCTTGAAGCAGTCCCAGTACGAGGCACCGGCGGTGATCTTCTCCTCGAGGGCAGTCGTGTGCACCATCATGGCCACCGTCTCGTCGGCGTCAAAGTCGGTCTCGCGGTTCAGGCTGGTCAAGCGGAGCAGCGCCCGCTTGGCCTCCTCAGCCTTGCCCCGGCGAACGAGCCACCAAGGAGATTCCGGGGCAAAGTAGATGGCGATGAAGAGCGGGAGGGGCCACATCCACTGCAGACCGTAAGGGATACGGTAGGCCCACTGGTCGTTGCGCTTCAGCATGGCGTAGATGACGCCGATGCCAATCTCTTGGCCGAGACCCCAGCAGAAGTTGACATAGGTGGTGAGGTAGCCTCGCAGCGCAACAGGGCAGACTTCGGAGGCGTAAGTGACGGTGATGGTCTGGAAGATGCCCCAGGGGATACCGCACAGGATCTCGGCGACCAGCAGCGTCTGGACGTTGGGTGCGGTGAAGAAGATGGCAGTAAAGGCGGCGACCAAGACGAGACATCCCATGACGGTTTTCCTGTAGCCGAATCTCTCGGAGACGAAGCCGTTGATGAAGAGACCAATGATTTCACCGACGGTGGCGCCCTGTTGTTTTGGCCAAGCTGTTAGCGCTGATGTTTCTTCCGACAAGATTGTGACTAGGTAGGTAGTCTAGAGGTCCCCATAGATGCAATGGGATGGGTAGGGGGTGGGACATACGTTACTCAAGCCAGACTGCCACCTGGCAGGTACTTGATACTTGCCATCGGGGTACAGCTCACCGTATTTCTCATTGAATTGAGGAAATGCGTCTGGCCGACATGTTAGCTTGCTGATTGGGATATCATGTGTTGAGCCGCTTGGATGGGAGCGTCTTACAGAAGTTGTTGACCAAGCTGATATCGTAGCCTTCCATGACAATGCATGTGGAGATGATCATGCTCCAAGCAATGGCCTTGGGATACAGCTTGATGCCCTGGAGCAGAGTCATGGACTGTTCCTTGGCAGCGGCCGCTCTGGCACTCTCGATAAGCACACGGCGGCCCTTGGACAACTCTTCGTCCCCTTCGCCGTCGACGTCGACGACGCCTCCGGTGGTGGCATCTTTGGACGTCTGGATGTCGACACCATCCTGATGAGGAGAAATCTCCTTTTCAGTAGCAGGCGATGCCATGATGTGAGTGGTGGGGGTGTAGTCTTGAAAGAAGAAGAAGTGAGGTAAAGAGCAGCAAAAAAGTTACTGGAACATCAGGGTGCCCCGGTGTACCAATGCTCTTCGCAACAAAGTGTGCTGAAGAAAGGATGGATGGACAAGGGCCGAGGAGAGAGAGAGAGGGTGGAGGTGGGAGGAGAGGGAAGGATATATAGGTGAAGGCGACGGAGCGGAGATGAGAGTACGGAGTAGAGGAGAGAGAAAAAAAAAGGCTCCTCAAAAGACGAGGTCGAGATGCAATGCGAGGCCGGGGTCAGTTCGATTGACGCGGGTCTAAATAAGCCGAGCCCTCTGGTGTCGATCCAATGATGCTCGCCCGTTTCTCTGGAGCCTTGGCTGAAGTGGGCTTTTGGAGCAAATCGGTGATGATAACCAAACCAACGGGCACTGGAAGAGGCAATGGGGGGGACACCACCGCAAAACCAGGGTTTGGTTTGTCAAGTAGTGTTTCTCCTTCTTCTTTCTTTCCCCTCTTTCGACAGGCTCACCGTTGTCGGTTTTGGATGGATGGCAAAAAGGAACCGAGCATGGCCAAACGGAAAAATCTTTGTTAGCTCATCATATCTCCTCTGGCAGGACTAGTTTGCAAAAGCAATGCCGGGAGTGGCTCGTGGCGGCGGAGGAGCCCGCACAAGCATGCTAAAGGCTCTAGGTTCTAGGAAGCACGCGACTTTGGCTAGCCTTACTTAGTCCGGCAAAGTAGCAGTGCAAAAACGATGGGGCAAGCCGAGAATTGTCATGATGTGAGTGGATGGGCGGCGAGTAGGTTTTGCTCTAGGCGGGTGAGAAGATGAAAAATTCCCCTGGTCTGGTCTTGGGGGTTCACCGCTTGTGGGCTTCTGGAAAGTTGTTTTGTTGGCTGTTGCTCGTGGTAATGCGGCAGGTCGTTTTTTGTCTGTTGAAGAGAGGGGGGAAACGTGGGCTAGCAGGTACATAGCATGGGGGCACATGTATCCAGGCTGGCACAAATGACCTCTGCCGACGACAGGAGCTGATGGTATGCGAAAAGGGTCCCAGTTCACGAGGCGTTAATGTTTATCAGCAAGCACATTTACATTTGGCGATTTCATACGAGTCCATGGATGGTGAAACTACAAGGCGGAAGGGGGCTAGAGAGAGAGGCATTCTGCCCGTAAGATACGTCAAGAGGAAAGAGACGCCGGAGCCATCTATGTACGAGCAGAACCCAAACCAAGGTCCCAAGTAGTATCCGGCATCTCAAATCTAGAATCTAGACTATAGATAGATAGCACATGTCGTTCGCAGCAAGGCTGAAAAGGGACCAAACGAGCCTCCGACGGACGGGCCAATGGCAGGCGTCGCGATTCTCGTCGTCGAGGCAAGCTGTCGTCATGCTCCCGCAATCCCCACGGGGTAGAATCGCGATGCGGGGGAGCGCTAGATGCGCCCAGGACGCTCTGCCCCATCTGACATGTCCTTGTCGAATCTGGCATGCTGGGGAAAAGCCTCCCTGCGTCCTGGAACTGCGCCTGTTTGGCGATTTGCCTGGCCATCATTCTTTGGTGTCGTGGGCCGCCGAAAAAAGCATCGCGGCCCACTGCGTTTTCGGCGGCGCTAGCTATAAGAGGCAGAATGTTCAACACTCGCCTCGCCGCTAAATTTCCTATCTAAGGAATTCTTCAGACCTTGATGTGGATATGCCTAAAAGTAGTAACATCGGCCTAGTGATGGCTCCTCATCCTGGGCAAAGCTGCTTCAATATTACCATGGGGTGCTATCACGGGCCTCACAGGAGCATTTTGGCGGCGTTGATTTGCTTTTCACGTGGTCCAAATGCGTTTCTACGGCTACGGGTAATTCTCAGATAACTGACCGAGGGAATGTTTTTCCCAGACACAATACAAACTGCATACCTACATAAATCCCGCAGTCGTCAAACCACCAAAAAGATTGTGAAAATTTGAACTGGTTTGGGTTATAATTTCCTGCTTCTTGTTCGAATATGGTCCATACAACCAGGTCCTTCTATTGCTTGTATTTACACCAAGTACAATGCTAGCACATCCAGGTGGCCTGGTACATCCTATGTGTTGAGAGTGGCTTCAACACCTCAACACTCGTTTTCCAGCATCCTGTGTCTCAAGTTTGAAGCAACTGATAATATCAGATAATAGAGGGATATCACCATAGTAGCAGATATTAAAAGAAACCAGTTGAAAGTAGCGAATGTAGCAGAGATTTAAAGAACTTCCATGGCATCTACAGGTACCTTAGTACAGGTAACCAGGCAAGTACTACAGGTACCTGGTACTTGTTGTAATGAATAAAACGCTTTGTTCCGCATCTTGCTCTGACACTTCAATTCCAGTCAATCACCAAAGTGCTGGGTAGCCAGTGCAGTTTGGGGTGCTGAACAGCCTCTCCAAAAAAAAAAATAGGTGTTCCATCTTGACCACTGTAGTAAGCACCATGGCACTTCTCTCTGTATGCTGTGGTACTACTTATTGACGTCAAATTAGAAGCCTCTATTTAAACGCATATAGTACTCAACCAGTGCTGTTTTATTCACTTCAGCGCAGTGAATATCACATAGGTAGATAAATGCAGGTTTTCAGCCTCACCCTGTACTCGATTTGCGCGATGAACCATTTTCATCGAGGCTGTGAGCCCAAAATACGCCTGCGGCACGTGGCATGCAGCATGCATGTACCTGTAAGTGTGCAACATGACCCCCGATCCTCAAGGCTGTGTAGAGAAAACTCCCTCGCCTACAATTGATGTTTGAGAAGCAGTAAACCGCCACACTGCACTCAGTAGATTGGTGTCGTTGCAGCTGTCCGAGAGTGGATTTATAGGCGCAATGGGGAAAACCCGTGGCCACGAGGCCAACATGAAGCCAGTCTCCAGCAGGAGGATTTGGGGCCGGATGAAAGCAATCGTCAGGCCTCCAGCTCGACCTGCTGCCTCCGCGACCGCCCCAGGCAACACGAAGACAACATCGTCTGATCAGGCTGCAACTAATTCCGCTTTACTAAACTCTCCGCCAGCTGCTGTAGACACCGTTGATGAGCTTCCGCAACCCTCTACTGCAACAGGCTCCTCTAAGCCCAAACTTGACGATGGTGATCCCGCCCCATCCAGCTCGACAGTACTTGCGGCGGATACAGGTGACAAACCCCCGTCAGGTTGTTTATCCAATTCCCCTGGAGGAAGCAGCTTATGGGAGAAAGCCTACAATGCTGCGACTCCGAACACGAAGAAATGGATTGACGGGCTTTTGAAGTCAAACGTAACATGGATGTCAGCCAAGAGTACGCAAACGGAGGAGCTCATTGAAGTTGTTCGAGAAATAGAAACAAGACACCAAGGCCATGCTCTTCGGATTCCAGTAGGAGGAAAACAAATCCTCTGGAAAGATTATGCGCCTCGAGTTATATCTTTCATCAAAGTCATTGGGAGCATTACCATTCAGCTCGCTCCTGCTCCATCAGATATCATTTGGTCGGCATTGAAGACGGTCCTGCAGGTATTATCCTACTACTCCAAGATTCCTCCACCTGTGACCATGTCTCGCAGCTCGTCTAATCAGATGATAGATGTCTGTTGCACCAGGCGAGGAGCTTGCCGCTGTTCTAGGATGCTCCGAAAAGGTTCTGAGCATCGTAAGACGTGGAAAGGTGTATGAGGCTCTATATCTGAATGGTGCCAACACTTTTGTTCCAGTACAGGACGATTTGGAGCGCTCGCTTGTTGACGTGTATACAAAATCACTAGACTTGCTTGCTCATGTTGGACAGCGCCTGGCAGGAGGCCATCGGCATTTACTTCTTGCGATTGTCAACCCTGGCGAGGCCGAAGGCCTAATGGCTAGCCTAATCAAATGCGAGAATGATGTGATCACAGCAGCTCAGGCCTGTGAGGTCGTGCGGAGCGCCGACGCGGACGAGCGTTTGAGCACCATGTTGAACAGCCTCAGCGAGCCATTGAGGCAAACAAACGACAGAATTCGTGACTTTCTTGAAGAAGAAGTCAAAGAGAACGACATTATCAAAGCTTTGAAATCTTTGAGCCCCATCAACTTCGGAGATCAACATCGCATAAGGGCCGAACCGAGGACCCCAGGAACCGGAGAATGGCTATTACAACATAAAAAATTCCAAGAATGGGAGCACATCCCGGCGTCGACAATCCTGTGGCTCCAAGGTACCAGTAAGTAATCACAGCGGAGAAAGCGTATCCCTCTGTATAGCCATCTGACGCTTTATGGTACAGTGGGTATGGGGAAATCGTTCCTTGCTTCCAAAGTTGTAGATCGATTTCTTCTAAAGACTGGTGCGCGCTATAAGCACGAGTCTAATGGCGATCAAGGGCTTGCCTTTTTCTATTGTAATAGAGGCCAGCCTGATCTTCAAACCCCCCTTTTGATTCTTCGAAGCTTTGTTCGTCAACTATCTACATCTCCACGCTATCTGAAGATGATGAGAAAAAGTCTTATAAGGCTATACCGTGAAAATAAAATGAATGGGTTAGAACTGGGGTTTGACGCTTGTCAAGAGCAACTCTTGGAATCGGTGAACCTCTACCCTCAAACTGTCATTATTCTGGATGGTTTGGATGAATGCATTGCAGAGTCAAAGGATAAACTCATCACCCTTTTAGCTAATCTTGTCAAGGATGCTCAGCATTCTGTCAAGATTTTTATCTCTAGTCGACGGGAACAGGATATCGTGAAATTACTCCCCGCTGGATCAATCATCGAGATTGATGCCAATGATAACCGGGATGATATCCAAAAATTCATTGAGGAAAAGATGGAAGAGATAGAAATGAGAGGATCGTGGGAATCCATCTCAAAAGAGCTAAAGTCAGATATTAAAAGCACTCTTTGCAAAGGCAGCGATGGCATGTAGGTCACCAAGAATGCAACCGTACATGCATGTCATGTACATGTGTTTTCCAACTACAACACGCAACTAACGTTCGCCTAGGTTCAGATGGGCTTCTGTGCAGTTGGAGCAACTATCCGAATGCCAACAAGCCAAGGAAATCAGAGATAGGCTTGGAAAACTTCCAATGTCTCTAAACGCCTCTTACCATGAACTCTTCACCGGGATGAGCAGCCACAGCCAAGAAACACTACGGCGTACAGTCATGTGGGTGATGTGTGCTTATGAGCCTTTATCAAGCAGCCGGCTACTTGCTGCTGTTCGGCTCTCCATGCACGGCGACGGAGAGAGCCATGATGTAGAAGAAGAACTTACAGAGGAGACTCTTCGCTCAATCTGCCGCCACCTGGTTGTCATAGATTCTAAGCGAGATGTATGGAAGTTCCCGCATGCATCGGTCATTGAATACTTTGAGACAACGCATAAGTGGACAATGGCGAAGGCACATTCTTTTGTCGCCAAGCACTCTCTACTCTGTCTCATCGACAGCTATTCTAAGTGGCAGCTGCCCTCACGCTTTGAAAGAATTGATGGAGTATCAACAACAGACCACAAGAGAGATCCCCAGCACCCGGTCAGCTATTTTCAAGAGTATGTGGGGGTCTATTGGTTTCAGCATGTCCACAGCCTTGAAGACGTACAACCTCATGACCCTCAACTATCACGACTGGTAAAGCGTTTCATGGGACTCAACAGCTCTCTTCAACAGAGCAGTCAGCAGTACCGCCGTTGGCTTGAGCACAGGCAAAACGTGCACGCAACTGGACTTGTGCGTAAAACAACCAACTTTTCTGATCTTTTCCCCTTGACAAATCCTATTTTTGGTGCCTGTGCTTTTGGTCTCTGTCGTGTTTTACAGGACTGGTGGTCAGCTGGTGTCGATGTCTCACAAATCAACGGGGAAGGGCTAGACCTGCTCGCAATCGCCGCAGGACGTGGACACCGACACCTTTGCGAGAAGCTGATAGGCCTTGGAGCAGATGTCAACAGGGTGCTCTGCAACGGGGAGACGAGCGCCCTGAATGAAGCAACGACTCTGGCAGGTAACCTGGATGTGATACGATTCCTTCTTGACAACGATGCCGACCCAAACCTCCCTTTGGAGACCCCTATCCTCTATAGGAGCGCGGCATACTGTGGTCTAGCAATTTCCGAGGCCCTTCTAGAAGCGGGCGCCAATCCCGATGTACATTCTCGTCTGGGCAGCCCTCTCGAAATTGCTGGAGAGAGGTCGGATTACGAGCTAGCAGAGCTCTTGATACAGTACAAGGCGACTGTCAATTTTTACACCGCGGACGGAGTGCTTGGGAGTCCCCTTGCCGCAGCCGCTCATGGAGGGTCAATCGAGCTTGTTCAACTGCTGATAAAGCATGGAGCCGAAGTGAATGCTCCTCTAACGCATGGCATATACAGAAGTGCTCTGGCAGCAGCGTGTTTTGGAAATGGCGGCGTTGGTATGGTACAGTATTTGATCGAAGAGGCTGGTGCGGATCCGAACATCATATCCACGAATCCGCCATCAATTCCTCCTCGGATTTATTATGCCGACGCGGCGTATGAGAGTGGGAGATATCTGAAAGAGAATGGCCATGTGGTGGATGAAGATGTTTTGAGAAAGGCTGGCATGGGGCGATGATGGTTCGAAGCGTCCGAGATGTAATAAGGAGTGGCTATTCAGGACAAACTGAGTTTAAGTCAATACCAGGTTTCCGAGGCATTATTCTACAATTGCTACTTTATTCTAGCATCTGTTATAGCTGGGGTATTCTGGAATGTCTAATATTATCGCCAGATTGAATGCAATACTGTTGGATATCCGACCCCGGTTGCTGTGATGGGTGCTCACTCCCGAGATATCGGTACTAGTGTAGTAGTAATTACCTATGTTACGGAAAGGACTTGATTTAGGGAATCATCTTAAATTGCCCACCATCCAACTACTTTTTGCCAATGGAAAATCCAATCCAAGTCTTTGTTAGTTCAGTCATCCACTTCGGAGGTGTTTCGGAGCTTATGTTAGGAGGTACACAATAGAGGCCTACTAAGGTAGACTAAGCTGAAGCTCTCCGAGTCTCCCCGCAAACCTGCTGGAGCCCTACGAGGCTTTGTGTAGAAAGTACGCGTAGTAGTTGGTGTTACGCATGTACCATCCATACGCTGCTGTGATGCAAGGGCGACATGAGGCTTGATGGGTCTGACTACATGTAGATTCGAGTTTCCGTGATAAGATACTCTAGACAATCACCCAAATCACAAAAACATTTCATCATCCGCAACCAATTCCATTTTTTCCCTGTCCTCTTGACTTCCCCGTTTCCACCTAGCGGTGCCTGTTGTTCCGAAGTCACTAAACCAAGCCCAGCAGGCGACCCACCAGAATTTTCCCCAGAGCCCAGCGACATCGAACCACGTCCAAAGCTCTGACTGTACCTCTTCTCTTCGGTCTGACTACAACCACCTCTTGGCCTCTTTCGTGACTGGGCAGCTTGACGAGCCTCAGACTCTGCGGGATACTCAATTGCCCTGTATTTTATCCTGCTTCTCACGCAGATCTTTTCTCTCTCCTTCTCCCCTCTCCAACCCCCGCCTCAGACTCCCCCCCCCCCCCCGGCGGAAATAATGCTGTCCACTCTCCGAGTTGCGAGCAGGCGAGCTGCTCTGCGCCCTGCGACCCTGAGCCTCGCTAGCCGTGCTGCTCTGTCTACCTGGATCAACGTGCCCCAGGGCCCTCCTGTGAGTTGATAACAAGACTGGCGCTGTCTGCGGTGACACTGGCTGACAATTGGGCATAGGATGTAAGTTGGTCATGAACGAGGCCAATCGAGCCTGACACCACCCGGAGGCCGATATATACCCTCATCTCCATATATATACGAATGTATATGCTTCAGTTGCACCAGATAGACTAACAAGAGTCCCAATTCGCCTGTATATAGGCTATTCTTGGTATGGCTACCCTTCACTGACGTCTGCTACCTGCCCGGTAGACTCAGCTACTAAGCTGCCTTACACGCTGTTCAAGCTGTTCCAGCCTGACTAACTCCCCTTCTTTTTAGGCATTACCGAAGCTTTCAAGGCCGACAAGTTCGACAAGAAGATCAACCTCGGTACGAATACCCCTTCACTCTTTCGAACGACTTGCCAGGAAACCCGCGTATCCAAATGCGCCCTTTGGATTGGGTACCACTGATTTACGGCAACGCCGGCTAACCATATTTATTGCATGGTTTTAGGTGTTGGCGCATACCGTGATGATGCTGGCAAGCCCTACGTCCTCCCCTCCGTCCGTGAGGCCGAGAAGAAGATCATCGACGACAAGCTGAACAAGGAGTACGCCGGCATCACTGGTGTCCCGGAGTTCCCTCCCCTGGCCGCCAAGCTTGCCTACGGCCCCAACCAGGACGTCCTCGACCGTGTTGCCATCTCCCAGACCATCTCCGGCACCGGTGCCCTGCGTCTTGGTGCTGCTTTCCTGCAGCGCTGGTACTCTGGCGACAAGAAGATCTTCATCCCCAACCCTTCATGGGCCAACCACAAGGCCGTCTTCAGCGACGCCGGCCTCAAGGTCGAGACCTACCGCTACTACAACAAGGAGACCATCGGCCTTGACTTTGAGGGCCTGGTTGCCGACCTCAAGGCTGCTCCCCTGGGCAGTGTCTTCCTGTTCCACGCCTGCGCACACAACCCTACCGGTGTCGACCCCACCCCTGAGCAGTGGAAGGAGATCTCCAAGGTCGTCAAGGAGCAGAACCACTTTGCCTTTTTCGACATGGCCTACCAGGGCTTTGCCAGCGGTGACACTGACCGTGACGCCTTTGCTGTTCGCTACTTTGTCGAGCAGGGCCACGACATTGCTCTCTGCCAGTCATTCGCCAAGAACATGGTAAGCACCGTCATATGAGATACTCTTAATGAACCTCTATCATAAGTAGTATTGATATGCTAATTCATCTCTAGGGCCTCTACGGAGAGCGTGTTGGTGCCTTCTCCCTGACCACCGCCGACGCTGCCGAGAAGAAGAAGGTTGATTCTCAGCTCAAGATCCTCATCCGACCCCTGTACTCCAACCCTCCCATCCACGGAGCCCGCATCGCCTCCGAGGTCCTGAGCAACCCCAAGCTGTACAAGCAGTGGCTCGGCGAGGTCAAGGAGATGGCCGACCGCATCATCACCATGCGCGCCCTGCTCAAAGAGAACCTCGAGAAGCTCGGCTCCAAGCACGACTGGTCCCACATCACCAGCCAGATCGGCATGTTCGCCTACACTGGCCTGAACGCCGAGGAGATGGAGAAGCTGGCCAAGGAGTACTCCGTCTACGCCACCAAGGATGGCCGTATCTCCGTTGCTGGCATCACCACTGCCAACGTTGGCCGCCTGGCCGAGGCCATCTTCAAGGTCAAGGGTTAAGCGCTCGAAGGGTGAAAAAAGTTACATTAGAAAGGTTGGAATAAAAGGGAGATCCATCGAATTGTTTTAGGACAGCTAGAGGGGATTATTCAATCTGGAAAAAGCAAAATTGGCGTCTCTTTAGCTGCCAATTCACTGTGTTGTAATAGTTGCTGTAACAATATGACGAAGGAATGTCTCTGATGATCACATTCTACCTCTTGCCTCTGTATGCCTTTCTTTCAAGGTCTTGTATCTTTAAAAAAAAACAGAAAAGATTACGCATGCTATGTCAGTTTAACAAAATTCGAACAAGTCTTGTCATCATAAATCATGAAAGTCGTAATCGGTCCATGTCTCTCTTGGCCTCTTCCACACGCTTCCCAACATCCTTATACAATGTGGGCACATCTCTCGACGACCTACCTTCATCTTCATCTTCCGACGATTCGCTACGAGAATACTCCTCGTGAGCTTCCATCTCGGCTTGCAGCTTCCGGGCCCTCTCCGCGATGCGTCCGTTTGCGTCCTTCAAGTGAGTAACGTAATGCTGCAGCGCGAGTATACTCTCTGGCGTATAAACTTCTTTTCGAAGCTTCCACATTGCTTGCTCGGCCTGCTTCTCCGCGCGCTGCGCGTCCAACGAAACATCCGACGCGCGAAGCTCTAAACTACGAGCAATGACGCCGTGCTTTGCCTCGAGGGATCGTATGAGGCAAGTCAGGCATTCTGCAAAGGTTTGGAGGAGACTGGTGAGAGATGTGACGGTGCGTATACGGGCTGCTTTCAGTGCTTCTTCAGCAGCAGATAGGCTCGTATTGAGAGCGGCGAAATCCTTTGGGAGAGAAGCGATGTGACGGTGGAGATAGGTAGGATTCGTAGCGGGATGGGCGAAGCGAGCAAGACCCAGGGCAGAAGCATGAAGATTGCACGATATCAAGTCGGCGAGGTCGGGCAGCAGAGTTTCAAAGTCGGAGAGCGGCGGGCTGGAAAGCAGCAAGGTGAGAGAGTCGTGAGGCAGCGTGTCGACGGCATCGAGGAACGAGGGGAGGACGAGGAGCAGGTCGAGGAGGGCCTCGGGGGTGGATTCGGCCGAGGACTGGGATTGTCGCTGCTGGAGACGCTCGCTGGCCCGGGAGAGTCTTGTGGATGTTGATGATGATGAGGGTTTGGGCTCGGGGGGCGCGGCGGTTGCGATGGCGCGTTCTAGGAGGTAGTGCTTTGCGGCTTTCTGGCGATGTTTGTCCAGGTTCTGGAAAGGGGATTGTTAATACCGGATGGGATGATGATGGATTTGGGACAATTAATAGAAAGAAGGGAAAGGACGGTATACCTTTTGTACTGTGGCTCTGTCTTTGGCCTCGTCGTCCTCCTTGGTTGAGCCATCAGGGTTCAAGATGGCCGTGGTGATGATGCGGTAGAGCTTTGCAAACTCTGGGTTGCTTTGCAGGATCTTTTGCTCAACTGGGGGGAACATGCCTCTGCACCAATTGAGCAGCCAATCTGGATTGAATTGTCTGATTCTCTAGATAATGAAAGACAAGAAACAGAGAAAAAGAAAAAGAAAGAGTTTCCAGCAGCCATCTAGTAGTCAAGTCAAGTATAGCTTCATTCCCCCCGCTGAAAGCAGCAGCAGCCCAACTCAATTCAACGTGGGGTTAAGACAGCTGTGACAGTTCCCTAGCCTAGGTACTTTCTAGGTACCTCTTGAGCGCGTGAAAGAGCACCGCAGGGTCTCGTGACTTTGTACTCTGGTACCCGGCACAGAAACCATTCCCGCATCGGAGCGGATCATTTAGATGTTGCGTGCTATTGGTCACAACTGTGCGACTCCAAACAGGCCATAACCAAAATTCTCCCAGAAAGTTTGGATGGAGGGGTCTTCAAGGTGGTTGTTTTTTTTTTTTTTCATGTAAGCGCCCCCAATTGAGCTCACCGTCGCTGCTCCAAACCCTTCCAATGGTCTCGTTATAAGACCACCCAGCAACCTTTTCCGTTTAACAATTTCCCCCGGCTCCGAGCAAAGGGCGGCTCGGTTCACAGCAGCAACATCATGTCGTCCTCTTTGCCCTCATTCAAGGCCCTTGCGGCTTCGGCCTCGAGATCAACCCCACGGATCACCTCGACATACTCCTCCCTCCGCCCTCTCTCCCAGATCCAAACCCAGCCGTCATCATCAACAACGTCCTCAACCGCCCGAGCCTTCTCAACCACCGCTTCCCGGCCCACAAAGACGGTAAAACCGCACCGTCTGCCCAGCGACCTCATCCCGCCATACCCCTACGGCGAGCGCCGCGTCTACAAGCAGTCCAACAACGGCCTCTACGGCAGCGCCCGCATCCGCTTCGGCAACAACGTCGCCGAGAAGCACAACAACAAGTCCCGCCGCTTCTGGCGCCCCAACGTCCACGTCAAGACCTTCCTCATGCCCTCCCTCGGCGCCCGCATCAAGACCCGCCTCACCCTGCGCGTCCTCAAGACCGTCCGCCGCGAGGGCGGCATCGAAAACTACCTGCTCAAGAGCAAGCCCGCCCGCGTCAAGGAGCTCGGCCCGGGAGGCTGGAACCTGCGCTGGCTGCTCATGCAGAGCCGCGCCGTCCAGCAGCGCTTCAACGACGAGCGCGTTGCGCTGGGGCTCGAGCCCAGGGAGCTGGAGGACAGGGACGACGTCATTCAGTATGCGCTGGATTACGCCACGCCGGGTCCTTTGAGCTTGCGCAGCCAGGCGACGCTGGCGGAGATGAGGGCTGCCTTGGACCAGACTTTTGTCCTGGGCGACGAGGACTTGGCCAATCTCGAGGGCATCGAGGAGCTGTCTGACGAGGAGGAGGAGCTGCTTCTACGAGAGCTGGATAGGGCTGAGGAGGCGGCGAGGTTAAAAGGCGTCAAAGCGGAAAAGCAAAGCATTGAGGTGTAAAGGGACCCTCAAATCCCTTTTGGAGAAATTTTGTATATCATTGTATGTATGTAGGAACTCATCATGTAGAATAAACCCCACCATCCCGGAGCAAAGCAAACCACACGAAAAGAAAAGACAACTACTAGCCAGCATCCCGTGCCTCGGATTTCTGTGGCTGCATAGTAGACAGTAACCTGGAAATGATATTGCTAGAAATAAGAGAGCAGACACTAGAAAAGCATAGCCATAGTAGCAGATACGAAGGGGATGTAGCGATAGTTGTCCAAAGTGTCGGATAATAGTGACAGTAGTAGAAATTCTGAAGACTATCTAAATGGAAGCCACCTGGAGGAAACAAATTTCAGTTCAAAGGGTATGACAGACGGATCGATCACGCCAACATGGCACAGGATAATGAGGAACGGGTGTCAGTGCCAGCAGATGACGGTTATGTCCTGCAGCACTACTTATGACGAGAATCCTGACCATGATTTGATTGGCGATGCAGTGGAAAAGGTAAAATACTCTCTGCTAGGCACCTAGATCGGTCCGCATGATCTTCTGTGCGGGTTTCCAATTCCTGGATAGCCACGTGGGTGAACGTGAATACTTTGCAACGCAGCATCAAGATTCAAGTTTGATCTTTGCCGTTCGTGTCCACGTCCCTCATGTTCTTTACCACTATCGCCGCCACGAGGCTTGTTGCTGGCATGATGTGATAAGACTCCGAAGGTGGTCGTTCGTTGTGTCAACTCTGCCGTCTTGGTGGAAAAATCTCGATAACACCCTTAGGTTGACCATGTCTGCGCTTTGATCGCTCCAGTACTGACACACTTAGGTCCTTGGGTACCTACGGTAAGTAAATAAAGAATTCCCTTTACATCGTGTTCCATCATTTGAACCTCACGCAGTCGCTGATGTGCTAGACAACTAATTTGGGGTACTGGCTAGTATTTGTCAAAGAAAAAAAAAGATCAATTTGAAACGCCTGATATCCTGAGCACATGACTACAAAACTTTTTACGCCGCCACCAATCTCATGCTAAAGAAACCTCTTTATGAAGAGAGAAAAAAAAACCCCTACCCGAGCCCTCTAAAAACGAAGATCCCAGCCAATCTTGGGGCCAAGTCTGGGCAATTCCTCGGCCACGCTCTGCACATCCTTGTCTCCTCTGCCGGAAAGGCAGATGACAAGGTCCTCATCCTTATTCATCGTCTTGGCCAGCTCAATGGCACCGTAGATTCCGTGAGCCGACTCCAGCGCGGGGATGATACCTTCCAGCTGGCTGAGAAGTCTGAAGCCAGTGAGAGCCTCAGCGTCAGTTGCGGCAATGAACTTGGCTCGCTCAGCATCCTTCCATGAGCTCAGCTCGGGGCCGACACCGGGGTAGTCGAGACCAGCAGAGACAGAGTGCGTCTCAATGATCTGGCCGTTCTTGTCCTGGAGAACGTAGGTGCGGACTCCGTGAAGAACACCCTTTGATCCACCGGTAAGGGTAGCGCTGTGTCTGGCCGTGTCGACACCATCACCACCAGCCTCGACACCCAGAAGCTTGACAGTAGGGTCGTTGGCAAATGGGTAGAACATGCCAACGGCGTTGCTGCCTCCACCAACGCAAGCAACAACGGCATCGGGGAGCTTGCCTCGCATCTCCATCATCTGCTTCTTGGTCTCGTCACCAATGACGGACTGGAATGTCCTCACAATGGTAGGATAGGGGTGAGGTCCAATGGCGGATCCGATAATGTAGTGAGTGGTCTCGAGGTCAACCACCCAGGCACGAAGAGCCTCGTTGACGGCATCTCGGAGAGTCTTGCTTCCAGCTTCGACGGCAACAACCTTGGCGCCAAGCAGTCTCATTCTGAAGACGTTGAGAGCCTGTCGACGGACATCCTCCTGTTCAATAGTGTCAGTCACATAATTTTCCTCGATTTTGTTCTAGGGGGGTTAAGTCTTACAGCTCCCATGTAAACTGTGCACTCCATGCCAAATTTGGCACACACAGTCGCAGTGGCAACACCGTGTTGGCCGGCTCCAGTCTCAGCAATGATCTTGGTCTTTCCCAGACGTCTGGCCAGGAGCAGCTGTCCGAGGGCGTTGTTGATCTTGTGGCTACCGGTGTGGTTAAGATCCTCTCGCTTGAGCCAGATGTTGGCACCGCCGCAGTGCTCGGTAAGACGGTCTGCCAGGTGGAGGCGAGAAGGTCGTCCCATGTAGTCATAGTATGATCGGTACTCCTCCCAGAACGAGGGGTCGTCCTTGATCTTGTTGAAACCTTCCTCAAGCTCGGACAAGCAGTCCATCAAACTCTCGGGCACATACTGGCCACCAAACTCTCCAAATCGCTCGGGAATTTTGCCGTGGAGAGCTGCCAACTGAGCCACCAAAGCGCTGTCTTGCTCTGCGGTGATGCGGTCATCATCAGTGACAACGGCATTGACAGAAACGGAATCTGAGCTGGCACCCTGGTTGCCAGGGGCGTCCTGAACCAGGGTAACTTCGTCGTTGAGGACAGGAGGTCGAGAGTCGCGGCCGCAAAGATAGGCGCAGTATTTCTCAACGTCGGCGTCGTGCTGGCCAGAAGCAGACTTCTGAATGGTGGTAATGATCTGGCTGCCGACAACGACACCGTCGGCGATAGCGGCGACGCTCTGGAAGTGTTCGTGGGTGCTGACACCGAAGCCGACGGCTGCTGGTTTGTTGCCGCTGTACTTCTTGACTCGGCCGAGGAGATCGGGGAGTGCGGTATTGAGAGATCCGGTAGCGCCGGTAACGCCCTGTCTTGAGACAACGTAGATGAAGGAATCTGCGAGCTGGCAAAGAATCTTCATACGGGTATCTGAGGTTGCAGGAGCGATCAAGGGGACATATGAGAGGCTAACATTGATGTAATTGATTAGCAATTGCTCCAATGAAACGAAGAAACAGGAATCGTGATGAGAATTGGCAAACTCACTGGCCCTTGGTGCAGAGCTTGCGGAAGGAGACGGCCTCCTCTGGGGGCAAGTCGACGACGATGAAGCCATTGACGCCAGAGGCTTGGCAGTCCTGCAGCAGACGCTCCTCGCCGTAGCTGAGGAGGGGGTTGTAGTAGCCCATGAGCATGACGGGCGCCTTGAGGCCGCGGGCTCTGGCCTCCTTGACCATGCCCAGGGTGGACTCGATGCTCACGCCATTTTGCAGAGCAATCTGCATCGCACAAAGTTAGAAAGGAGCTGCAGCATATTTATTTCTCCCGGCTTCTTCGTACCGTGTTTGCCGTCTGAATGGTCGGCCCGTCGGCAATGGGATCCGTGAAGGGAGCGCCGAGTTCGAGGACGTCTGCAGTAACAATTAACACCAGCTCTGACTCCCCATCCACCTGCTTTGCGCCCAGACTCACCAGCTCCTCCCCTCTCCATGGCCAGCAAGATGCCGGGCGTGTCTTCCGGTCGAGGGTATCCCGCAGTCACATACGTGACCAGCGCCGGCTACAGGTATTGAAGATTCAATGTCAGCAAATGCCCATCATGTCATCCCCCGCGATGATACCCCGCGGTAAGTCAGTCATGGCTGAGATGGCAAAAAGAAGTACGAACCCGGCCCTGCGCCTTGCAGCGTTGAAATGTCTGCTTGATGGCTTCCATGATGTCTCGTCTCTGTGTCGTGCCGCTCCAAGTGTCAAAATCTGCGTCAATGTCAAGTCGAAATCTGCAGTGGCAAAGGGAATCAACGGTGTTTTTAAGAAGCAAATCGATTCTTGATGCCCGCCGCCCGATTTCCGGAAGAATGCGGTCCGCCCCTCCATTTTGCCTCTGCGGCAGGCACTAAGAAGATGGCACCTGCATGAAAAGCCCCGCCTCCCGCAGATGCAAGCTGCAGCCCAGCCCGGACTTGCCCAATGCGGCAATACCCTGCAACGATGCGAGATGCCTCACATGCGATGCAATGCAATGTATCAATACTAAAGTCCGGAGTACATGCTGGTGTATGCATATACCTTGGTAGTAATACTTGGACAATACAGAGTCCGAATAAGGGAGCTAATGTTGTATCTACTACTATTATTGTTACTACCTTGTGACATTTGTTACTTGCCATGGACATGAATTGGTTCCAATCTGACACAAGTCGCCACCAAATAACGCCTCTTTTTTGGCATTCCTATTGTCACTGATTAGCTTAGTCGTAGTCGTACATTTCTAGTCAACTATGACTCAAAAAACTCAATCAGACGTCTATTGAAATTACATCCATCAGCTTATTCGACTCAAACTCAATGCGGAGATTCTTATTTAGGTTTTGCAACTTTGCCAATCTCTCTAAAGATGAAAATACATGAAGCCAAAAATAACAAAATAAACCACCCAAAAATGCCTGAGATATCCCCCGACGCCGACCTTCTATGGTCCCTTGAACGCTTTACCATTTTACCAGCAAGTAGTTTTTCTCTTTTTTTTCTTATGCTTCCTTTCACCCTGCTGAGCCAGCTCTAGCCCGAGCTATTACTTATACTAATTCCAAGAAATTAAAACATCAACTCTCTCCCATTTCCCAACCGTACAACCCCCCTCCCACCCCCCCTTAGTTCTCCTGAACCAACATTCATTAAAACGCATTCTTCTCATTGTAGCCATCATATGGGTTGTTGCTCCGCATGCTCGGCTTCGTTGGGCTCGCACCGTAGACAAACTTCTCGTTATTTGCATCCCTCGCTGAACTGCTGCTGCCGCTGCTGCCGCCAACCGCATTCGAGGAAGAAGCCGTTGGCTCCCACGGAGGTGGCGGGTCTCGAGACCAGGACGAACGCACAGAAGGCGCAGTAGAAATAGGGCGTTCATTCTCCTGCGTTGGGTAGCGGATGCCTCCCTCCGCACGGCTGCGCTCGTCCGTGTTCAAGCCCACAAGGGTCTGAATCACACCAATCAAGACAACAATCACATACACAAGGAAGATGCCGGTTGAGATGAGTGCTTCCTGCACCAGGTTGCCACGCAGCCAGTTGGTGACGTGGTCGACGGCTCCGCTAACCTCGTCGGCCGAGGCGGATGAAGGGTCGGAGAGGAAGCTGTTCACGCCCGAATCGCCAGCCATAGAACTGTTGGCTCCCGCGCTGAACGTGTCGTTGGGGAAGAGAGGGAGGGTAACGTGAGCGTGGTCGTGGACCCACGTCAGTCCCTTTTGCACGCTCTCAATCTTGAGCCCAATGACGCAGTGAAGAACCGACTGGATGGGCCCCAGAAGAATGGTGCCGCCGAGCGCAGCGTCCAGCCCTTCCTGCATCTTGTCCACAAACACGTTGATTGTGTCGTTCACCGCGGTCGTTGCGTTGTTGACGTAGCCGAAAAGATCATTGTTAATCTCGTCGTTGAGATCCGTAATGACCCCGTTGGCACTCGCAGCCCAGGAGTCGGAGACGTTGCGCAGGCTGTCGACAACGTTTTCCGCAAACGACCCGACTTCTTGAGATAGTGCGGGCGTCTTCTCCTGTACAGACCTGAGGAGAATGTACTGGCATATGCATGCAAAGAAGCCAGAAAGGGCAAGTGACAGGACGAACAAGGCAGCCGGCGAGGTGGCATATGCAATGCACCAGCGGACCAGAATCTGCTTCTTGCCGCTCATGTTCTTCGTGAACCTGATGCCGTACGACGCAGTATGGGGCCGAGAAGCGATGTAGATGACGTCCATCGGGTCCTGCTCACCCTGGTTGACGAGTTTGGAATGCTGCTTCTGCAGCCGCCAGCGACGAATCTCCAGCCAGGCCATGGGAACCATGGCACCCACCGCCACCAAGGAGAGAACAACAATGAATGTCACACGAGCCTTGGACACCATCTCCTGCAAGTTGGTAAAGAACCGGTTCAGCGAGTCGTTATCAGAGCAGAACGTCAGTTCTTGCTTCTCGGCAAGAGGGAAAGCGCTTTTGTTGAACTCGTATTTGCCATAATGCTCGTCCAAAGCCTCGCGCAGCTTCTCAAAGGGATACGAGATGGCGGTCTCGGTCAAGTTTTGGACCTCCTCAAACGTGGGGAGCTTGTCGTTGAGCTCCTGAACGCCACCGACGAACCCTGTCGAATTCAGCTGGAAGTCCTTGAGCTCCTCGATGGGTCCCGTAAAGTTGACTTTGGGAATCGACGGAAGCAATTTGCCAAAGACTGAATCCTCGATGCTGGCTGTCATGTTTGAGATGGCATTTTGCAAGGAATTCGCAAGCTTGGAAATGTCGGTGACGGTACCGTTGATTAGGCCGTTGAATGCTTCTGTCGCATCTGCGGTAACGTTGGCAACGACATCGAGGGTCCCGTGTATCATAGCCGTGACGAGGCAAGTGTATGTGGCCGTCAAGAAGTTGATGTAGAAGATGATGATGTTCTCGACGCCGCTAATCACCATATCGAGTAGTTCCACCATGCCATGGACGCTCGTCTCGACACCCAAGGCAACAAGATCGTTGACTCCCTGGGAGAGATAATGAGGCATTGAAGCCATGGCGCTGCCTACGCCTTCGACTTTTTCACAGGCAGAAAGAGCCTTGACCTCTGCATCGGCGAGATTCTCTCGTAGCTGGGCGATTAGAATGACGGTGCGAGCCAAGACAATGATTAGGAGGACAGTCCACCGGTTGATCCATATCTGCGAAAGACGGGACCGAAGACTGAGGTAGGGCGTGATGTATGGAGCCGTATCTGCGCGCGGCTCTATGGATCCTTGGGGTCTTGACGGATCGACGGAATCGAGTCGAAGAGTCTCTGGAACATGAGGGAACGGCGGCGGGTTTTCGCCATTTCGAGAAAGAAACATTTTGGTCCGATGGATGCTGAAGAGCGTAATTCGTGATGTATCGAAAGAGAGGACAGATGATATTCAAAGTGGTAGTGAAGAGTGATGCTTGTTACGGCCGGCCGCTGAATATAGAACCAAAGGAAAGTAGGTAGTAGAAGAAACGACAAGAGTAGAAGAAATGTAAAAAGAGCGCCCAAAGAAAAGAGGGAAAAAAAGATTGTACCAAAGGAGAAAAAGAAAAGTGACAAAAGAGATTGAACAGAAGGAAATATTATAGCTATTCACTCATCATGATTCAATGCCGCGGAAACCCGTGAGGACAAAGCAAAGCCTTTAAGAACAATAACGCGCAGCACCGCAACGACAATAAGATCAAGAATTCACTGCAAAAGAGGGGCCAAAGTGAACGGCAACTGACACGCCGTGTTCAGCAAACAGGGATCAAAGCCGAGCGCATATTTTCGTCTTTTGGCAAACATGGCTTTTTTTCTTTTCCATCGGAGAGATTACAATTTCGAAATAGCAGCCCGGAGGCCGTCGATTCGACAAGAGACGCTGCATCTGCCATGCTGCCTGTGGATCTGTCTAAGCGCCCTGTCAAGGTCTTGGGCCAGCCAGTCATAGCTCGCGATGCCACCGTAATCGGCACAACTTCAGACTCCAGCCCCAGTTCAGATCTGGCCAAACAGCCGTCATTCATGTCATGATCCGCTTGCCGTTTTGTTTTTTGGCGCGCAGCTCGTCAAGGCCCAGCCAGGGATTTTTTTTGGTTTGGTCAGGGTCAGGCAGCAAAAACACCGACAAAAGCGGCGGACGGAGAGAGAAGCGCCCACCACTCACTCCAAAGGGCGAGATGAAACACCGCCTCGATCGCCCTAGCAATGACGTACGTACTCGTAGAGATGCCCCAAGAAAACACACAGCCGGGGATAGTATATTTCAAAGAGAAAACAAATCGACTGGCCACGCGCTCAGCTTGGCAAACTGAAGGACGCTTCCCGCTCACCCAAAGGAAAAAAAAAAGGTCCGAAAATGGCCTCACGAGATGGCGCCCCAAGTTGCCTCCCCAAGCAGCGGCACGTCACGGGGGAGGATGTTTCGTATTCAGACCAGCATCACGGACAATTTCCCTCTTTGCCATCACGCGGTATTGGCGTCACTCCACAGATGGAGTTTGCAACACGTAAAAACAGAAAACGAGGGTATCTTGATCATCAGGTTACCAGGGAGCACAAGAACTTTGTACTGTAACAGCGGGTTGAGAGCTCTGGACCAATGGATAGCCGCGCAACAGCGTAAGCCGAGCTTATGTAATGCCTCTCAGGCGCCATCTGAGCGACTCTTGATGGGCGGATGGGAAATTGTAGGGCGGCTCTTGGTAGCACTGATTTAGTTTCAGGGCCAGTGGTTCGGTCATTTGAGCAAGTTCTTCTATAGAATAGGTATTCATGATACTCACCGCCGCTTCCCTTCTCTAAAAGAGAGGAGATCCAGAGGCAGCGGGCGGGCCCTCTTATAACCGCCCAACAAGCGCCGGCGAAGCGCCCAGTCCATCGACCTCACTTACACATACCCAGTATCAAGGGACAAACTGGCTCTGGCGCGAACTCTTCTGCTTATTTATACATGAGATTTGCCACGCTGTTTCTCTCTTGGGATGTTTATTTCCTCAGTGTTCAATTGATCACAGCCCGCCCGCCACAGTGCATCACCGCCTCTGCTGAGACAGCAATTAGACACCATTAATTACTACCACGCAATCACATACAAAGGCTTGGCAAACATGGCAATCCCGGATGAAAGACACTACACAGCAATAACGTGCTCTTCGTATTGAATTTAATATATGGGAATAGGAGGCTTGTATGAAGCCTTGCATTAAATCATTTAAATCAGGAGCATATCGTTCGAAAACGCTTCACAATCATTCAATCCCTCCCCCACCTGACCTCTTTCGAGTCATTCATTAACCGCCCACTAACAAATTTACACATCAACATTCTTGTTGGCACCAACGACGACATCCTCAATGGTCTCGTCGGAGAACTTGAGATCCTCCTCGATGGAGACGTGATCCTGGATCTTGAAGAAGACCACGGGGGCGGCCAGAAGGAGAGATCCGGCAAGGACACCCCAGGTGGCGGCGAACATGGTGATGTAAGGCTTGCCAAGTCCGTCAAGGCGCCAGAAAATGGCAGCACCAACGGACTGGAAGGACTTGTAGAAACCTATCATGACCCAGTCAGTACAGACGTCCGATTGATATGTTGGACATAAGAGGGAATAAAAAAAAAACTTACCAGCCATGTTGGCAGTCTTGCGGCCAGAGTTGGACAATGAACCCATCCACCAGTAAATGTTGGTCTGCCAGATAGCATCGTAGAAGCCGTAGAAGAAGTACAGGAACATGGGGCCAATGAAGAGCTTGCCGCCATCCTCCCAGTCAACCTTTTGGGATTCGTAGTCGGGCTGGGAAACGACGGAGCGAGGAGGCTGCATCTTCTGCCAGGCATATCCACCACCCCAGATGGCAAAAGTGAGGACGAAGAGGAAGACAAAGGAGGCCTTGGCACGGGTGCTACGGCTGACGCCAGTGTAATCCAGGGCAAAGCCGTTGATGACGGCACCGATGATCTGGGCGAGCCAGTACAGCAGGTTGTTGAGGGATCGGGTGCGGATGTTGAAGGCGGCGGCGTTCATGTCGTTGTTCTGGTAGGTGTAGAAGATGTTGGAGGCGAAGAACATGGGGAAGAGGAGGAGGACATAGGGAGCGTTGTACAGAGTCTCCCAAAGACCCTTGAACTCACTGGTCCACGAGGGGTTCTTCATCAGGACGATCTTGGTGCCGTCCTCACGAATGACCTTGTTGGCGTCAAGCAGGAAGAAGCAGAGGACCAAGCCGAGGAACATGAGGACGATGAAAGCAGCATAGGTGCCATCGCTGACAGTTCCACTGTGGCTGTGGATGTTTTGAGCCAGGGGAATCTATAGACGCGCAAAGTCAGTTATCAAGGCGTGCCAAGTTCAAATGATATATAAAAGGACGTACCAGAGAGCCAATGACGGCACCCAGGTTGAAAATGATCCAGAAGGTGGCAATGTAGCGACCCTTCTTGTCCTCAGGAGGGTAGGACATCATGACGGCACCCTGGGCGGTCCAGAGCAGACCAGCGCAAACACCGAGGAAAGCACCGGCGAAGATGACGAAGCCGATGTTCTTGTTGTGGTTGTAGCTGAGGAAAGAGGCGCTGTAGATGCAGTATCCGAGACCGCCAAAGCCGAGAGTGAGACGGAGACCAAGACGGTTGGCAAAAGTACCAGAGAAGAAACCAACGACGGCAAAGGTGCTGTAGAGGGCGACACTGGAGTGATCCTGGGCCGTGGGGTCGACCTGACCACCACCTCCCAGACCAGTCAAGGAGTTGTACATGCCGGGGCAGAGGAAACACACGAGAGCGACCAGCACGAGCTGGACTCTGGGCGAGGCATAGTAAATCTCCCTGCCAAAGACCTTGTAGCCCTTGTAAATCCATCCGGGAGGCCGGTCATGAAACTCGTTCTGGGCAGCCGCATAGGAGTCGACGGGAGCGACCTCCGGAGCGGCAGGCTCCGCAACGTGCTTCTCATCATCAGCCATGGTGAGGGAGCTGGCTGTGCTTTCCGAATTGATGTTCTGGAAAGGCTTTCTCTTTTCTGAAACTTGTCAAAGAGGGGCCTCTCGTACTGATGAAAAGCTCAGTAGAGGGTGACACGCTCAATGGGGGAGCAGAGCGTTTTCTGTCTGTGGCGCGTGTTCCAGTCCGAAGCCGTGGAACCGAGGCGACAATTGGGAGCGGACAGTGAAGAAAGAAGGCTCAAGCAGATCCAGAATCGAATCCGGGGGACCTGATGATATATGAAGGCCGCGCAGATCTGACGGGCAATGCTTTGGAGGGTAGTATCGGCAGGGCTACCCCATGGATCCCAATTGCTCCAGGGGACGGTACAAACAAAGTCAAGGTTGCTTATCCCCAGCTAGCCCTCGAGCAACCACTTGCGATTGCTGGGTGCCCAGTGGATGGACGGATGGACGGCGAGCGCTAGGTTGGTGCGGAGACAAGACAGGCTGGGGATCGAGAGGGACCACAAGTCACACCACAAATCGCCAGCATACTCGTACTCAGGCTCACACTTGCTTGTACGAGTACAACTACAGGCAGAGCCGCAGGATTCCTGCACGCGGATCAAGGTGTGAGTCCCCCCGTCCTGCAGTACCTGTACGAGATAGGAGTCGAAGATGCACCTCCACTGCCAGTCGTAGCGGCGGCAGCAAAAAGTAACACGGTACCTACTTTTTGCTGGGCCGTAACCTAGCCTCGCACAAGTGCATACAACGTGGATCCCGGGGCGTTGGTAGCAGCCAAGGGAAGGGCGGCCAAATACGCAGAAAGCAGCCTGGTTGGTTAATGCGACCTTCTGGAGGAGCAGGGGGTCGCTGGGTAAGTAACAAGGTGGATAAGACAAAGGTTGCATCACAGGCTACGTGACAATCAGGAATGTGGGAAGGGCGCTGACTAGTGCTCGTACAGGCCGGTGGTACAGGTAGTACGGAACGAGGTTCGACGAGATACTCGTACCTTGGTATTCGTAGATAGCAGAGACGAGGCGAGGCGAGGCAACGGGAAGCCTAGCCAGAGCCAGACCAGAGGCAAAAGAACGCTTCCAATTTGCTAATCACGGAGACGACCGGGAAAACAGGCTTTGCTAACAAGCTTTTTTTTTTTCCCCCAGCAACGGTGTGCGGCTGTCGCTAGCCAGATACGAGACAAGGCATTGATTGATTGGCATGTGGTCTTGTGTTTTTGACCGACAAACACGACTTTCTGCTAAGAATAGATGTTACTCGTACTCTTTTCCCGAGTTCGGAAGGATTTCATGACAAGTAACGAGGTGCTGCTGATATGATATCGAGATACGGGCATCCATCATCCACGTCTCTGACAACACACGGACGGGATGGCATGATACGAAGCGACGGCTACTGCAAGCAAGGCAAGGCGAACAAGCTGGCCCGCGTCCACTCCGTATCTCAGGCGGAAAAAAGGTCGTCCGTCACAAGACAAAAGAGGAATGTATAGATAAAGAAAAGAAAAATTTAGAGGGGAAAAATAAGAGCAAAGCAAAAAGGCCAGGGTCTGGCCACGCCGCGCTACTGTAATATTTTTTGATGAGCGAGGATCCGTGAGGTGGAGCGGCGCCACTCGGCTATGCCGCCACAACAGCACGCGACTTTGGATGAAATGCCAGTGAGTCGATTCTCGTGAGAGAGAGATAGGAAACTTTGTATTGTGCATGGAGAAATACTGTAGGATCAAAGAAACGTGTGTACTGTCAAGGTAGTCCGAGGGGGGGGAGGGGCTATCGCTGAGGTACCAGTACGGAGCACAGACAGACAGACAGACAGACAGACAGACAGACAGACAGACAGACAGACAGACAGACAGACAGACAGACAGACAGACAGACAGACAGACAGACAGACATGTGTGTATCGTACAAGTATGCAAGCAGACATGGGGTGGCAGATGGCAGCAGCAAACCTCTGGCAATCTCTGCAGATTGGACGCCTCTGTTGGATTCCAGCAGCAGCACCGCGGGCGCCCGTACATTGGCCCAAGAGCGCAATGCAACCCATGTCGCGTCCGATATTGCTCTTCCTGCAGTGAGGTTGTGATTCCGCCATACGACGCCCTTGCGACCAATGCGTGCTAGCAGCAGATGCAGACCTGCGCTCTTGGGGCAGGACCCGAGCAAGGGAACGTTCTTGAGCCCGTCCTCCCCACGGCGTGGCTTTCTCCTTTAGATATGGAGGGGGGTTTTTTTTTTCTGGCTTTCTGGCTGAGGGTGTGGTGGCATGGTCTCAACGGCTTCAGTGGGTGGCGTCGCAGTTTTCGGTTGGATCAGCCATCAAGCGTTTCTGCATCTCCAATCCCCGGATTCCGCACCCCATGCCCTTTTGAGTCAGTGTACAGTACTCGGAGAACGAAATCACGAGCAAAGTATCATTGTCACTCGCTTCTCGCCGGCCCTTGGCTCTCTCTCGCCTCCCGGAGAACGGTTTCGACAGCGTTGATCCCCTGGCCACCTCGCAGGCACGCCACGCTACCAATCCCTCCCTCCCCCGTATCGACGGTTACTCTTCGTATCTTGGACCATCAGATGCACAGGCACATAAGCTGAAGTCATCAGACAAATGTTCCGGGGAAAATGATTTAAAACAGAAGCCTCTGGCAACCCCGGCCTCCCAGCCAAAGGGCTCTGGTCAGCTCGCGGGTGAAGGCCCGAATGGCCCCAGCAGCTGGTTGTCTCTGGCGTCCTGGCCCAGATCGAGGCGTCCGCCACCGCCCCCAAACGGGCATTAGCGGTTTGGTGGCTGACAGTCCGCGACTCTTTGGTTCGCCTTCGCAATGGGCTAATCAAGAGATGTGCCGTGGTCAAGCTCCAGCGAACTGCGCCTGAGGAGGGAAAAACGTCCGGGGCGGGGCGCGCTTCGGCATGGGGAGAAGAAAGAAGAAAAGATTGGATGGGATAGATGAGAGAAGCGGCTGGACGCTTGTTGATAGAGGCTGCAGACTGATTCAGGGCATAATGGAGGCGGTCGCTTCTTCTTCGGTTATCAGATCCGCGGGTGAGAGACCCGGATCCTACTCGTACCTGGTAGCTGCACCACCATCTACAGCATCCTCCCACTGTCCTCGTGTCTGGGACATGCACGCATACATACATGTACATACTCGTACACGATGTTCTCGTTGCGATACTACACTACAGTACATACAATGGCGGCCCTCCGAAATCCTTCTCGGGCGCTTCTCGATCGCACCAACGCCGCCACAGCACGCTTGCCAAGGGCAAACGGGTCACCCGCCTGCGAGAAGCCGAACGCCATTGACCTTCTGTGGGCACAAAGAAAAAGCAAAGGAGATCGTTTTTTAAAGTTCCGAGTTGAGTCTAGACCATCCATGTAACGTTCCCTCGTCCCGTCCTCCCATCAGCCATCTAACGAAGTAGTCATAGTTCACCAGGGGGGCTCTCTCAGCTGACTAACTTTTACGACTTCCAAAATCGAGCTTCTGTGATCCGTAATTTCCAACGACCATGAATCCGAGATCTCGCTCCGCGATCAGGGAATCCATTCTCTCAGCTCGGTTCGTCAGTAACTGCTAGAGGCCTGTCAGTGACGGGACGAGCCATTGTTACAAGTATATGCAACCGCATGCAAGCGAGAGAGATTAGCCTACCCCCCCCTCCTCCCTCCTGTTGGGCATCGCTGCACCAGAAGCTGGCTCGTGACAGTTGTCCCAGCTAATTCGAGGCCAACAGAGGATTGTACTGTACTGTACTGTACTGTAGACCCCTCCGCACTCGTTGCCATCGCGGGGCCCCAGCTCTCCCCATGCCAACATGTTTGGAGAAAGCTGCAGTGGTACGAGTAGTCCAGTATGGAGTAGTGGTTCCAGCAGCTGTAATTGCGTGTAGAGTAAAGCACCAACACAAAACACAGCAAACCAACAAATTGTTATACTCTATCCAACATTCCCATCCAAACTTTTTTACTCTCTTCTTCTTTAGGCATCAATCTCCTCTCTCTCTCAACGGCGCCTTCACCAAAAAGCTCCCAGAACTTGCCTAGCCGCGATTTTCTGTCGCAAATACCCACCTCCCAGCGCCACCCACCACCCACCACCCAGATTCTAACGTGCAAAGCTCTGCATCTCCGAGCCAGGGAAAGGGATCCTACCTACATACACATGCACGCGCTACCGTTATCAATGTGGTGTGGCCCGTGATTAATCTCCATGCACTCGTACATGTACAAATATATCCATACTGTAGTAGCAGAGGTAGTGCGAGTGTGTATACAAGTACAAGTACGAGTACCCAGAGAGACACAGAGAGGCTCCGTACGTACGGGGTCCTCGGTAGCCGTCAACTTAGGTTATCAGGTACCTAACAATCTAATACGCCTACACACACCCGCTGCGCTCCGTTCACATATGGATCTGGTCCATATAGCCCAGAACTAGTGGTTCTAAAGAAATGTTACATCCGTCTCAAAGACCAACAAACACACAAGTACAAGTATACACACCTTTCTTCACACATTACGTACTCCGTACACGCCACTCGAAATTGAACGTGCCACCACCAGGGGATTGAAGCTGATACTGCATCAAAGATAGTCAACGATAGGAAACCACTCGTAAACGCTGCCGTAATTGTCTATTCCAACCCAAGAGATGGATCAAACATAGCCAAGATAAGGTAGCGAATAGATTATCGATGCATGTCCCTCACAGCTTATCTCTCAAGGCACTCACTCCCCTTGCCGTTCAACCAAAACTTATCATCAAAACTCCCCCGAAAAGCAACAATCCCAGGTTCCACCAACCGTTCCAAGCACGTTACCTAACCGTCTCGGCGCCCAGTCTCACACGTTTGATTCCCTTCTCCCGGCGGCTGCGCTTCTTTGCTTCCGAGGGGGCCTGGGCCTAACTAAGCCCAAGGCGATACCCCCGGAGAGACATGGAAAACAAGGCTAAACATGTGGTCAAGCCATTCGACACGTCTCCATCTCCATTCTCCATCTCCGTGGCCCATTGTCCTTGTCCTTGTCCTTGTCCCAATGTACGTTCCATCCCACCATCTTTCACTTACATGGCCATGCGTTTTCCATGTCCGCCACGTGCATTGGGTTACATCTTTCATGTGCATCGCCATCTCAGCGCTGCCTCGCTCCCCCGTGACACATGCTTAAGCGCCGATATCAAAAGTCACCAAGGTCTAAGCTACCTACCTGTAGCTTGTAGCTTGCAGTGTTCAGCACGGATTCTTTCAGCTCCTCCATTGTTTTGTTTACTAACATGATATCAAATTTCATATCTCTTTACTCTCTCTACCTTGGTTTAATTTGCCATCCGATACAGATTCTAACTCCCATGTACGCAAAACCTTCCATGTCCACAGCGCGCCCACCTCATCCCTTCGTGACGCCGTCCCATGACCGCTTTAGCATGTTCGCGTTCCGCAATTCTTCCCAATAATTCGCCAAAAAAAAGGACAGATCATGTATCATCTCAATCAATAGGACTTGCTCAAAAATTAGGCCCTTTTGTGTTCCAACGCCCGTGCCACCCGATATAAAACGAAAGCAGTCACTAACTCCGGTACCCTCACCCCGTCCCAGCGAACGAATTTCAAGAAAGAAAGAAAAAAACAAGTTATATCATGTAACGAGGCATTAAGAGCGAAATAGCACACCTCCTCAACTCTTTCGTATTCAATAAACCCCATACATGAGGTGAACGGACAAAGTCGTATGTTCAGAAGACCTCGTCTGGAGCGAAGCCCTTAGAACCGTTATAAGGGCCCGTCTTTGTTCGCTCGCTTTCCGCCACAACAGAAACATGGTAGCTCAGGTATATATGAGGTGCAATGCTGATCAGAGCCCCAAGGCTGAGCGTTTGCATTTCAGGGGTTAAGAGAGAAATTAACCAGAACAATGACGGGGTATCAAAATCAAATGTAAGTAGCTTTGTATAGGTGCGCGGAGGCCATGTAGAGTTTTTTGAGAATGTCGTTACCCCCCGATGGTCAATCAAGATTCGCGGGGAGAGCAAGGGCGAATGACAGGAGCATCCCTATGATGGCGTCGAGCTCTGTCCACTGCGCGTCATCCAGCCAAAAAGATCAGTTCGAGTAGACGGAGCTGCCAGTGTCGCAGCCGCAGCCGGTGGCTCAGAGTCTCGTTTTAATGACGATTCGCGAGGCTCCAACAAGAGACTTTTTCGATAATATGTCACCTGAACATTCCCCTGGTCTCCTTCGCGGATGAGCTGGAATTGTGCGGATATCCATTCCTGCATATCAGGCAGCTCTGTCAACCTGTATGGGATTTGAAACCGCTGAAGCTCTCCGATAATCTTGGCTGTGCGAGTGTGTTTGTCAAAGTTGACAACAGTCAAGCCCTCCGCACCGTCTCCCTCGGCCACTTGCTTTGTTGACGCATTGCCAATGTCGACAAAAGTCAAGTCAGTCAGGTACATGCCTAGGAAAGGGAGACAAGGAGGAACGTGATTTTGCAGCTTGGCGCGGAGAACTTTGTTGTTCTGTCCCGGCTCTACAATGTCCTGTAACTGGCGGAGGCTGTCTTTGCGCTTCTGTGAGATCGTATCCCAAGTTTTGCGCAGGCGACTAATGGTGCTGCTGTTAAGGGTGCAGATGATGGACATCAAGCCATCGTAATTGTTGAGCTCGAGGAACTGCTGCGCAATCTTGATCCACTGCTTGATGACGGCTGCACGCTTCTTGAGTTCTGTATGGTGAAGAATCGTTTCAGCGACCATGTTGGATAAGTCAGTAGACATAGAAGACATGGCTTTGACGTTGGGAGCATTCACTCCGCCCTTTTTCATCCACTGAGAGGCCAAAAGCTCCTCGGGCAAGATGGCGCAGAAAATGGTCATCTGCATAATGGTCAATTGACGAGCGAGCTCCAGCGGATCAAAGTCGAGTATGGTTGGCGAAGCGCTGCCAGTTTTGAAGGACTGCAACATGTTCTGCTGACCCTTTGAAATGACGGAAGAGGGAAGAGGCAGATCCGCGGGCACATATTGGCCAATGGCCGTGCTTGTCTTGCCCATAGAAGAGACAAGCCGAGGCACCAGCGCGCCTTCGCCCGACACACGATTCGCTAGTTCCAGCAGTCGGGAGCCAGCAGATGGCAAGACGGCATTAAGCCGATCCTCTGCGAAAGGGATAATAATCGCCAGTGCTTCACGGTCGGCGGCATCACGCCAGTGCGATTCAAGCCAGCCCTTGAAAGCATTATATACTCGCAGGCGGACGGGGCCTGAAGTCTGTGGCGATTCCTCCGCGTATTCGAATCGATCGATGAGCGCCTCCGTCAACTGCATGGGAGTGCAGAATAGCCTAAAGGTCAGGAAGAATGTTGAAACGAATGTGGCATCGGGAGTTGCCTCGTGTGTGGTCAACCGTTCGACCAACGCCGGGAGCGTACCCCCCGTTACTTGACCTTCTTTGTTGAAAACCAGCTCATGCGCATACGTCTTCATTAAAAGTTTAGATTCGGCTTCGTCAGCTTCCTCGGTGGGGATGGAGTGAATGGAGCTTCCCGTAGTGCTCAGTTCGGATATAGAAGGTTGGCTCCGGGGAACCATTGTATGATCAGGAGTAGTGGCGCGGGTTGAGGTCTGAGATACCAGGCTGACTTCTGAGTCCCGGCTCATGTATGTTGTGCTGCTTCCAGCGCTGGAACCAGCCATGCTATCAAAGGAGGAATGGGGATCCTGGTCCCGAGCAGAGCCGCTTTCGATTGTGCTCTGCTGCTCCCTGGGCATAGGAGTAGTGGTAAGTTTTGGTAGTTGCGGCAGTGTTCGGCCAATAGATGTGGCAGAAGATGCCGGGCTGGATACAGTTTCCTCTGCTACCGATGGGGGGCGGGACGTCTTGGGAGATTGGTTTTGAGGAGTGGACTCTTCGTCGGGCTGGCTGTCAGGGACTCGGGGCAGTGGCTTGTCAAGTGCCACCACGCTCGGCCGTCTGACGGAAGAGCTTATTGAGTCACTCGTAGTATGAGCAGAGCCAGTAACGCTAGCAACCTCAGATCTCTCTGCCAATGATGGAGTTCTCGAATGTGTTGTAGTTGCATCGAGAATACTCAAATCTAATTGCAGGGCGTTGCCATCAGACTCGAGCTCAAAGTCTCCTGTTCTCTCAATTACGCCCTTCGTTATGGCAACGCATTCACCAGCTGCTCGTACACAGCTTGTTGCCGACATTAGCATAATGTTATTGTCTTGTGGCATAATGATATCAGCTCCCTCTGTTTCCGCATTCGCTAGAGTATCTCGAGCAGCAAACACAAGCTCTTGGATACGGTCAAGCAAGGATTCCCTCGACGATACCAACGCGCCAATCATAGAGCTGCTTTGCGCAGAAACAGCGTCGACAACGGCCAGGAGTTCTCCTCCAGATATGGCAGACAGCTTGATGGCGGTTGCAAGCTCAGGCCGTGACTGAGATTGCAAGTGTAGGCGCCCAATGAATGAGCCAAGATGGGAGAGGAACGTATCATGGCTTTTACTGAGACGCTCAGAGACTAAATGGTGAGGACGAGAAAGGGGTGATGGTCCAGCCAGCGACAGTCGGTGAGCCATATTTGCAGAGAGTCGGTTCATGCTTACTTGAGAGTGTCGGCGGGAGTTGGCGCCGACCTGGGCACTTAGGGATGATAGTCGCTTACTCCAGCGGGCACCCTGGGCTGGTCGACTTAGGGTTCCTGTCTCTGTGGATGTATGAGAGACGGCATCTCCAGCAGTTGCGGCGGCAGAAGCACGGTCATCCGTGGCCGTTTGTGTCTGCTCGCCAAACACGGCCCTATCAGCGGGAGGTGTAGGCGGAACGCACGTTTCCTCGATCACTGGAGCCAGAGTCGTCGTTAATGAAACGTGAGCTCGCTTATCATCGTCCATGACGTCGAGAAACCGCACTCCTTTGGTGACAATTTTGAAAGCCTTCAATATCATTTGGTCTACGACGTCGTTAATCTCTTCTGGGAAATCCAATGCCACCAGTTGAAGTTCTTGGAGCCGCTTTGCAGTTTTCACGAGCGAAGAAAGTTCTGATAAAAGGGATTTGCGACATCTCCGCAAAGGCTCGCATCGCTCAATGAGAGGAGATTCTCGACTTAGGCATTGAGTACGCTCCTACATGTAGCATGTTAATTCTGCGCCATCACCAGCGAATACTACGTATGGTAACAGGAAGACGACTTACCAGCAGATATCGCACTCCACCAATCAGGCCCTTCATGAAATCTTGGCTTTGAAACATGTGCCCTTCGTCAATAGTTGTAATTCGTAATAAGTCCCAAAAATTAAGCAGTGCTTTGAGAAGATTCCGCATTTCCTCTGGCTCGTACGCCTCGCAATAGTTGGTTGGAAGCCACCCCCTAGCGCCCGACACCAGCAGTGTTCCATCCGCCCAGCCATTGGTGTGAATCGAGTGCACCAGAACAACATCTCCCTCATCCAATGGTAGGGTAACGCTAGAATCACTCATTGCGAGAGTAGGTTCAAAGGGATAAAAGGCGCGGAGGAAGTTGTGGAAGACAGGCGGTATATGGGACTCTGGCCGAGTGGACAGATCCTCTTGCGAGCCATAGGGAGTCACCGGTGGCGTCATTTGGGAGCCAAGATGCGAAGCGTCCAAGTTTGAATCGCCTTTGGGCGTCTGGTCGTGTGAGGAAGAGCCATTGCCAGCCTCTTCAGGCCGAGACTTGGTGAGCTCCAGGGGAGCCACCTGGAGGCTCGCTCGCATTCGATTGTCGCTCAGCATTAGGGAGGCCAAGGACACTAGTTGTTGTTCAGGTCATCGGATGACAAGTCTTTCGAATCCAGGTCGGGCGAGCAATATCAATATCAGATACGACTGGGCCGACGTCGAGTCCGGAATAGTCACAGCAAATATCCAATAGTTGGGAGAGGCGGAAGTCGTCTCTGTCGCGTAGACGGGACGTGCAACGGCGGTAAACAGAGCAGTCGTTGTTCTTGCGTGTTAGCGTATCAAAAGCAGAAAGGTTCTTGGTGTGTTAGACGGGAAGATGATGCTTGTTGGAGCAGTCGAGTCGTTGTCGTGGCGGGATTCAGTTTCAGTTGTGATGGCCTGTATTGTGTATTGTGTATTGTGTGTTGTTGTATTGTGTGTCACGGGAGAATGGAGAGCGGGCAAGTAAGCAAGTGCCTGCGTAGGGCTGCTCCTGCTGCTCTCCAGATCTGGAGTTCCGCTTGGTATCGTATAGGTATCTGGCACCTTGGTAGAGGTAGAACCTAAAACCTAGAACCTAGAACCTAGATTTGCCCTGCGTCATCAGCAATTGAAACCGCACCATGCATGCCTCAGCGATCGCTGGTTCTGTTGTGGGAAGCAGTGCCGGGCCGAGTCTGGAATGAAAGGAGGCCGTGGGAGGCGGGAGGCGGAGCCGAGGAATGAACAACAGTCATTCGCCCGGCAGCTTCCGTGACAACACACGAAGGCGACGGGAATGGCGGAGGCGGGCAGCAGCTCAAGGGCCACTCTGCGATCTTTGTCGCCGCCTTACGCAGCAGCAGCAGCAGTCATGCCGTGCTGGCTGGTGCTGGTGCTGGTGCTGGTGCTGGTGCCGGTGCTTGGAGGCGGGCTGGCTGGCTGGGGAGGCGAAATAGCGGCAGGGCTGAAGCTAGAGCTAGCGGACTTACAGGACGGACGGACGGACGATGCGATCAGATGGATCAATGCAATTGACGCCGCAATTAGCATGCGTAAGCCGAGTCGAGCGGTTCGTGGCGTGGCGTGGCAGAGCAGAACTCGGTGCTGACAGGACAGTTCAGTCGTGGTGGAATCGGAATGCGCTCGACATGCAAGGCGGCGATCCGAGTCGGGAGCGCACGAACAGGGTGTCTTGGCTGGTTCAGGTGCTCCCTGGCCTTTGCTTTCGGGGGGCTGGCAGCGTTCTTGCTCCAGGCGAGAAGGGGCACGGGGGAAAGGCCACGCTGAGATGGCGGGAAAATGAGCCCAGAGACGCTGCAGTGGGTTCACTTCAGCCTTTCTTTTTTTTTTCTTCCCACGCTGATCTGATGCCTCGCGCTTGAGCACTGGCAGTTATCGTGCACTCTTTCTCTTAGCTGTCCGGTGCGACTTTGTACTTCGTCTAGGTAAGGTATGCTGGCTGTTGATTGGCGCTATGTTGTCTGTTCTCGAGATGCCGGCGGCTAGCTGAGTGGTTCGATTGGCCGCTTTTCTCTCGTCGCCCGCTATCACAAAGGCTTCGTCCAAAGAGGTGCTATCAAGCAGCGTTCGAGGATGCCCAACCGCGAATCGAGAGAGGAAAGAGGTCGGACAAGCGGCTCTTGTCTGGTCTGGGGAGGCTGCTGTTCTTGACTTGGACCGCATCTGGCGCCAACCGTCCTGGAAAAGCTGTTCGAGCAACTAATATTGGGACTTGTTCTACCCACCCAGGTGTTCCTGTTCCGCCTTGCCACCAATCACTCGCCCCTTGGGCAATCCCATCACCACCAAAGGCGTGTGCTGTCAACTCGTATCCACGCCCCTAGATACATGGCCGATACTGCCTCCGTCACCACACGCTCAGGTCTCTCGCCAGGGTGACAAAGTGACAGCCAGGCCAATCTGGATGGCTCCGGGGGCAAGGGGAACTACCAAGCGCCTGCGCTAAGAGGACAATCCGCAGGGGCTCTGGTGGACTGCCAAGGACATGAGCAGGGATGGATGCAGGGGTTATGCAGACGTCTCCTCCGGCATCACAGAGTGGCCCCGGCTGTCTTGTCTGTGGCCCATGCTCTCGAGGTGTCCGTAGCACCAGAAACAACGGAGTAGATGGATGTCATTGTGTCCCGAGGCGACGGGTGCAACGGTCAGGTCAAACTGAGACTCAAATTGGCCAACTGATTGCGGTAATACGGCGCCTCCGCGCCATGAAAGGCCGTTCATTCTGTTGCCTTGCTCATCAGTTTCTCCGCAGTTTCAATCCGTCGATGCCAGATGAACTCTCAGACCGAGTTGGAGTTCGTTCGTCTGACGTGTATCCTGCCTACAAGTGCTCCGCGCGCGTCCAGGGCACGCTCAGTGACCCTGATGACCACCAGCAGAAAAGCTAACTTGCGCTCCGTACTGCGCCACGGCACACCCAAGAGGTTCTTTTCTATCACATTGATGCTGCAGGGAGCCATTGGGTCCAAAGTCTGAAAACCGGATTCTACTGTGAACCTCCTTGAATCCCCTCTACAGCGTTGGAAGCGGCCCCTTGAGGACCAAATATTCTCTCCCTTTCTCTGCGCCTATGTCTCATTAGCTTTTCGCGCGCATTCGTTGAAGAGGCCGCCATTCAACCAGCCGTGGTCCCGGTTCAACTGCTCTTGTCGGCTCCAAGAAACGAGTACGGCTTCGTATCGCATTTCAAATCACTCAACTACCCATGACCGCTAGTGGCAATTAATTTGTATCATTTTTTTTGTCCAAAATGGCCCTCGATGGGATATTACGAGTTTATGATACTGCCAGCCCAGCGTGGAGATGCATCCAACTTCTCTTTCAAGGTCAGCCACCATCATTTGGGCAACGTCAATTGTGGTGGGGATATACGAGTAATAGAACAAGCCGTAGCAAGTCAGCCAAGCTAATCAAGAGACTCGACTCGCCAGACTGCTGGGTTTCGACTTTTTGGGAGGCAAGCAAAGAAAGTGACGGGTTGATTCGGGCGGTTGTTTCAGCTACTGTAACACCAACCAGCCTTGTACATACAAGGACATCCCGTTCATATGGTTCACTCCCAGCCACACGTGTTCTGAGACAGCTGAGCCGCATACAATATGATTTGCTTGTCTTATCTCTTCCGTGCGCAAGGAGAGATATTGTTGCATTCAATATTGAAAGTTTAAAGGGAAAGTCGAACATTTGAAAATACCGTAAGCGGATTTCGAGGCGCCTGATCATCATGTCAGCACACAAGTCTGATTTGTGATTCATCGCAGTGCGATTTCTGACCAAACTGTGCCATCCCCAGTATTCTAGGTTCGTTCGCCAGCGTAGCGGCCCTCTGCCATGTCACGCATATCATGCTACTGTACCTACACCAAACACGGCGATCTCTATTCACCAACAACGGAGGCAATCTCATCCCGATATCCCGGAACGAAGTGTGCCCAATAGGTTCACGACCCCGAGGCCACTCGGACTGGTATTTGCTCCCGACCAAGAGTCTATTCTATACTCACATGTCAGCATCATCGGCATGCCACACTGAGGTCTTTCAAAGGCTCTACCACTACCTACATTCTACAATACCAGGGCAAATCTGAAGTGGCATTTGTCATGCATCATTCATCGCTCCATGGCAGATCCCTCCTCTCCCTGGCTGTGACGACATCGCCTCAGCTCTCCCGCATATAATCGTACATACATACGCGCATAGGTGCTAGGGGAAAGCTCATGACACACGCCTCACCGGGTGGGCTAGTCCGAGGGCCAAAATGCCGCCCCGCCCGCTTAGATTCTTCTCATTTCCTGTTCTGTTTTCCCCATCAAACCTATTTCCGGCTTTGGCTTCACCTTAACCCATTGTGGCTGTCCAGAGCCAGAGCCGACCCTGCCTAAATTTCATATCCCCTGCTTCTAGGCGGGGGCATGTCTGTGGCTATCCAGAAGCGAACGGCTTCAGGGTCAAGCCAGAGGCACTAACGTCTCACATCTTGCTTTGTAGTGTCCCTGACCTAATCCACGTGCAAGGCTCGTGGAAGCATCCAGTGTGGAGGTCGAGCGCCTCCCCGGTGCTGGTGTCGTACAGTACAAAGAACATCAATTCCCAAGGTGCGTTGGTTTTCTTCTATTCTCGTGCTGGCGGACAGTGGTTTAGCGCCTGTTGTACTTCTCATATCATCTCTCAACCCTTAGAAGTCCTCAAGTCGACGGCGTGACCGATGCTAGTATACAAGTATACAGCACCGTGGCTTAACCCTCAATCTTCCAACAACATCAGATACTTCTACTCCACGCTCCGCAAAATGCTTTACGCGGAAAGAAATTTCGACTCCTAGCCTTGGCAAATAATTACTGGTGCACACAAATGCCTAGCTATCCAATCCATAAGCATTATTGGGTACATATTTGCAACGCCGTTGATTCGGCACAGGTCATCGGCACTGCTCGTTGTAGTCGCAGTGGTACTCGCATGTGGATGTCAATCAACTCCCGCACCAGATCTGCGAAGGGTCAGGCCCGCTGTTGAAGCCGGCCCCCTTGGTGCGGAGCGTACTCCGTGAGAACGCTACTTCGAACAGGCCCTGGTGTTACTATTGCCTCTCTGGTGTAGCGTGTGCGAGCGGCATCGGGTATAACGAATCCGCATCGCCGCACAGCTCTCTGTTCAGCTTCACTTGCGGCACTGGGTGCAAAAACCCTTACTAGTACAATAGCAGTGAAAATGTCCATTATAGGTAGGCCGATGTTGGTGTCTTGGCAACATCGGGAAACTGTTGCGCCATGAGACCGGCGTTGAGAAGCCATGGCTCGAATTTCTAGGTATATGAAATGGGCTGATTTAGACCCAAAAAAAAACACCAAGTGCTAAGAGCTTTGATGCTACGATGCCACTAACAGCCTCGATTATACCTGGATTCTGACCATGGACATTGTAAACCGGCCCACAGATGTAGTAAAATTTTCGAGGCAAATTTACAGACCCATTTAATATTGAACTCTGAATAGTTCTGCCTCATCAGCTGTCGCCAATCCAGTCCAATCCAAAATACGTACTCTCGTGCCGGGTAGGTAGAATCAGGCAGGTATCGAAGAGTCCAATACTTGGTACGCTAGATCAGCACTGCCTTTGTCTAGACGGGGGCCTAGCCTCAAGACACACGCAATAACGCAACTACGGGCAACTATGGCTTGTGCTAGCAGCAACTAGATCATCACTACGAGAAGATGTCGGAGTTGCAAAGATAAATGCCTGAGCTGGTGAGCCGGTAAAAAACCTGCAAAGGGGAGCTGTGCATCAGCCACGGCAAAAAGCTCCACTACATGTACCTTAGCTATCGATTTCGGAAGTCTTGATATCCCAGACATGGAACTCAATATTGGGCCGTGGGAGGCGCAAGCTACCCCTAGGTACAGATGTATCGTCTCACTGACGCTTCGAGTTGGGCACAATTCTTGGGCTCTCAATTTTCTCCTCCATTTTGGTTTCTTTACCGTACCTGTTACGAGAGCATTATGTACATGGGCGTTGTTCTGATATGTCATGGTATTTGCCCAACCCACTGGAACAGCAACAGTGTCTGACATCGCACTTCTTATTCCCACAAGCACTGCGCAATCCTTAGATCTGGGCGGGTTCGCGACAGGCAGCCTCAACTCACCCCCTGAAGCAACGCCACCGGCCACACGCCATAGAATATTGTCCATACGGATGGCGTCCCGTCTTTAGGACCCCGTGCGACGAGCTTGGGCGCATTCAGGTGGCGCTGTTTAGTGCTGTCGAAGTTTGGGGCCTGGGCGTGAATTGTAGCCCTGCTCGTGTGCCGTACCGCAGCGCGGAACGAGGCGAGTCTGAGTCAATTCGGGAGTAAATACTGATTGGGGGCGGAACATTTACATTACGGACGGGATTGAGGTGTGTCGAACGCGCTCTGGGTCTGGACGGGGAAAAGCGGACAGATGAGAAGCCGCAGGATGGGATATTTTGTGTTTGATGGTAGGGGGCTCATCATTCGAGATCAGATCTATCCATCTTGAGATGCCCGTTAGATGAGGCCTCTCAGCTCGCCAAATCACTTCGGCCTACAGCTCAACTTCCCCGTACAAGTCGAGTCTTATCGGACAAGGGAGTATTGGACTAACAATCGAGCTAGGCCGGCCGGGTTGACCTCGCCTATTGAAACTTATTCGCGAATTTGCAGAGTTCTGTCTGACTTGCATCTTGCCCATCAGCCGCATCGCCGACTTGTCAGAAGCTGAGAGATCGATAACACCGGAGACCCATGCCGATGTTCGGATACGAATTTGTGGCTTTTGCCCTGCGTTTGGCCAAGAATGAATCCAATCCTGCCACAATATGCGGCTGCAAGTTAGCCTGTTCCTGAAGCCAAAGCAATGCAGGTTTACGTCAACTCGTATATTGGCTACACGCCGCCGGCTCCTTTCCGATCGACGGAACCGGGGTCCAGACTTCCAGACATGTATTTTCTTCTTTTTTTCTTTTGACAGACAGGTGGGCGTTTTAGTGAAACCGGATACACTCACACCGAGAGCAATGGCAGGGCAGCGGACGCCGAAAGACGTCGGCTAGCGCCAACAAATGGCGAGAATTTCAGTCCTGGCTGCTCGAGGCCGACAACACCTGATCGTTCCACCAGCTGTTGAGCTGTTGGACGGCTTCACTGTTCGAGACTTGGAAGTTGAAAAAGTTCCTACAAAAAAACCACCTCTATGCTACGGCGCGTCTAAGCTATGGCCACCAACATTCCGAACTAATGGTGACATACTCGTACGACTTTATTAGGATGGGGACGGATGCAAGGCACCAATTCCCCGATGTGCCAAGTACGGGCAGCTGTTACATCGTTAATGGCAGCCTACCCAGTAGCCACTGCGGCATCTGATGGATTCGCATGTGAACGGATCATCTGTTTTCACGGCACTTGAGTGGTGGTCTGCATGACATCGACAGGGTAGTGGTCGAGTAGGGCGTGGCTACTCCGTACACAACAAAGCCATGCCCTCGTCCAAAACACCACATTCTTGGCTTGGCTTTGTTGAGACGGTACTCTGTAGACTGGATCGTGATGAGCCCATAATGCCTCGGCTGACTCATTCGTGATACTATTACGAGAGGCCCCCATATGCGGTGCAATCGCCTCACCGGTTCTCAGCCACAGTCTGTGCGCCATGCCGTGAGATACAAGCCGAGTTTTTTTGTCCGAGACCCCAGCATTCTACGGAGTACGATATGATTCGCAGGTTCACAAGGAATTCGGCTCAGCTGAGGGGAATCCTTTGTTTCGGCCCCAGCCCTCTCGCGTCCCGGCAGTTCAACTTTGCTGATTCCGAACCTGCCGCTTGTCATGCTGGAGAAGGATCCCTTGCCTGTCTCCATGACTACTATTTGTCAATGGGCTCGGAGACTTTTTCCGCTGCTGTAAGACAATAGCCCGTACCGTGTACGTAACTTTGGGACGTGGTAGATTCGTGATTTTTTGTGCGCTCTCCAGATTTATGTTTGTATTGTGCTCGGTACGGAATAGACGCCAATGGATCTGGGCCGAAATACGTGTAAGTGAGGGGGCACAATACATGCACCTATCTCATTGAGACAGGCAGCTTACATGTAGCCTGTGGAGCTGTCTTATTGACCATTGCAATCCGTGGCTTGCACGGTAAACGTCTCCGAAGCTCCCTACAGGTCTGGGGGATCCCCTGTCCAGGGAGGATACTCTTGCGTGTGTCCAAGAGGCATTACGACAGCGGCCGAGGTAATAGTTTCGCGTGGACGCTGCATGTATTTACCCATGCATTGGGGTATTTCGGGGGCCTCTCATAAAGGGAAAGAGAGCCGCTTACTACTACACGAAACATGTCCTAGTGTGACACATTCGAAATAACTGACTCGAGGAGTACATAGAAGTTGTGATATGTATGCATGAATCATGAGGTAGTATATACAAAGCGGTGGTGTGTGACGAACCTTCACATGCCCTGTTTGACCTGTCACCGCTACTATCAGAAGCCGAGATCGTGCTGTCAGTCTAGATGTGCGTCCCCCACCCGGTTCCTGCGTATCAGAAATGCAGCCAAGTAAGCTATCGTTTCTGGCGAAAATGACAGATTCGAAGCCCTTGTTTCCGTCTTTTGATGGGGTGGCCTAGTAATAGTAGACAATACTATTGTAATGACTCATAGTTATTGTTGACTTACGCTGGTGCACAATTCGAAATAGTGGTTTACCATATCGAGCATACAGATGACATAGACTGAAGATCATGTAGTAAAGGGTCGTACCTAACAGTTGAACATGGAGACGATTATTCTCCCCATTAATACGAGCAGAGATCTCATGTGCGTGGCAGTGAAGTAAGAAGCACGGAGACAAGAGACTATAACGACAGCTTTGTGTATGAGTATGGGTTGATAGTATCAAGCTGACAAGCTGAAATGGTGCAAAACTCTCTGTTCTGCTATACTGATCTATGATGAAGAAGGGAAAAACGCTGCAAACAGCAGCAAACAGAAAGTGGGCTTGACCAAAGAGAGTAGTCACACAGACCCACGTGACAACTCAACAGATAGATCACGAGGTATGTAGAAAAGAAGCCACTCTATGCAAGGGCTTAAGATCGGAGCCTGTCATGTAGTTTTGACAAACATACCGGTGAACTCTCCATCGACAGTAAATTCTCTCGTCCACTTGTTTCTTTATAGACTACCTTTGCGAAGTATGATAGCCCAGCTTTTCTCTTGCTACTGCAGTTGTGAGTCCACCGGCAATCAGTTCTCGGATACTGGCTTCACTCTTCTCGATTCTCTGCGCAGTCTCAGCCACCTCACGGGCACAATCTCGCGGAACAATAACCACTCCATTTGTATCAGCAACAACAATGTCCCGAGGTTGAACATGTACTTTGCCAATCCTGATTGGCTCGTTGATGCTTCCTATTTGAACCCGATCTTTGCCAGTCCCGGTGATGGCACGGTTAACATCACGGCACACACCGTCAATGACAGACCCAGCAATGCCCCGTAAACTAGCATACTGTGTCATGATATCGCCCCAAACGGCACAATCGGTGCGTCCGCCGTTGTCGATGACTACAACATCACCGATGGCAGCGTCATCAATGAAGTTCCCAAAACTCCCAGGCGGATCGCTTGCAGGTACGTAACGTACAGTAAAAGCAGGGCCGACTGTTACCTTCTTATAATTCACCAAAGGCATAATATTGAGAGCCTGCCCGGGAATTTCAAGTCTATCAGGGGCGTCAGACACTGCGGGAGTATCCAAGTCCTTAAATAGCGTTACCAGTTCTTGATCTTCGACACTGGCTTTCTTGGGATTCTGCGGACAGGGTATTTTCACTACCTCTGGCGGCACGCTTGCGGCATCCATGTCGCTGATATTATCGAATTGCTTGTCGTGCATCACTTCTGACACAGGCTGGCCTGCACGAACAGCTTGGACCATGAGGCTCTGGCGACGGTTAATCTTCTCGCCAAAATCCAGGACCTCTTCGATGTGTTTTGCCGGTATGAACACAGTGCCACACCTGTCGGCGATCATATAGTCGTCTTGATGGACCGTAACGCCTCGCATCTGCAGAGCTTTGCCCGACTCAATTTGTACCAATCGATTGCGTGCGATAATCATGGTGATGCCTCGGCCGTAAACTGGAAATCCAATTTCACGGCTTCCATCTATATCACGGCTCCTGCCATCGATGATGGTTCCACGAATGCGCTTCATTTTTGAGGCATTGGCAATGATATCGCCCCAGCAGGAAATACCATCCATGCCACCAGAAATGACAAGAATTCGATCATCTGAAGTAACCGCATCTATTACCGGTGCAATGAGGTGGGCCGTGGGAGCTGACTCCGTCTTTGGGCCAACTTTCACTGTACTGGCGCGTCCTACGATCTTGGGGCAGTCCCATAGTGGTTGTAATCCAAACGTGGCTCCTTTGAGGTTAAGGAAATCCAAGGCATCAGATACCGTATTAGTATCTAGAGCCCAAAGTCGGTCTAGTAAACTGGGTTGACTCATTGTATATAGGATTGTATTGGTTGATGAGCAATTGAAATAAAGAGACAGGTGAATGTGGAATAGCTGATATGTGGCCCAGGTATGAGAAGACAGCTATATGAATAGAACAAATCCTAGAATAGACCGAGAAAGAAAGGGCTTTTAACGACTCCATCATATGATCAAGTTTATTAAATGAACATTCTGCGTAGAATCGCATAGCTCTCTATCTCGGGGATTAGACACCATCACCGTGTCCTGGCTTCTAGAGCTTCCACATACGGCCTGTACTAGATAACTTCACGACACGGCGAGATGAACGACCAGCCAAATGATGTGTGATTTAGAATGGATACAAATGTACGCAAAATACTGAACCAAGAAGAACACATTTGATGATGTATTATCCGTGGGGACGCTTCTGTATCTCGCAGCAATGTCTCATTTGGCCAGCCTTTCCGAAGCACCACCAGACGCCGCCTTCGCCTTGATTGAAGCATACAAGGTAGATCATTCACCGTTGAAAGTTGATCTGAGTCCCGATTTCTATCGTGATGAAAATGCAAGGCCCTGGATCTTGCCATCGGTACGAAAGGTAATGTATCTCATCAATGCTTTGTTAAAATCAATCTCTACTAATCATGTCCCGGCCAAACAAGAGTTACTGGATGACCCGACTGCCGACCACGAACATTTACCTATTCTGGGCCATCCCGAACTACTCGAGGGTGCCCAAAAGCTTGTATTCGATGCAACACCTGAGGATGCATCTACTATCGCAAGCATCCAAACCATCGCGGGCACCGGGGCAAATCATTTGGGTGCTTTGTTTTTAGCAAAATTTATCTGCCCGCGCATAGTCTGGATCTCAGATCCCACTTGGATCAATCACGAGGAAATTTGGAAACTTGCAGATCCCGATATCAAACGTGAGATGTATCCCTACTTTAACAAGGAGATATTGGATATCGATTTTGGAGGCGCCACGTCTACTATGTCTTCCATAGTCGGAGAAGGTGATGTTATAATTCTGCATGGCTGCGCACATAATCCCACGGGACGGGATTTCACAAAAGAACAGTGGAGGGCCATTGCCAGCATCTGCGAAGAAAAGAGGCTTATTCCGTCCTTTGATCTTGCCTAGTATGCAGACTCGCCTATAATGTCAGTAGCTCAAGAGCTAATTCGCACGTAGTCAGGGGTTTGCAATTGGAGATTTGGATGAAGATGCTTGGTCCATAAGATATTCCTTCCGAAATACTTCGCTAGAATTGTTGGTAGCGCAATCCTTCTCCAAGAACTTTGGTCTGTACGGGGAGCGTATAGGCGCGCTTCACGTCGTGTGCCGGACAAATGACACTCGAACAAAAGTCGTCAACATGCTCACACGTCTATCTCGTGCCGAGATTACTACTTGTCCTATAAATGGTTCCAAAATTGTAGCAAAAGTGCTTGGAAATAAGGACTTGAAGGTCCAGTGGCAGCACGACTTACTCCACATGAGTGATCGCATGAGGACGATGCGATAAAGGCTGGTAGACGGACTTCAAAAAGGTCAGACTCCAGGCCGATGGGATCATATATTAACAGATGTAAGTTACTTGCACTTTGGGAGATACTCGTTGGATATCGCTAACACTACAGATTGGGATGTTCTCAATGACCAGTTTGCGACCAGATCAAATCCGCACATTGCGGGAAGAGTACCATGTATATATCTTGCCGTCGGGAAGAATATCCATGACAGGCTGTGAGTATCGAATTTTTGTAGAGTACCTTTGTCCTGAAGCTAATATGCCCATAGTGACGGAACATAATGTGTAATATGTCGCGGAAACATTTCACAAGCTCATTCTTGATACCGCTCCTTAATGATCCAGCCCAAAGAAGGGGGCAGACCTTACAAAAGGTCCACCCGTTTATTCTCGATATGGTAGAGAGTTACATTCAAAAGTCATTTTATAATACATATTTAATCTATTACTACTCCGTATAGCCTAACGTCTTGTGTTATAATAGAACGGCGTATACTCAAGACTAATTATACGTTAACTGCGCATTCAAGGCGATTACCTCCCTAATCCTCCACTTGTGACGATGCTATGAAGTTGCTGTTCTTCCGGAGCTGATGGCCGAATGTAAAGAGGATCCACGGGATAGGGAGGAGCACTAACGATAGAAATGCAAAAACGCTCCCGGCCCAGTGAATGCCGAGTTTCTCGTACATCTGAATCGTGAACAGAGGGAACACCGCTCCGAGGAGGTATCGAAAGGATCCACTTGCGGCGATAGCTGCTGCACAATAAGTTTCCAAACTACATATAAACGTAAAACAAGTGCAAGATAAAAACAAAAAGTATAAACATACCTGACGCGGCTGCACCAGGCCCATATGATTCGACGAGGTATATCATGGAGGAAAGCTATGAAGAAAGGGGGGGCTCGTTAGATATTTGTGGTATTTATGGTATTAACAACCAGAGAAATGAGATACTCACAAAGAGAACAAAAGCACCAAGACCAAATGGGATGCCGCTCGCCGCTACTATTGCCCAGTGGCCGCCTGGGTTGGCCGCCCATGCATACCTACAAAGAACACGAAAGAAAGAGCGTTAGCTTCCTAACGCAACGGAAAGCTCTGGAGGGAAGAGATCAAAACATACCAGAACAGACCAATGGGCAAGAAAATGCTACCGGCCATGGCGCTGTACGGTCGATGTTCTGGGGCCGGACGGCCGTTGGGGGCTTGCCGCGCAGCGCGGGCATAGAGTGTCTTCTCGATCACCAAGTAAGTGATACAAGCCAGAAGATAGCCGATGAGGACGCTGATGAAGGAGAGGCCAATTTCGCGGGAGTCAAAGCCATAGTCGAGGGTGTAGACATAAGTGGCACTGGCAAAATAGCTAAAGACAACAGCGTATGCGTATCCCGTGTATAGAGTCAGCGAAAAGGCGATGGCCTCGGTGGTCAGCATGGCCATGGAGCGGAACACGGCCGCCTTGAGCATCGACAAGGCGAGCCTCACAGTACTGAAACGACCCGAGTGATTCGCCGTAACCTGGACCCGCGAGTCGGACGTCTCCTTCATGAAGAGGATCAAAATCCATATGGGCGCCCCGATCAAGGCCACAACCCACTGCGTCCATCGCCAGTCGCCATGGTATTCGTCCATGATATATGCCCCGACCAGCGGGCCGAGAGAGGGACCAAAGAACGGGCCGCAGATAAAGAGGAGGCTAACCATGGCTCCCGCCTTGGTGCCGATCCCCCAGACATCGAGGATTGTTCCAGCACCGATGGCGACGCCTGCTGATCCCAGCCCTCCGCAGAGAAAGCGGCAGACCAAATACGTGGCGAAATTTCGAGCCCCTCCAGCACCGCATGCAAAGGCAATGATACTCGATGAGGTTGCAATGTACAGCCAGCGAGCGCCCAATAAACTCGGACAGGGGTGCCATGATCATGGGCCCAAAGGTCAGCCCCAGCATGTACATGGTTTCGGAGAGAATCGCGACGGTGCGGCTGACGGCGAACTCGATCATGAGGGCAGAGGTGGCAGGAACTGTGACGGATGCGGAGAACGTTCTGTAGTTGATCATGACTTGGTCAGCGGGAACACTCATTCGTTTCTTAAAGACCTATTTACATACATTAAAAAGGCCAGGAAGCAGGGGATGGCAGTCTGATAGATCTTCATCCCCAAGCTCCAGCTTGTGGCGTTGATGGCCTTGCTGCTGTCGACTTCGTCAACCTCTTTCTGCATTTCCGGATCTGACATGATGAAAGGCTGAAAAGGATCTGGAGAACTCTCACCCTCTCGTCAATGCGCAGTGAGCTGAAGTGAAGAAGTCTTCTAAGTCGAGTTATCCGTGGTACACCTGAGTTGGCCTGATGGCTGATTCTAACTATAAGATTGAATTCATAGGCGGGACTGGTGATAATATATGGTACTTTGGCAAGTATTGTACATTTGGTCTATTTTTTCTACATGCAGGGATCTCAGACTCCCAGACAGCTCAGAGCCGCCGAACTATATGCACTAAACAGCTAACAAGTACATCTCACGATGCCAGACTCAGAACCAACATACTGAAAGTGCCGTGTAATTCGGACTTCTCGCTGCCGAAGGAGACCGAGTGAGCCACTACCAGGCGATGAACCAGACCGGCACTTAGATGACGGATCCACCTGGGTCACTACGATTCTATAAATCCGGGGCCTCTCGGCTGCAAGAGGCCGAAGAGCTTTGCTGCCAGCATGATCGATCTCCAGCATTGTACCACTTGTATTGATTCCTGCCCCTTTTCTCTGGCTTCTGGTCACTGAATAGGGCTTAGTACAAACATCAATTACCATGGGTCGAGCACCGAAAAGGTCTGCAGCCTCGGTTGACGAAGAGGACTCGGCGCCGGCACTCCAGGAATCGGTTCCCCAGACTTCCAGTCGAGGGACACGGTCCTGTGAAGGATGTTACCAGCGAAAGATTTGTTGTGACCGTGGAGTGCCTTGCACAAACTGTTCGAGACATGGCATGACCTGCGTGTATCCCGTAAGGGACCCCGACGCGGCACAGAAACCTTGCACTCTGCGAGACGTCTCTAACCGTCTGGAACGGCTGGAAAGCTTGCTATCGCTATTGGTTGAGAGGAGCGGGGCCTTTACGGGATTTGAAGCCGATGGTGGCAGTATTCGCGGTCGCGGTCGTGCTGAGCCCGAGATTACAATCCAGCCTCGACCTATTAGTGACAATGCCAATACTATCAGAACTGGTCGGCAACAACCATCCAATCGACCTTTAGACAAATCGACTTGGGAGCTGTTAATGAACAATACGAATATCGAACCACTGTTACAAGAAGAAAGAAGCAAGCTTACGCAACCTCCTGGCCCAGAACCAACACCCTCGCAGTCTCAAGCGAATACAGCCTCGCATCACAGACTTGCTACGCAGCTAGGCACCTCTGCTCCGCTAGACAGGGATTCTGGTCTGCTGGATGTCTATCCCGATGCCCAACTCGCCCTCCGATTATGGAATGTGTACGTCAGGTCGGTCGATCCGGTCCTCAAGATCTTGCACATACCAACGATACAGTCTGCTGTTGTGGCCACGATTCTGGACACCCGATCCGCACAGCCCTCCATGGTGGCACTGACATTCGCCATCTACTATGCTGCCGTTACGGCGCTTTGTCACTACGATTGCGACGAACCCGTTGATTTGTCGTGGGAGAAGCCGGTCCTTCTTAAGCGCTACCAGATAGCCTTGGACCGGCTTCTCGTGACGCCGGATTTCATGAAACGACCTGATGTGACGGGCCTGCAGGCTCTTGCAATTTATGTGGTGAGGACCTAGGCGGCCCTGGAATTGATCCTATTGCTAATTCAACTGGCCATGGCTGCTATAGACTTGCTCGCGGGCAAATGAACTTGGCCGGCCAGTATGGGTCCTTAACGGACTCATGATCCGGCTCGCTCGGTCAATTGGCTTACACCGAGACGGCGCCTCCCTAAAGCTGAGCCTCTTTGAGTCGGAGATGCGTCTTCGCCTCTGGTGGCATCTTTGTGTGCTGGAATCGCGTGCTTCGGAGGACCAAGGATTTCAGCCTGCAGTTGATATCACGAATACGGGGCTGAGGCTGCCCTTGAATGTGAACGACGACCAGATCTATCCGGACTTGACGCATTTTCCAGAGGAGTCACGCGGCTGGCGAAGATGTCCTTCTTCTTGATTCAGATCGATTCATGCCGCGTAATCCATCCGATACTGGACAAACAACAGCAGCGTTCCCGATGGTATTCTTGATATCCGAGAAAACGGGAGGAGAATCCACGATCCAGCCCAATACATGACAGAGAAATATGGCATCGTGCCCGGGTCGAAATCTGTGACACCAGTTAATCTGCCGCCCATTGCCACGCAGCATGTCACCACGGCCTGTGAAAAGATGAAGTTTGTGCTGCAGCTGCGAAAGGAGATTTCTCTATCTAAGCAAAAAGAAGTGCAGGATGACGATGCAACACCAGACGCGCTCAAGCTCTCGTTCAAGCTGGCCTGCGACTGTTTGGAGAGTAGTCATGTGCTGCTGAAGGAGGGCCTTGCGTCGCGGTTCACATGGCTCTTCAGCATGTACACGCAGTGGTACGCACTCGCCTACGTTCTGCGCTGCCTTTGCAGCAACCCGAGCCCTCGCGGGTTCGAGGCAGACCGTGCCTGGGTTCTGGTCGAGGAACTCTTCCCCCGCGGGCCGAATCTCCAGGGCCATCCGGCGGCAGTCCATGACGAGCGCGGACATGGTAGGATATGGAAGTTTCTCAATCAGCTTCGACATCAAGCGTGGTCGCTAAGACAGCATGCCCAGACGTCTGCGGCCACCGCAAATGTCGGGGCTCGGCCATCTGGTGATGAGAGATATTGGACTTGCCAGCGATTTTCAGATGCCGAAATCCTCCCACCCAAAATAGGCTCGGGGACATCGATCGTCCCCGAGTGGGTTTCTGAATTCCCTGCTAGTTCCGACCAGAGCGTCTTTGCATCTCTGGATTTGTTGATGCCAGAGATTCCTTTTCTACCAGATTGGAATGCGGTTATTAATGGCCAGTAGCCAAGTGGTTGTAAATAGGTAAATATCGCTATATCTACTCCGTATACAGTACGGTGTTAGGGTCGAGGAGGGCCGGCAGCCGTGTTGTGGATGTGATCAGTCTCACCACCCGGGCACCTTCGGGCCGGGATATGATACGTCTGAGGGCGAACACGAGCGCTTGATTTTCTGAGAGGGGATTCGAGGAATCTTCATCATGAGAAAAAGGCATCATTGGCTGCATTACTAGTGCATGACCTCAAAAAGGATTGACTACATCTGTAAGATTTGTGCGATGCATGGTCAGCAGCAATGGGTTTCGCTTCGGCGGCATCGGCACCGGTTGCACCGAAGACGACCAGGGACTCGGAACTTCAAAGGAAGACCATGATGAGCCGAGAGCAGATAACCGCCAACATTACAATCGGATTGTTGGGCGCAGTACAATCCTACGGCTGCAGCATTATACAACTACCATCCCACCAGGCTGTGTGCCACGACGTACAAGATCGACGTAGAAGACCAGACGAAGTGGACTAGCCCACTGGTCGATGCGGGTAGGGGGCTACTGAGGAACAGCAAGGGGCGAATGGCCCTGAGCGAGGGCAACGACCACGACATCTACGGGGACGGTCCATTTGCGAGCCAGACTGAAAAGTAAATGATGAATATGTTATATGTCCTCCGAGGATGAAACAAGAAGACCCTGAAACCCGATATCTGTAGCGTCATGTTGCAGATTTGAAGGAAACGAGATATTTGGTATCCTTTCTAGTAGAATTTGACTTTGTGTTTTGCCTTTAGTTTAACTTGTCATACACTGCTTCTCTGCCCATTAACTCTGCTTGCCGTTAGACATGGGCTTGTGATAACGTCACAACGTGATAGATGGAAGTATAAAATGCACAACCAAATGATAAATAAGCGGGAGCCAGAAATATAATCAATTTATAGGACACTAATTTAACAATTACTCGAAAAACGAGCGGTCAGTTTCTTCTAATCCAGTCTATATTAAAATAAACAAAAAGGCAAGGTCTGTTTAAGCTTCGTCGGCGAGCTTATCAATGGAGCTCATCATCTTGTACAGGTTCTTGGCGCGCTGAGTATCCTCCACGAACTTGTTGAACTCTTCCTTTCCAGCGCCCTTGCCATCAAAGCCCCATTCCAAGCCGTAGTGCACAACAGTGCTGTCGAAGGTGTAGCGGCCCCTGTCCCTGCACAAACCGCAGAAGATCTCCTTGAACTCGTCGGCAAAGTGGTTGCGAGGGAAGGCGTTGCAGATTTCCTTGAACTCTTCATCGGTCATGACACCCTTCAAGTTCGGCAGGTCCTCCGGAAGGCCCAAGAGATGCAGGCTCGGTCCAAGGAGGTCGCCGTGAATACCATAGTGGACGAGCGCAACTTCGGGCTCCTTCCAGGGCGCAAAGACTTCCATAGTGTGCAGGGCGATGGAATCCCAGGCCAGCTGCATGCGGCGGCCCTTCCTGTCCCAGGTGCTCTCCTTCTCGGGGTATGAGTCGATGAAGTCGCGAGCGAGGTTGGCACCGTCGACCTCGAAACGCCTGGTGTTGGTCACAATCTCCTTGTTCTTGGACCAGGCGAGATCGTGGAGGAGACAGCTCACGACAATGAGCTCCTTGTCGAGCTCATCGCCCAGCTTGGAGAACTCGGGCATCTTCTTCTGGAGAAGAAGGCAAAAGGCCGCACTACGTAGGACATGGTTCAAGACTCCTGGGGTCGAATACTTCTTTGCTTGATGGTAAGAAGCTAACACGAGGGGAGTGGTGGGAAACTCGATCCCGGTTAGGGGGAAAGAAGGGAAGAGGTTGGTAGCTGATGATGCCATGGTTGTTGATGTTGATTGTACAGAGATGCGAATATCTGAGTTGTTGATTATTGTTCTGACAATTGATTGATTGCTTGATTGGTTGGTTGATTGCTTGATGGATAGTTTTTTGAAGCTGAGTTACCAAGGTGCCTTATATATAGTAAAATATGACATCTAGAAGTCTAATCCGGACAAGCAATGACCTGGATTACGAATGAGCAGTGCATGTAATCATTCCGTGCCTCGAGGTGCGAGACTCATTGCAAGCTTGCTCGAACATGATGGATTTGTAACCGAAAAGTGTTGAACTTGGCTACAAAGTTTGTTGAAGGTTTGAAGATGGATCGAGATGGAAGGATACATTGGATCGAATAATCGCTGTTGCCATGCATGATTTAGAACTAAAGCCCTATTTTCCGTGAACAACCTGGGCGAAAAATAGAGCTGGCTTATGCATCTCTTCCGACACAGGTCGGAGTTGGGGTAATGTCACGCCATGCAATAGTAGAAAAGATACGAGTACAAACAAGGCTCAAGCTTTGCGATTATGTTTCGTAGTAGCTATTGGCCCAGGTCTTGCGCTAGGCCTCGAAGAATTGCTTCGCATCGTCTAGCTGCTCGTCGCTCTTCCAATGTGTGGTGATGGGTAATCACGATTGACTTCTGTATAAATACCAGAGTTGCCGATGCCCCTCGGATAGACTGTGAGCGCACTCTGACGCCGCTCGGATGCATGACCAAATATACCTTGATGACTGTATGTTTATGACGGTATGCCTGAATTAGCGGATTACATACCACCTCTGTCATACTGAGGCTGGTGGCTGCTTGCAGAATGCTCGTGACTAATGTTTGCAGAATTGCCGTTGTTGGCATACACTTGCCACTTTTGGTAATTGGACCCTGGTTCAGTTCCCCACCATCTTAACGGCTCGCTAACCGTTGTGGAATTAGTGCCGGCAGTGGCCTTTGTGGGTCTTCGATACAGCGTTGACAAGCTTGAAGCTCAATGTGCCGAACGATGAAAAAGGCCAAATAAAACACCCAGTGTGGCTGACTCTCGACTCAGTTGTTATAGTCTCTCGCAATGCTGGTGACCGAAATTCGTGTCTGGTTTTCATTCTGTGGCGTAGCGTGGCTTGTACAGTGTAGACTTCGAGACTAGCATTGTATAGAAGTGAATTCGGGGTTCTGTTGGCTGGAAGTTGGATCGTTTTTTTTAAAGGCGAGCATTATATCGCATAACTAATTATGTAATTACATGTGAATCTAGAGCTGGGAGTAGATTGTATATTGTAGTATCTGGTAAAATGGTAGGTGGAGCCTATTTCTATTTGTAAATAGGATTAGCTCTCAGCAAAAGCCTTCACAACAGCCTTCGCTCCCTCAGGATGCGTCATGAGTCGATCCATCTCCTCACCGGCCTTGATGTGATGTTTGCCGCGTTTCAACATATCCCTCTCATATTCCTGTACCGCCTTGTTGATATTCTCCAGTCCGTTTTCTTCAATCTTAGTAGCGAGTTCCAAGGCATCCTTCATGGCGAGATTGACACCCTCCCCATTGGGTACCGATAAATGCGCAGCGTCTCCCGCCAAAGTCACGCCTGGTACCGAGTTCCAACCAAAGCTTTCTGCAGGAAGTTGATACAGCGGCCAGCTGCGGAAATTCTCCGCGTTTCGAATATAATCTCTTAAATCCTCAGCCCAGCTTTTGAAGAAAGAGGACAAAAGCATATCGCGAAGGGCTTGGATGTTGTTCAAGTCCATAGAGGTGCCGACAAAGTGCTCGGGGGCAGTGATGCCAAAATAGATTCTGTATGAGTTATCGCCTTGTCGTTGAATGATCATACGGCTTGGCCCTGCTAGAAACAGAGCTATGCCATGACCGATTTTGTCCGTCAGCGCCTCGTGCAATACGCTGCTTTCCTGTATGCGAGTTTCGATAAATGTACTCCCTGCATATTGGGGCTTCGTAGAGGTGATCTATAATTATTTTGTTAGATGTCTAGCTCTTAATGTCGAGGAAGTGATGACAGCCGTACCGCAAGTCGTACTTTGCTCCAGGCCCCATCCGTCCCGACAACGAGCGAGAATCCACCAACGGTGTTGCCATTGGAAAAATGTAGGATGGGAGACGATTTGTCACCGTCGAAACTTAACTTTGTCAGACGATGAGACCACACCATTTGGTTTTGCGGGATTGACTCCAGAAGGATGTCTCGTAAGTTCCTGCGGTCAATCTCGGGCTTTCCACCAGTCTTCAAGCCGTCTTGTCCATCTTCTGCCTCGCCAGTAGCTCGATGCAACAACTCTCCATAGGAGTCAAAAAAGGTAACCCGATCGTCCTCCCATCTCGCTTTCCGAGCAAAGGCATTGTACAGACCAGCCTTCCGAAGAGCAAGCTGACCTGTTTCTTTGCGTATATCAAGTGAGCCACTAGAGACTAGTGTCGCTGCCGACTCTTCACTTTCGTAGACGGTGAAGGGGATATTCTTGCAGTGGAGGAGGCGGGCTAGAGTGAGGCCGCAAGGGCCGGCCCCGATGATGGCAATGGCACTCTTCATATTGTGCAGTGACAGACACGTGAAGTTTGGGCGAAGAAGGGTTACTGTACGAGTGAAGATTACTCTAAAGCCTTGGTGAAGCATGCTTGATATATGTTCTCTTCTTATTCAAGCGGCTCTACCTATATATCTGATGTCCAGCAGGCTTCCGGCTTTGGAAGCCCCACCTTGGGTGATGCGGCACTCGGGGCCGAACTACTCGGGCCCGAGTCACTAAGACCCGGGCCTACTAAGGCCCGAGCTACCATGAAAATGAAATATTGACTTCATCTCTGGTTCATTAGCATTCTTCACGACAGTACTCAGCACGCCGACATAACTACTGACTGCGGATCGGCAGGGAATAGGGGATTGGCTTCACAACAAGCGATCATACTTTCTCTCTGCCTAATCGGATGCCATGGGAACTGCACGCAATCCACCTTTGAGCATTCCCAACAGGCCAACTTTTGCTTGCGTTCGCTGTGCTGGGCGGAAAGTAAAATGTGACAGGCATGTACCATGCACCGCGTGTGTCAAACATGGAGCTGAGTGCGTGTTTCAACCTCCACCACCTTCTCGGAGAAGACGTCGACCCGGGGCAGCTGGACCTTCGATAGATAGGCGCGAATACCCGCAAACACGCCTTCAAGCGCAAGGCCACAGCCCTAAAGAATCATCCAATCCTCCTGATGCTGATTCGCGGAGTCATCTGTCGAGTCGGGAAACTCGCGGCTCACAATTGAGCTCATCAGAGCCGAGCGGGAGTGTCAGCAAAACTCAAGTTGTCCAAGGACGAGGGCAGTCAATGTTGATTGATAAGTGAGTTCAGACCCCCAATAACTTAGATATATTTGCTGAGTCCCCGCGTAGTAGCTTGTGGTCAAGACTTGTGGAAGAGGTGAGTGTCCTGCCGCGCATCTTGCTTAGGTTGGATTGCTTGCTGGGCGCTAACGGTATCACAAGTTTCACGACCCCGAGGATGCTCTGCGGAGGAGTTCAGACGACTCGAGTGATGCAGAAACCCTCAATGATGACTTTTGTTTTGTGCTTGGCGGTCCACCGATATCTCGCACCAAACTCCTTCATCCACCGCCTCAACAGATACATGAGCTATGGCGCACTTTTGTGGAAAATGTTGATCCTCTCTCCAAAGTTGTGCATATCCCAACGTTAGAAAAGGTATTCCGTGAGGCTGCAAATGAAGTAGACACGGTCTCGCGGAGCTTTGAGGCACTCATGTTTGCCATCTACAGCGCCGCCGTTATGTCACTGAGCGACGTTGAGTGTAAGGAACGACTTCACGAGCCTCGAAAGTCTCTGCGATCGAGATTAATGATTGCTACGAAGGCAGCATTATCGCGAGCCAACTTCATGAGCACGGTTAGCCTTGTAGTTCTTCAGGCATTAGTCATTCACATCATCTCAGCGCGAGACATGTACGAGCCGCGCGCCCTTTGGACCTTGACAGGTGTGGCGGTTCGCGTTGCCAACGGCATGGGCCTTGATCGCGATGGAACACTTCTTGGGCTGCCACCATTTGAGACAGAGCTGCGGCGACGCATATGGTGGTTTCTGAAAGCGCAAGATCTACATAATGCTGAGCTGTGCGGCCTTCCCAAGTTTCGAGATGTTGGCCTGAGCAGCGACTCGACAAGACGTCCCACCAACATCAACGACATTGAGATCTATCCGGGAATGCTGGTCTCGCCGGTGGAGTCGAAAAGTTTGACGGACATGACGTTTCTCGCTATACGATACGACCTACTCTGGTTTGCCGCCGCCCGCGTTGCCAAGTTTCGTCATCTAGGCAAGAGTCTGAGCCAGTGGGATCAGGATTTCGCATCCGAAGGTGATAAGGCGGAGACGGATCAAAGTGTAAAGGAAATAGAAGAGCATCTGGAAAACAAGTACCTTCGGCGTTGCGATCCTTCACAGCCGCTGCAGCTAATGTCGATGCTGATGGCACGGGCTGCGATAGACACCCTTCGCTTCATGACACACCACCCACGCAGATGGACCAGTATCAACCAGGCGCCGCCATTTGAGCGTCAATGGGTATGGGAAGTCAGCATCAGGCTTCTAGAGCAGCGCGAAATGCTGCAGTCAAACCCCTCACTGAACAAGTTTGCATGGCACGCAGCGTTTACCATGCAATGGCCTGCTTTCATCCACGTGCTCGATAGCCTCCGAGCCAACCCGTCTATGCCGGATGCCGAGAAAGCGTGGAGGCTGGTTACGAACACATTTGAGAATAATATGAGCATGTTATCCGACTCGAGAAAGCCCATCCACAGCGCCGTGCGCGGTCTCTGTCTAAAAGCATACGATGCTCACAGGCTGCAGCGCAATGCTGTTTATACTCTCCAGACGCCGGCATTTATTTTGAAGCTACGGCAGCAACAAGAGGTGGCGAAGATCAAAAGACAAGCCTGCCGTAGGAAAGCCGAGGATGCGTTCCAGGAGGACCCCATCAGCTCAGAGGCCACCACCGCATCGACAGGTCTTAGGCACGGCACGATATCTAACCAGGAAGACGCTGCTCAACACGCGGATGCCGGTGGTCAAACTCAACGATTTGAGCATGGCAATGAGCACGGCAGCGAAGCTGGATATACCTATGCTATAGAAGACATAGACCTGGATTCTCTGCTGGCTGAGGACGTCAGCGCAGATAGCAGGGCGTACCAAGCTATCAACTGGGAGCAATGGGATCTTTTCCTCGCCGATTCCAAAATCAATTGAGCAGTGCTATTGCGATCCCCGTGCACCTCTTGAGCAGCAGACTTATCAAAACTCTCCACACTATCAATGACTACAATTCAAAGGTTAGCTCCAACCTTACTCTGAGCCATGAGGTAGTGACGGGATGGGCTTACTCATATGGGCCATAGTTAAGAAATCTCCCTGATGAATGAGCTTGAAGCTTACGTTCTCATCACACCCCTTCGTCATCTGCTCAGTGGTTGCAATTCCGCGAACAAACTCTTGCTTCGGGAATCCGGTTTCTGCCATAAATCTGAGTTTCAAGTCTCTCAGCTCTGCCATTTAGAATGAAAATACCTGTGGATTGCTGAGGAGAAGTAGGTGACGAAGATGCACCAAGTCGCTTCCACAAGCTCCTAACTCCCATGGCTTCGACAGTGATGCTTGGTGTGGAAATAATGACAGTATTACAGCAGCAGAGTGCCAACGATAGTTTGATATAGAGGCAGTAAGGTAGATGCCCTAATCTGGTCCTCGGCCACAATGAGAAATTGGCTGTGATTGGAATGGCTACCCTTCGCTGCGGGAATGCCCACTTAGTGTGATGTCCGCCACGCAGCTCAATAATAGACCACCAAGTCCTGATGGTCTACGCCTATCATTTTGTGCTTGTATAGACTGAATAACAAAGCCTCTACTCGTATTCTAGATTCTCATATATAGAAACTCGACCTCAGAAGCCTCGTTGGGCTGTCGGATCAAGAAAGCCGCGCAGTACTGTAGCATCGAGGGGCTGTAAACATGAACCGCCAAAGCTAGATTGATTGGACAGAAATTGAAGTTGGTGCTCATTCCCGTGTCGTTTCAGCCTGGCCTCGTTTACACGTCAAAGCCAGCACTAGCGATGCATTGCCTGCACGACTGTGGCAGTGGACGCTTCAAGTCCAATAGCATCAAATCCTCGAAACCAGCAGCAATAACACCCCAGCTGTCGCTATCCAACCGGATGAACTACATATCAGGGTATAGACATACGTCAATGGCAATGACGCCAGGCAGCCCCCACAACTACAAAACGCGTTTCTAGAGGCGATCAGCGGGATGACTATGTAGGCTTTTGGCGTAGGGCTTTCGCTGTTATGTACAGGCATCCTCACTCACAATGTAGATGATATAGACATCAATAACTGCTCAAGTAGTCGAATATTCATTTGGCAATAATTCGCGAAACTTCCTCATGCTATGGCTCTCTCCATTTAGGGGGCAACGATGCTACATTTTGCAGTAATAGCGTCGCTGTCTGTTCCAAATTTCATCACCGTATTGTCCGAGCCAATTACAAATAATGTGCAATAGAATAAATTAATATTCATATGAATATAGGCAAGTGGCTGTTCCTCGCCGAGTTAACTAAAATTCAAACGTCTCCTCTTCTACATGAAACAGAATATCTTCACAACTTGCTTTCGACGCTGCTATTCTTCCACTGCGTATCAACTGTGCAGGTCCGCAGAGATTAACTGAAGCATCCATGCCCATTCTCGCGTCTCGCACGTTCTCAAACCACTTCATCAAATCTGGACGGCCTTGGTAAATATCCCCAATGCCATCAAACTTTACAGATTCGCTGTCTTCTTCCACGCCACTTGTAACGTGAATCGTAATATCTAGTGTGACGGGCACAGTTTCGTCCGACGCAATTTCGGCGAGGTTCTTGAGCTCAGCTTCAAACCAGGAGATGTGATCAAAATTCTTCACCGTCCATAAGAGATGAATATGCCAGCTACCAGGCATGGGTACAAGTCCTGATTTGGCTTGATTCACAATGTGTGTCGCGATACTGATGCCGGGGGTAATGCCGATTCCGCCAGCCACGAGTACGATCACTGGATGTGCGCCCCATTGCAGGTGACCGACACCATATGGACCATCAATCTGTAGTTTGGGAAAGTTCATTTCCGTAGATACAGCTTCGTATGTTCCTCCTTCGGTTGTTGTTGATTGAGCAACCTTTGCATCATCTTCCCCAACGTTTTGCACCTTTTTAGTGAACGAACCAAGCGCCCTGATGGCAACCGTAGTTTCATTCTGCCCAGGGGCAGAAGCAATGGTAAATGGATGCCAATTGAAGAATGACACGCTGGGGATCTGTACCCAAGCTATCTGGCCTGGTTGCGATGGCGCTGCTCCAGTGATGTTGAATTTTGTTACACCTCCTGAATAGTGTATAATTGATTTGACTTGTGAACCCCGAAAGTTATTGTAGAATCGGATGCCGCGATCAATTACCCAGAGACCAAACCCAGGAAGAAGAAATTCGGGTCCCTTGTTCGCGTGGTATAAAGCTCCTGCAACGAAAACAAGGAAGAAAAAGTGCGGGTAGTAGAAGGCCTCGAACCAGCGACGACGGAAAATCTTGGGAATAGATGTGATTGCAATGATACACAACGATATCCACGCAGCTATGCCCACGGGGATACGAGGCGCCTGAGCAGCCGTGTAAAACTGGTTCGTCTGCACGTAATGCTGTATGATGAGGCTGCAGTGCAGCGTTGCATGCACAAATGTCGCTAGACCAACCCAGCGATGATACCTAAGTAGCACTGCCGAGGGAATGCGAGCAACATGAGCAAAGAGGTTGGTACGCGCCCCCATCAGCAGGCTAAGACCACCGTTGGCGATTGTGAGCCAGCCATAGAGTTGGTAATTTGTAGTATAAGCAAACTTATTCCAGCCCCAGAGGAAGTTGAGAAAGGTGAAGACAGAAAGGCGTATGAGGATGGGAACGTTATTTCGAGTGATGAATGGGACAGCAGACGGCAGCGTTGTTATCTTGTGTATGGCAGTATAAATCTTCCAGTGTTTCTGACGTGCTGTATTCGGCCGGCCTGTAGAAAGATAATGTGAGAATCGACTCTTAACGAACAGATGAACGTGATGAGGTGAGACGAGACCTACCTTTTCTATAAAGATGTAGCAGATATGATGGAGCATGAAGCATGCTCTCAAAGAAAAGCATTCCAATAACACAAAGGAAGTACGCCCTGGCAGCTGTATACTGATCATTGATAATAGGATTAAGCATAGATGGGGATACCATCTTGGCGAATGCTAATTAAACTGCAGAGTCAAAGACTATTATGAGAGTAGATAATCTTTCAGTAAGAAAAAGAAGTTGTCAAAATATCGGCTCAATGAGAAGAAGGCAACCGTAGAGAACTGTCTATCAAGTTTCTTTTGAGCATCCGTCTCTCTTCAAAACTATATACTATGCCAATCAATGTATTTGACATTTGCATAGCCAATCTCATCTTGTATGACCGGTAAGACATGAATTACAACTATCCTGATTAGACAAGACTGATTACACATGCGCTACTTGATAGTCCGTCTCACTTACACCCCAAAATAGTCAGGGGTAATGTTTAATAACCTTATCTAGATATGCTCGGCACTTGTGTGTCATTTGAGAAGGGGCTATGCCTTTCCCTTTTCTTTGACCTAAAGTAGCTTGCATCTACTCTTTTGGGAAATTCTGATGATATATTGGCTAGCAATGCAGCAATTCCAAAGGGAAGATACTAGCATGCATGTCTCGGACCACTCCCGATGCTACATAATGCCTGGCACTAGAGATTACTCTTCAGTTCAGCCCCTTGGCAGTTTGGAATCAAGCTGACAAAAGTTCCCCATATTTTAACCTCTGTATTGAATTCGGCCTAACGTTGAATGATCTACGATAATTGACCCGCTGCCGAATGCCAGCTCTTTGGCAGCCAAACTTGGAGAGGGCAAGAAGAGGTGAGATGATGAATATATAAAGACAATAGAAATCTGCCTCTACAGCTCTCTTCTTGTTCCACATCCAGTACTCAATTCTTCCATCATACAAAGGACATCCTGCAAACTCCAAATTTCAAATCTTCAAACTTGAAAAGCCACTATCATACGCCCTCTTTCACAGCCAAACATCCAGCTATTTACCAACAATGTTTTTCTCGACCATGCAGACCCTCTCTTTCCTCTCGGCTCTGGCTCTGCCCGCTATCGTTAGTGCCAGCCAGGTCGGCGCTTCAGGCACTCTCTCTTCTCTTGATGGCGGCCTTGGCGGCGTCATCACTGTCGCCAGCGACTCTTCCCTCGAAGTTACACAGTATAAGCTGGCCGATGCCAGTGCTCCCGAGCTATACTGGTGGGGAAGCACCTCCAGCGATCTCTCGTCTGGCTTCCGCATCTCCAACGCACATATCACGGAAGCTGCTACTTCGGATAGTCTGACGATAGATCTGGATGCCGGCCATTCGCCCGCCGACTTCAGCACTGTGGGACTTTGGTGTGAGAAGTTCAAGACCAACTTTGGCCAGGCTCAGCTTGCAGCTTCCACGACGGGAACTTCGAGTGGCAACAACTCGCAAACCACCACCGGGGCCGCAGCTCCGGCACGTACTACCACTGGTGCGGGTTCTGCAAACAGCATCGGTGTTATGTTTGCACTTGCGGCAATGGCTGCTGGGGTCGTTGTTCCAGCATTGCTTTAATTGAGCAAGAGCAAGAATCTTGACAACGTTGCATGCAAATGACATATGCATGTAGCTTAGCAAGAGATGGAGGACGACACTTATATATAGATTAAAGTTCTTGTTTAGATGGCATAATTCTATAGATTTAATTTTTACTACAATTACCTTGATATAATCAGAATCGACTCTATAGTGGCTAATATTTAAGTACAGTAACCAGATGGACTTGATGCTTGGGCAGAATATCCATAGTTAATGGGAGTAAGGAGTACTTTAATTTTGTGCTTCTTTGACTACCTACATGTGTGTATGCAGTAGCGTGCTGACTAGAGCTACAATCAGTAAACCCTATAGATTTCTATTCCATGTCCCTAAGATTTATCACATTCCTGGTTACCGCACGCTGGGAATGCTGTGACTACAAACTCCGCGACAACATGAACATGGCCGAACTAGCCATGTAGCTTCTTATCCCCTAGTAACCACCCGACGCCATCTACAGCGTCTCGCATTCGTTTTCGACTAGCTGCCAAATCCGGATACATTGAATAAAATCCGTGAGGAACGCCGGGATACACGTCTATACTCGTCGGCACTCCGCACTCTTCTCGCAGGATACGCTCGTAAATGAGACTGTCGTCCCGTGCAGGGTCCATCCCAGCGACCTGGAAATAGACAGGGGGCAGAAATCCATGTCCAGTTGCAATAGCGTCGGGGTGAGATTGTTGGCCAACGGAGAATGTATTACTGATCGACGATGGATTGTCTCCTTTATACGCACTCATGTATTGGTTTAGAGCCGCCGTGTCGAGGATTGGAGCAAACTTGTTCTGTTCCATGGAGAGATAGAGCTCCTTGTAACGATCGGGAACATTACCAGGGTCAATGTAGACTCCACATGCTAGGAACTGCCCGGTAAGCGGAGGCTGTAGATCCCGGGCAAGTTGTGCCACCTTGTTGCTGATGGCTGCCCCGGCTGAGAGCCCTCCAATGATGAAACCCTTCTTCGGGTCGGCATTGGCAGGTAGAATCCCTCCGTCTTTCTCAGTTGCCTTGCGGGCAATATACTGCACTACTGAGAATACATCGTTGACGTCGGTAGGGAACGGGTATTCTGGTGCAAGGCGATAGGAAGGCAAGATGCAGGTGGCGTTGTGTGCTAATACGAGTTCCCGGGCGGTGGCAAGCTCCAGCTCCGGGTAGCCAACGCAGTGGCCGCCGCCATGAACGAGAATCACAATAGGGGATGGGAGGGTACTGGAGATGGCGGACTGGCAGACGATTGTGCGAGATGAAAACGTCTTGTCGATTGGAATATTGTATTCCTTCTCGACAATGTTCGTCGGTCGGCTAGCTGCGAGCATTTGCTGAGCATTGGGTAGAGTTTCCTCAACGGTCTTCTGAAATGTGGGAATACCGCCGGGAATGTGGCCTGGCGGCGACCCGTTGGCTTTCCAAGCGGCTTCGAACTCGGGGTCCATGATGCCAGTGGCGAGGATTTGTTCAACGGTCCATGGTGGCCGGTCCATTCCAAACGCGTGATGCTAAAAAGAACGAGAGGAAGACAATTAACTGTGTAAATGTATATGGGGACTGCGAGCCTCTTTTTATGATTTGTTTAAATCAGCATGTTAATAAGAGAGCGAGAGAAGAGATTACATGCAATGTTTTTATTTTATACCCAAAGGGTTCGCAACGATTCGCAAAGCAAAGGCAATAGAATTGACGAAATTAATGTTACACGGCGGGTGTCTCATACGGCAGAAACGCTGACTGTGTTACTGTGTTTGAATAAATCACTGTTGTTGGTCAGTAGCAATTTCGCAGCCTCGTCATACTCTTAGGGGTTGAAAATGAGGCTACACCCAAACTCTCTCATTGCAGAGATATTCAGCCGGGGGTTTGAGTCACTCACCGGGATGGAGTCACACACCGGATCCACTTGTGTTACTGCAGGTCCAACTCGAAGATCCATTGGTGTCAATTGCAAATCCTCTGGAAAATCAAACTCTTGGCTAAGAAAGAAATGATCTCATTAAAGAACATGAGGCTTGGGCTTTGTGAGACGATATGATAAATGCACTGGGGTAAAGTAGTGCAGCGCTCGAGTATATCCATCGAGTAGCGGCCTCAATTCTCTGGTCTGGCTCCGGCACACAACACTATTTCCAAGCACTGCAGTGTCTGTAGACAACTCTACTAAGCCAAGCTCACCATGGATGAAATCCGCGAGCTGGACAATCTGCAGCCTCCAGACCGTCCCCAAAACGCCTCTTCTCATGGGTTAACTAACGGCAAAGACCCCAAACCCGTACCGACGACACCAGCACCAGTGCAAGATGCCGAGCCTCAGTCGACGAGCCTTCGAACCTGGAGGTTCTGGGCTATCATCGTGGCATTGAGCATCACGGGACTCATGTCCGCAATCGAGGGGACCATCATAACGAGCGCGCTACCCACCATCACCAACGCTCTGGGTGGCGGCGATGCCTACATCTGGGTCCCCAACGCCTATCTCCTGGCCCAGGTCGCCATACTTCCCCTTGCCGGACAAGCAAGCAACATCTTTGGCCGTCGCCATCTCCTCCTGGGATCCGTCGCCCTCTTCACGCTAGGAGGCGGCCTCAGCGGCGGTGCCTCCTCGATGGCCATGCTGATAGCGGCCCGCACCATCCAGGGGCTCGGCGGCGGAGGGATTAACCTCCTGATGGAGACTATCGTGACCGACATTGTCCCACTCCGGGAGCGTGGCCAATACATGGGCATTGTGGGCATCGGCGCCATTGTAGGAGCTACCGTGGGTCCGTTTCTGGGCGGCCTGATCACCGATCATGCTTCCTGGCGGTGGTGTTTCTACATAAATGTGCCCATCGGCGTTGGTAGGACCAGCTTTTCCTCTCCGTTTCCCATCGATTGCATCTCAGTTCTCGCTTCTCTTTACTGACCATACTCCAGCCTCTTTCGTGATCCTATTTGTTTTCCTCCGCGTCAAGTACGAGCGTGACCTGAGCTGGTCGGCTCGCTTCAAGCGCATCGACGTCTCTGGCAATGCCATCTTCGTGGCCGCAATCGTCTCCGCCTTGATTGCGCTCACTTGGGGCGGCACCATCTACAGTTGGAGCACCTATCACATCATTGTGCCCCTCGTCCTGGGCCTTGTAGGTGTGTTGCTTTTCGCCGCTTTCGAATGGACCCCGAGACTCTGTCCTGAGCCCTCATTCCCGCGACAGATCGTGTCGAACCGCACCTCAGCAGCCGCTCTCGGCCTGACCTTCATTCACGCCGTCGTCGCCTATTGGGTATACTACTTTCTGCCGATATACTTCCAAGCCATCAAAGGGTTGTCACCTCTGCGCTCCGGAGTAAACACACTGCCCAATGTCGCTGGCGGGCTTGTCTTTGCGGTTCTGGGGGGCGTCATGCTCTCCAAGTTTGGCCGCTACAAGCCTCTACACCTGGTTGGATTTGCTGTGACCACTGTCTCCTTTGGACTGTTTAGCATCCTTGATGCCAACTCAAGCGACGCCGCATGGGTATGCATACAGCTTCTGAACGCCATGGGCAGTGGCATGCTTGGCGGTGTGCTTCTGCCTGCTGTTCAGGCGCCTCTGGATGAAAGCCATGTCGCCACGGCTACCGGAATTTGGAGCTTCGCTCGCTACTTTGGCTGCATCTGGGGTGTCACTATCCCAAGTGCCGTGTTTAACAACGAGTGCAGGCGTCTCGCGAGCAGCATTACTGACCCGAATATCGCTGGTAATCTGTCGGGAGACGGTGCGTATCAGCATGCCACAGGTGCCTTTCTATCCAGCATTCAAGACCCGGCACTTCGTGCAGAGGTGGTCGAGGTCTTTACCGGAGCGATGCGGACGGTTTGGCTTGTTGGGATTGCATTTGCTGCATTGGGATTCTTGGCCAGCTTTATAGCGAAGGAGATTGAACTCCGGAAGGAACTGAACAACAATTTTGGGGTAGAAGACAAAAAGGATGCTATCATCTCGCCAACGGCAGACACCGAAGCTGTACCATCATCTAACCCGGTCTAATACGGACATGGGCTTAGTTTACATGTACCTAGTTTTAGAGACCTGTAATGCCTCATTAGTTATAATTAACTGCTAGGTATTAACATCGTATATCGTTCTAGCTTGTATATATTGTCAATCATTTTCGCCATAGCTTCTTCAATATTTTCAACAGTCTTTTAATCACCTTCAACCCTCCACTTGGCGATTCCCATTCTTCCAAGACTTTCCTCGAATCCTGTGTAAATGGATGATCTGGGCCCAAGACATCGCATCTCCCCTGCACACACTCTTGCATTAAAGAAAGAGCTCTGTCTGAATGACCCCGACTGCGCAATGCAACGGCCAGGTTATGCTTAGATTGAAGCGTATAAGGGTGCTCCTCTCCCAACATCTTCTGCTCAAGCTTCAACGCTTCCGTTGCAAGAGATTCGGCCACTTTATATTTGCGCAGATCGTGGTATACTGCCCCGAGTTGGGTTATACTCCGAAGGGTGTCTGGGTGGTTCTCGCCAAGCGTCTCCCGACGGAGGTCCAGAGTTTCCTGATACAGAGCTTTGGCTTCTTTATACTGGCCCAGGCCTTGGCATGTTGCTGCAAGTGATCCTATATTCCAAAGCACAAGTGGATGCTTCTCGCCAAGTACCTCTCGTTGGATAGCTAAAGTTTCCATCTTGAGAGGTTTAGCTTTGGCATAATGACCCTGGTAATGATAGACGGCTGAAATCGACGCCAAGCTCTCAAGCGTGTGGGTGTGCTTCTCTCCAAGTACTTCCCGCTGAAGTGGTAGGGCTTCTTCATAAAGAGCTTCGGCCTCTTTATACTGACCATGGCTCTGGTATACTTGACCGAGTAGAGTCATAGCTCGAAGGGTATCTGGATGCTTCTCTCCAAGTGTCTGTCGCCGAAGTTCCATGGCTTCTTTGTAACGAGCTTTTGCTTTCTCATGCTGACCCTGGTAATGATACGCTGCTGCAAGCGAAGCCATGCTTTCAAGCGTATGTGGATGCCGCTCCCCGAGGACTTTTCGTCTTAGATCTAGCGCTCTCTGGTCCACCACCTCTTTTTCTCTCCACCGTCCTCGGTCATATAAGTACCCAGACGCTCTGCTTAAAAGTTCAGACATATCAACCTCCCTTTTGCTGATTTCTGCCCAGTTGCCCATTTCTACAGCATGGGCCAAGTACCTCTCGCACTGCCCCCATGCCTCTGGCTTCGAAGTCGGGAAGAGCTCTGACAACGCCTGCAAGGCAATTCCCGTGTAATATACCTCATCGCTTGCTTCTGTTTGCATCAAAGTTCCTTGCCCAGCTACACCTTGAAGGCCTCGCATGGTCAGCCTGTATCTTGCTGCTTCTTGCACAAGCTTATGCATCTCATAGCTTGGACCGCCAACCTCAATATGGCGCGTCTTGAGAAACGAGAATTCTTGCAACCGCATGATTGCAGATGTCACTTCAAGCTCTTCGGGCTCCTTAGTCGGGTCCTCGTTGCTGCACTTGCTGATCTGTATAAGCAACTCGTGCGGTAAGTTTTGGTTGTCTAGATAAGAGATGATATGGAGGACCTGATATGCCGTTCTGTTCTCACTTTGAATTCGCTCCATTGAGACGGTCCACGTGTCAAGGACACTATTGGGCATTTCGGGCCTTCGATGTCGATCAAATTCAGTGGTCTTCAGGGTATCCCATCGGCGTTTGCTCTCTCGAAGCAAAGACAGGTACCCGGAAGCAGTCGTCTGCATTCGCCGCATGTATGCACCAGCTTGAGAGATAGCTAGCGGAAACCATTGTAGCTCCCGAAGAAGAGTTTTGATATCCTCAAGTTCGTCATACCCATCTTTCTTATGTATCATTGCTTGAAGAAGCTTGATGGCTTCGTTGATCTTCATCGATGTAACCTCAACACCTCTTTGTGCGCCGACGAGCGTGCCTGCAATACGGGCGTCGCGACTTGTCCACAGTACTGCCCCTGTAGGCCCGTTTGGTACATACTCGTATAGGCTGTTCGTAGCTTCGTCGGTAGATAATCCAACGCCGAATAATTCGAGATTATCGACATTATCAAGGATAAGTATCCATGATGGGCATGCCTCGATACCGTCACGTACAGATCTAAGTAGATCATTCCCGTCGGCAGTGTGTTTAATACCAAGTTTGTTTGCAATTGTCTTATAGTCGTGTATAAACGTCGCCTTGCTATCTGCATGCACCCAGAATACGCTGCAGTTGTCGTCATGGTATCGTCGGTACGCATAGTCTAAGGCGATCTGAGTTTTTCTGGATTGATTAATTAGCAGTATTCATTTATGTTCCTTCAACGTGAACTTACCCCGATCCTCCTAGTCCCCAAAGCGCAGCACTGTGGAACTTTGATCCCCTTGGAAGAAGTTGCTCCAGACGCTCTACCAAGTCTGTGCGGCAGACCACATCCTCGTTGCGGGGATACGGAATAACATAAGTCGGCTTATCCACCCCGGGTAATAGAGGACCTGGGGTCAAATTATAATGGATGTCACCCTGGTTGATGGTGGCATTGTTTCCGAAATTATTATGATTGAGGGAACGCGAGTGAGACGATGGTTGGCTCATGGCTCATGATACAGTGAAAGATTACTTAATTTTAGACATATTGGATCAAGGTTTTCATCTTTCAATTCCTCGAGTATATAAAGTCATTCAGTAGACATGTAAGACAGCTTTGGGCCTCATTGGGAAGCGATGCTGCGCAGGATACTGCAAGTAAGATTTTACCAGAAAAGATGAGAACATCCAATAAATCACCTCCATCCGAGCACATGTCTGAATGTTTGGCTAAAATGAGACGTGATCTGCATGAAGCAAATGTAAGAAGAAGAAAAAAAGGTTTCCATGAAGATACAAGCAATCATAGCGGTGGATATCCTGGAACACAGGGACATAACCCTGTGCTGACGACAGTCTCACCTTCAGTATGGCTATAGACTTGGCTAGGTATACGGAATACGCTTTTCATATCTATTAAAACGTGTAATATAATTAAAGCTAAGCTTAATTTTGATTTGGTAAATACGTTAATCATACTTTTTTGAAATGGTTGAACCCTTTTTTTCCACCTCTTGAGATTGCATTTACACCAAACTTATATCTGTTCCTTCGCCATGAGACTTGGTGTGCAACAAGCAAACCACGGTTCAGTAAATTACTCGCAGGTTGTCTTCAATGAGGAAAACATAACAATATTCTCTTATTCATGCGGCATCATATGTATCACAGCACTATTGAACTCTGCAGTGTTTGTGCAGAACGCAATTGTCTTATTCTAAATGCCGTTCGTTACAGTCTTCCAATAAGGTGCTAATTCTCTTGAGTGACTATCGTTTTATTCTGACACATCAACTATATAGGCCGGTTTGTACAGTCCCTTGCGTCGTGATCCCTTACATCAATGGCTGCAGCGCAGCATCATGCAAGATATACGACCGATAGATTAAGATGCATCTAAAATAAATTATCATGCATCTAAACCCTCTAGATTAGCAGCCCACTTGTGTAACCCAGCAGCACTCATTTACTGGTCCGCACCACGACTCAGCACATGCAACAATTGACAGTAGAGAATTCAGCGTCTCATCAAGTTCTTTATCGCGATTGTTTAAGTGCACGTAACTCTCTCTATTTGCTCTTTTCTGTATCTCACCCCATCTCCAAACTTTCCCAACATCCGAACTCAGAACGTGACGTCTCTCTTACATACTATATTTGAAATGAATATTCTGCCGATCCGTCATATTGGACTCGCCATTGATTTTACCTTGATGTGCTGATTGTTCCGGCGTCATTCCCATCTCTTCAATAATCTTAGCCCTCCGTTTGTTTTCCATGACGTCTTGTTGCATTGTCAGCCTGAAAACGTGGTGGTAAAGGTACGTCCCATCCAGGAAACTCACAGTAAAATCGCCATGCGATGAATAGAGCAATAACCAGCCCATACATAATTCCACATAAAATGATTGCAGGAATATATCTGGGCGCCCACTCAGCTCGGAAAGTCTGGACACCAACAGCCCCTCCTATGCAGTACGCAATAAACATGACAGTGCCGATAACAGACTTCTTCGTTCGCCCAGCTACATTAGACGGGAACAAGGTCCACATCATCAATCCAGTTAGGCGGCTAGTAGCGGTCATAAGGTAAAGACCCCATCGAATCCAGAGCATACGTTTACCTTCCGTTGGTAACAAGCCCAAAGCTAACATACCAACAAAGCCCGGAATAGTTGAGATGATCATGAAAAGAACTAAAGCGCTTACAGTTAGCACAAATAGAAAGAGTACCAGCCAAGATGCTGTATCCTTACATCTGGTATGGGGCCACTTCAATGTCAAGATTCCAACGACTAGCAACCAGGCTATGGTCACGAGGTCCAGTGGGATGATGCACTTAACTATAGTCTCCAAGTTGCTAAAGCCAAATGAGACAAAGACAAGGTTGCCAAATGCTGCTGTGCCGCTATTAGGTAGAGAATTGGCAATATATGCAAAGAAGAAGAAGTAGGTTTGTGGATCCCGGAACGCATCCACGACCTGGTCCCAGTGCCATTCATACTTCTGACCTCTGTCAGACCCAATCTGGCTGCTGGCGACTCTGGCTGCTGCAATGCGTTTCTCCTCCTTCGATAGCCATCGGACTTCACTGAGCGTTCCTAGAAACAGCAGCGAGAAAAAAGACATGACTATTGTCCATGACCCTAGGAAAACACTAATCCATCGCCATGGACCAAAGCTGCTTGTGTGTTTCTGAGCAGCATTGCCAATGCCGTACATGACGAGTTGCGTTATAATATCTAACCCGCTATTTGAAGTGCTCCAGATAATGGATTTTATGGGATGTTCCCGACTGACATAGAAAGACGCCGTGAGGAGGACTAAAGCAGGAGCCATAGTACACTCAAGTAAACCCTGCAGGGATCGTAATGCCACGAGCTGGGTGAAGTTCTGAGCAAAGGCGATGCAAAGAACGACAATACCCCAGAGGAACAAAGAGACGAACAATGGCTTGTTTACACCAAAGCGTTGCATGAGATAGTTTGAGGGAGCTTCGCCGATGAGATAGGAAATGTAGAACGCGGTGGTCAGCCCTGCAAGCTGAATTGTCAGCTTCTTTATACGCCGTAGCATCATATGTTATTCCACGGTGTAACTTGTTGTGGGAAATGCCTACACGAAAATTGTTGACCAACAAGATTGGTATCCTGTGGCAGGCCAAAGGTTGCTTGCGTAGAGATAGACGTCTTGTCGGCCTGCTGAATGCCGGCACAGAGCCACATGAACGGCAGCAGAATACGGTCAATCTTTCGGAGAACGCGCTTATAATCAGCTTCAGTATACTCAGCTGTGACGGTATTCAAGACATTATCTTGAGCCTCGTCAACGTAGGCTGTATCGGTAATTCTTGCTGAGCTGCCACTGCTCGTTGTCTTCTCATCGGTAACCATTTCTTTGGTGGCCGTTTCTTTGGTGACTAATGGCTGTGTCATGATGCTAGATTATAAAAGAGTAGAAGTCATGTCAAGTATGGAAGATAAGTATCAGAAGTTTGTTTCTTGACGACCAAGCACTGGTATTAATACTTTCTACATTGACATCATAGTCTTGTTTTTTTTTTTTTTTTTTGCCTATTCAGCTGCCTCTTCTTTTTACAGCCAACAAAAGCCGACATGGCCTCTATCACTCAACAGTTTCTATCTAAATCATCACTTCTTTGTGAAAACTCGCTTCAATGTAGCTCGTTCAGTAATAGTGTGGAGGAACACGAGCCAGTTGACGTTACTTTCGGGTCTCATGCAAGGCCCAGATGAAGATCGGACCACTTTTCACAGAGAATTATCCATTGAGATGTCCACGTTCATCAAATTTTCTAAGCATTTCTTATATCATATTCAGCTTTCATCTTCAGTTTTCAGCTTGCATTGTTCACATCGTTACCAGGGGCGGCATCCATCTACCATTCCGTCATCGTATAATGAGCCAATCATGAAGCTAGAATCATCATTCGGAGACACCTATACTCAACTACCCATCAGTTGATCAGTGGTTTCAGGTTCCTGGACATCAACTTGCTTGCGTAGGGTAGTAGCATATCCCTACCCGTAGCCTGATGCGGCCAATTTGTAAGGCAGGCTAGAGATACTTATTGGTTGCAAGCGAGTGCTGCCCAATGGTGGACATGGGGCCTTCGCCAATGAGTACATGCTTATTTTCGCCTTACCGTATCCCTCACCCTAAACGGGAAGATCAAGCCAGCATTTGATAACAAACCCCGGGAGCCTGATGACTTGACTGCCAAGTTGAAATACCAGGATTATTCGACAACGTGCGAGATACAACACATTTCATTGGAGAAACAGTAAGCCCCTAATTCTGCAAGACAACCCTGTATGCTTCTTCAGCTTCAATGTCGAAGTAACATGCAGTCATATACGTTGAATGTTGGCAGTAGGATTCCAATAAGTGTAGAGCAGGTAATATATTGATCAAAAACCAGATGCTCATTAACATGAGGCCGCCAAGTAGTATCATTTAATTTGTTTTGTTTTATTTACTTTACTATTAATTATCTACTAAGCATCTTAATATGCAAGTAGCGCTGGTGAGCCGATTTGTGTGGTTGTTGTGTTTGGGCGTGTTGTCTCAAAATTAGCTAAATGTCCGGGAGCTATGTACGTATAGCCGCCCGACAGGATGACCACCATCTTACCATGGCATTTGCCACGACCGTTCTAGAACAGACATGGATGCCTCTGATGCATGTTCTTTTTCAGCTTTGTGTGACGCATTAACCATTTCCGAAATGACGTAGATCTCCATGGTGTTCTCGACTTACTGCCAACCCGAGCCATTATAATATCGCATGCATCAAAGATGGAGGTTCATAACATATGACCACAGCTTGGCTACCAGTGCTAAACATATTTTTCTTAAATTATATAGGCATAGTGGTTTGTCCAAGTATTTGTACATCATAGCCGACAAGATTAGGTAGCGGAGTAGGCGGTTAGAATGTGCGTGGGCAGCTGTATCAAGATACATGTATACATGCATATCCGTATCCCACAATGATACACGGCCAGTCTCACATGGCTTAATGATCTGTGATCAAAATAAAATCTCGTTGCGCACTTGATACAAGTTGATGGTTTGTCGCTGGGTGAGACAGCTGCGCGGTCAATATGCAAAAAGGCAGTGTCCGCGCTCAAGCGCATCGCCGAACATACAAGACTTTAGCCACCGAGTCAAGCACATACGGCCATGATAGTAGAGAATTAAAGGTCTCATCAAGCTTTCTTGTTGAGTTGGGCGTCTTTCAATTTTTGAACTTCAAGACTAAAAATCTGGAGTTGCACGATCCCGCATCTCGTACCCCGTAAAGCATGTAAGCACTAGAGGACTATGTCAGGGGCTGAAGTTTTCATCAATCGACTCTGACTTTAGCAATCCAACGCAAAATCCCCAAAGCGCACTTCTTGACCGTTCAAAATGGATAAATACACTTACCCACAGCCCCTATATCTTCTGCTCTTTGCCATTGCCATCTTTGAAGCTTCCCTTTTCTGTCTACCGCCGCGTTCCCTCTACCGCGCCGCAACTATCGCTCTGCTCGCGGCCGTGACCTACAGCTTCCAGCTCAGCCTCCTGGAATACTTCGCAAATCGTGCCTTTTTAAGTCTCGCCTTGGGCGCAACCTGGACTACATTCTTAAACGCGTTCGAGATCCTTATCGTGTCAAATGTCAGCCCTCAAGACCCCGGCCTTCACTTGGCCAACCCTGGAAACCCAACCTCTCAGGCATTTCGGGCAGCTACATTACCATTCCACTGGCGGCGCATCGGAACCAAGTGGCAGGTCAAGGCCCCAGCCTCGACGGAAGATGGCTCCATAACCGGGCGCGTGCGTTTCCTTTTCAAAACACTGGGCGTTCTAACCGTCTGCTATCTCGTCATTGACCTCTGCGCCGCCGGCCCTCCGCCAGACCCAAGTATGATTGCGAGAGAGAAGCAAACCATCTCGTATCTGTTTGCTTCAAACTCAGAAGACGTCGGGTTTCGGGTGGTAACCACCATCGTCTTCCTCATCAACGCAGCTCTTGGCGTGATCGGAGTCCACAGCCTTCTAGCAATTGTTGCCGTCCTCTGCGGTGACCAGCCACAGAACTGGCCTCACATCTGGCAGGGCTGGCCGAGTCAAGCGTATTCCGTGAGGAGATTCTGGGGGTATGTATGTGCGCCTTCTGGTGGTATTACTGCCCGCTGATTGAGTTTATACAGCAATTACTATCACCAAGGTCTGCGCAAGGCGCTCAGTGGACCGGCTGACTGGATCATTGATCTGGTTCTCCCCCGTGGTAACCTGATCTCGCGCTATTCGAGACTCACTCTGGCATTCTTTTTATCCGCATTGCTGCACCACCAGGCTGAGAGATCTGAAACTGGACAATTGATCTTCTTCAGCAGTCAGGCACTTGGCATCATGTTGGAAGACACAGTCTACAAGCTGTATAGTTTCAGCCCCATACAGCTCCCTCGACGCATCGAGCACGCCTTGGGTTATCTTTGGGTGCTAGTATGGCTGCTGTGCCTCGTACCGTACTGGTCTTATTCCACAATGCGCGTAATTGACGACCCTGTGAGGGATCAGGCAACCTTTGAGATCTTCAAAAAGGTCTTACCCAAGTAAGAATGTTACAATCAGGACCATTAATCCCTTGAGAAGAATAGAAAGTCTTCTACAAAGCTGAACAAGCGGAATTTGGGGTAGAGGGGAGGCATAGCTTCCCTATAAACTTCTTGTTGCGATCTCGTCCTTCGTAATGGGTTGATCCCTTGTAATACCTGGTTCCTTTGCAATGGTTGCGATAATTGCGATCATTGGCATTTTGTCCTGTTAGCTTAACGTTATAACGGATGGCTAAAGGTACTATTTATATATTCGGAATTATGTAGCTTAGAGGAGATCCATAGATACTACATGTAGTTGAGGTTTGTCCTCTACATGCCTGCTGATGCCTACTCTAGACAAATGTTAGCGTATGATTTCACCATGCTTATAAGCTTACGTTACTGAGTTAATGGTACATATGACCATAGGTAGAGGAGGATATGAAGTTTCGTCAAGCTCTTTTCTTGAGTTTGATGTCTTCCAGTTCCTGCATTTGTAGAATGGACGTCATCAGGTTTATGAGGGTGTCAGGAACGGCGCCCTCCGCTATTTCCTAGGGTTGTATTTTCTTCTCGTTGCCGCCGCCCATGGGGTCGCTGTGAAGCCCTCTGCGATGATCTCCCTGATCAATCTTGCATCTGAAGCCAGAGATACCTCGCATCGTGTGTGGTTTCCTTGTTGCTTCAAGTAACCCAGAAGCATCCCTCCCTATTTAGGATTTCGCTGGCGCCAATTAGCATGTCCCATCCCGTCTCCATACAGTCTGACAGTGTATCCCATGTTAATAGGGCAGCCGTATTCTGCGCGTATGGGATGTGTAACGCTACTTTCTCAAATTTTAATAAGAGATGAAAATCAAGGGGTGATCTGTCAACTCATGTGTAGTCATGGTTTTAGCTAATTCCACTGATTTGTATACAATTTCGAGTATAACCATAAACTATTCTGCGCTTTTCTCGGCATAACATTACTGAATGAGTCACCTGAATATACTCCGTATTCATCTAACAAGGCCCGACTACACACATGAACCTCAATGGTTCGCAGGGCGGTGAAGTAAATTAAATGAGTACTGGGCTCCGTAAAAAGAATCATACAAATTCACATTACTTTATGCTCCATAGTCGTGTAGCGGCACTAAATGAACCTGGCCTCCCAACAAAATATTGACGTTCCAGAAACTTGTAAGGAGAGTAATTTTATACGCCAAAGTGAACATATGGCACCCAAAAATGATTCATCCTACTTCGCGCCTGCCCAGCGAATGTCCAAGGTTGAGGAGATGTTGAGGGCGACTTAGATCATCGTGTGCTGTTAGATTAACGGCAATGGTAGCAATACTGATGGCTCGATTCAAATCGCACATAGATCGTGTCTGATCGAACCGCATGCCAAGCATTGCTCCAAGGTGATCCAACATGTGAGGCATCATAACATCATCTGCTTTGCTGATTGCGTATTCCATAATCTTGATGGCTTCATCAATGTCGCTCAGGCATCCGACCTGCTGAAATTTCTGTGCCAACTCCACCGCCTTGACCTCGAAGGCATGAGTTTGCATATGTATTTCTTGTTCAGTTTTTGCTTTTCTATTATCCACATGTTAGTAAAACATCTACTACAATATCTACTAATGCCAAGGATTTGCTGAATGACACTCACGCTCTCCCTGGCTGCATAGCTTCAATCTTTCCCGGAATGGGTTTATGTAGAAAGTGTAGGGGAGTTTGTATTTCTTATATATCAGGAATGTTCAAATAGAGAAGTTTATTTCGTCCCCTTGTCTAATTAACTTAATCGCGAAGCCGCTTTTTGTGGACAACAGCTAGATTGTGTGAGTCGTTGGGCTGTAATGCGCGATGCATAATAGACGGGCTGGAAGGCGATTTCCGTGAGGGATTCAAGCATTGAACTGTATTGGTTCTATTAGATTTAGGCTTCAAGGGATCCAAGGCTGCTAAGACGCTATAATGTTGGTCTAATTTCTTCCAAAGGATTAACACCCGCTGTAAATATAATACTAAACCGCTATACTAATAGCCTCACAAACACCTGGCCTACACAGTCCAATAGAACGGAGAGAGCCTTATTAAACTCTACAAGAGATGCCTAATGACGCAGTTTCGTAGTCTCTGCCTCATTGTTAAAAAGTAGTTCGTCGGTATTAGCAGCCTTTTAATATAAACTATCGAAGTTGATTATGGCAGGTTAAGTCTATATTAAAACACGACTTAAACAGAGGTTAACTGCATATAGTTATAGCTGCTGCGTAGTAGGTCGTAGTTACGCACAATACCCAGCTTCACAATTGAAGCCCCGCTCATCAGCATCGTGGTTGACGTCGCAGCGAGGCTCAGAGGAACAAGGAGGAATATGTTGCGGAGTGCGGAAGATGTGGTTGTCGAGCTGGACGATCAAATCTAACTGGCTAAGGCGGAGTTGCAAAAACCCAGCCCAAGGGGGCTCATAGGCCGGCCACACAAGTATAAAATATTGCTCAAAAGACATAATGTGTTTCAAATTCAAGAATTGAATGAACAATAAAATCGTTAATCAGACAATATTAGGTCAGACTTTGCCTATTCTCATTGACTAGTGCCATTAGGCGATCGTATGCTCTCTGATCGTCACCTTGGTTAAATAGCTCGACAGTTCTATCATGATCCACTGAGAGTATGCCTTCATCAGGATCCAGATGCATCTGCCTAAATATCTTTAGTGTTGAGTCTGCCTCTAACTTCTGACGCATAAGCTGAACAGCGTCGTTTTCGTCCCAATAAGGCATTTCCTCGAACAGAAATGGCGTCTTGTTGCTTCCAGCAAGTAGCTCAGTAAGGCGTGGCTTCGCTTCATATATCTCATCGAAGAACTTGGCCCAAGTCACTTCGGACCCTTGTTCGCTGAAGCACTCATTTAAGTCGAGAAACTTGAGGACCTGAGCATGACCTTGTATAAACGAAATCAACTCTTGGCAGACGAAGCAATTTTCTAAAGTAAGAGATTGTAAAAGAGGGAGATCGTCAGGCTTTAAAGCAAGCGGGATAGAAGTCAGGTGGCCGTTGGCGTAGCCGAGAGGATCTGAAGCCTGGATATGTAGATATTTCAGGTCTCTCATGTGGTGGAAAAATAAAGCGTCCATGTTGCTGAGAAATTTTCGATATTCTCCCACTGTATTAGTCCGGACTCCTGAATAATCTTCGAAGCCAAAGATGTTGACTGTCGCAGATTCAAGATGGTTAAGAAATTGGGGAAACGCATCAGTATGAAATGTAGATGTCCACATTGGGGGAAACCAATCAAGGATAAGCTCAGTGACGAAAGTATTGGCTATAAGAGCCTCCCAAGTCTCGTTCATAAGCGCCCGCCATTTCTCTCGCAGTTCCCTCACGCGCGTATAGCCCTCAACTTCCGAAAATTCGAACTCCAGATAGACCTCATTGGCTTCATTATCGAGGTCAAAGTCAAACTTCACTTTCACCGTTTGTAGGTTCGGCGTGAAGTGACCTTTCAAGACCCGGAAAGCTGCTGGTAGCAAAGATGGTGCCGTCGCCCTCTCATCTTGGTCGCATTGGCATGTAAATTCAATTGTTTTGGTGTACTGGCCGTAAGTCTCAGCGACAGTCAGTGCAAATGTTGCCGATGCCTCATCATTAGTTAATCGTATTGTTTTAAAAATTTCTGGCAATAGTTGGACTCTGTATGATTTGCATGTTGAACTTAGACTGATTCTGTCGCCAATATGGAGGAGCTTGATTATCTCAAAAGATAATTCGCCTGGGAGATCTAAAAGACACGCCATTTTAAGCCTATTTGGTTGCAGATCCAACTTTGAAATAGCCTGGGACGTGGCGTCACTTTAAATAGATGGCTCGAGTCATGGCCATGCACGAGTTAGGATATCGCCGAATCCGAGAAAGGCCGTCTTGCGCTAGGCAACGTCGACTAGTCTGGAGATGTTATATTGGCTAAATCTTCGTCACGCTGTCTCTGCTGAAGAATAGCTTTTTGTCAACCAACACACATACAATCAGGTGGAGCCAATCAATCAAGAGCATAACGCAGTCACAAGATCCTTCCATAATTGGCGAATGATTTACAGTCCTGCGTTTACATGGCTATTGAAGTCAAACAGGGCTGTGATTTGGATACGTTCTCATCGTCGTGCATACTAAATTAACCTAAATTCACTACGACACTGTTTCGGAATCCACATTGATATGTATCTTTTATCTTGCAGTTTTTGTTTATTTATTCTAGCAATACGTTAAGCCATAGGACTCTTCATTCTTCGGCCTCTTAGGCAATTATATGTAGTGACTGGGCCAATTTAAGATATCTAGCACATTGAAGTCTAAAAAGAGTGCGAAGAGGACGGATGTTTCTCTCTCAACGGTAAACTGTAGAAAAACCAAGAAGAGATGTAACGACGTGAGTCTGCCTATGACACCCACATCCCAATGGGCGCATTTCTGGTGGCGCAGTCGTCAGGCAGGATGTGCCCCCCTGCGTAATTCTCCGAAATTAGACGGTAAAATGCGACCAACAACCAACAACCAACAATCGACAGTAACCTCGCCAACTTCTACGAAACTCTACAAAAGCTGAGAGCGGTAAGACGTGCAGATGGCCAGTCTCTGGCATTCTCCTTGCTTCGTCAGAATAACCACGATGAAAATGCCCCAAGACAAGTCTGAGAACCATTATTTCATCCTTTTCGAGATGCACTGCTCACTCCTGATGGCGTTGGCCACTTTAACATCACCTTTTCGAGGGGTCGCAGCTCTATCGATGCAACTGACGGAACGAGAGATACCGGCCGTCTTTTCTCTTCCTGTAGATTATCGCCCCGTCTCTCAGGCGAAACTGCAGAAGAGGCACCCATCTCCTACCGTTCAAGCGGACACCATCATTTACGTACGTTGAGTTTGACATGATGACTCGGTTTGGCCGTCTCCTATCCTGACAAGTATCGCTTTAATATTCAGGAAACTACCCCCTTTGTGGAAGTGAGTGTCGGAACACCACCGCAACCAATAGGGCTGGCAGTAGATCTCCAAGATGGTTTCATGGCTTTCCTCGTGCCGAACACCACGAATTGTGTTTCGCTGTCAAAGGCAACCTCGGCACAATATAATTGCGCTGCCGACGACTATTGCGCTCTCATGGGCTACTTTTGCCCCGCAGCATCATCAACCATGAAGTCGATACAGCCCTCGGAATCAGACCCGGAAGGCCCCGTCAACGCGGATGTCGTGACTGTTGGCAGCCAGAGAGTAGATGGCGTCCACATGTGGCTTAACGATATCTCTCCAGGTGACTGTGAGTATTCCAAACTTGGTACCAGAGGCCGAATTCATTGACCTGAGGACTTTCTTAGACAGTAGAATGGGCATTGCGCCAGGCTCGCCCTTGCTATACCTAATGGTTGACCGGGGTTTCATCAACTCTCCATCATTCAGCATTTGGAACAATGCATCTCAAAATAATCAGGGCCATCTGCTCTTCGGTGGAGTTAACAAGGCAATGTACAAAGGGACGCTTCAAGCGTTTCCTCTTTCGGGGCCAAATAACAACGTCAACGTGCCAATCGCAGCAGTTGTTGTGGAGAGTGGCGACAACAGTACAGCTGGTCCAGCAACCACAAGACACAATCTCGCCGACTCAACGACAGCAGTATTATCTACAATTGACACCTTCACTTTCTTTCCTAACAAAACAGTACAGCAGATTTATGCCGATCTTGACATCACTCCGGTGCTCATACCGAGCTTCAATGCTTCTATGGGTATTGTCGATTGTGCCAGAACACATTCTGAGAATCGCACCGTTTCCCTGGTGTTTGGTAGCGCCACGATTTCAGTACCTTGGAGTGAACTATTTCAGTCTTTTGAAGACAGTACCTGCGAGTTTACCATCGTACCATACAGGCCGGACTTGATTTCCGGACCAGGCAGTGAATTACAAATCGGCGCTGCTTTCCTTCAACACATGTATTTGGCTGTGGATTACGATAACATGTTCGCCGCCGTGGCGCCCCTTAATCCCAACCCAGGCCCGGATAATATTTTAGAAATTGGGAACGGGACACGAATTCCGGACGCAGAAGGGGACTTTCCAGCTACCATTACTCCGTACGAGGCACCGACGCCAACACAAACTACAACCACAGGGCCCCTGCCAACATCCACTACAGCTTCAAAAGCACAAGCCGTAACATTTACACCTAGAGCTATGGATATAATATTTGGGGTTGGCGGCGCAATACTTGCAGTATTTTAAATAATATCATAAATTACATGGACTTAATGAGCACTGTTTACAAGACCTGTAGATAGACTTGCATAGCCACACAAGTGCCCCCAATACAAGGGGTAAACTCTATTTCACAGCCATGTGTGTTTTTCAAGATGCGCTGATTCATTTACACGAGACCTTCATCTCAAGAGACATTTGGGCTAAATGATTTATGATGGAGAGCTGATGAGTTACCTAGGACCCACGATGTCTCTAATACAATATAATGATTCTCCTCCGCAAAACGAACTCTACAAGAATATAGAGACTCACGACGCAGCCTTCTATCTAAGCAATTACAAGGCCACACAATTTATGAATTGATATCCGGAGTCGAAGCCCACAATTCCATCATGGCATCAGCTCAGAATAAGAAGACGTCCAGTCAGCATGCTACTCAAGACGATGGTTTCTAGGATTGTAAATGCATATAATTCACCGATTTCATATTCGATCGCTATTAGAGCCGTGACGAAAAGTGACTCTCTGCTTAGGGCTGAGGCAAGTCCCACTTACCACCAGAGTTTATTTCTCAGCAGCAGTTTTTCAATACAGTTGGTCAAAATCCAATCCACAGACCATGCAAAATCCTTGCAAGCGCCAGTTTCTCCGTCCATACTATCAGCCTCTACTTACCTAGCCTTGGTCGATCTCCTAGATCTACCTACGTCTACTAGATTTACCCATGTTTTCCAGAGACTTCGAAGATCCATTAGCCAAACACATATTGACCCAATACCCAAGCTCTTCCAACCAGTTCCTACCACCACCAGCATAGATCCTGCCCGATGGAGGGCCCTACAGTCCGACGTGGACAATATTCTGAATGACTATGCGGGTTCGCCTGTCCCGGATCAAGATGACACCCCCAAGGTGTTACGAGCATTTCTTAAATACTTGTGCGAAGAGGCTAAAACGCTCTTGATGCAAGAAATCAAACAGTTCAACGGAAAACTAGCATTGAGGCAGCTCCGCAATTGCCTCGTCGACTCAATATTAAAGAGTAGTAAGTCATATACGATCCAAATTCCCACCTTCAATTTCGTGCTAACATAAAATTGCAGTGTTAATAGCCGGTGGCAAACAGCCCAAATCTCTTACGCCGTCCCCCATCGTCATCCCCGGCCCAACTGTGGAGGAAAGCCAACATCAACTCGAGTTGAGGAGCAACCACACTGCCGTTAAACAAGCATGTTTGAAAAGAGACGGTCGCCGCTGTGTTCTCACGGGCATGGTCGAACGAGTTCATCTCATGAGTATACCGACGCAAAATCGTGGAGGCCGGTGGTTTTGCAAACCCGAATGTGCACACATCATTCCCTTTGCTTTAAGCAAGTTTAACCCGAGCTCTTCACAAGAGGTTTCGTACGCTGACTGGTAGATGGGCTGAGACCAAGGCCCAGATCTGGAGGGCGATTTACCGATACTTTCCCTTTGTGGCAAGGGAAAATCGGACCCGAAAATATCAACGCCCCCGACAATGCTATAACTCTGAGGTCAGAGGCTCATATGGAATTTGCCAGCCATCATATTGCTGCTGAACCTGCAAATATGGTACTACCTATATCTTGATGTTACGCACGGGATTACTGCTAAATCTCTGCTGTAATTTAGGAACACAAATACCCTGTCCATGATCTCGACGCTGTTACTTCCGTAGCTCGAGATTTATCAAACACTATCACTATGATGCAATCAGACCCAGCAGTTGTGATGCCAGCTCCCGATCTTCCTAGGTTACACTACCAAGTATCAATGATCCTGCAAGAGAGTGGTATTCGAGAGAGATATGAGAGGACCAAGTGGGAGAATGAGGACAACTTGATCGAAAACATTGAGCCTGATGGCTCCACAGATCTAGGGAATATCCTGTCTAGCAAAATGCTAACAGATATCTAGATAAGAGACTGCATCTACTACATCTACTCATCGATACAGCTGCCAGAGTTTAATAGTTTCAATGACATTAATTCAATAAATGGCTTCAACATTCTCTTCCAGGGTAACATCAATCTGATGGTAGTATCCATCTAATTGCAGTTCCACCATAATCAAGCATCTCACCCAATCTCCCATTCAAATCAACCACCTGTGCCGGGTAACACAAGGCAAATTACAAACGGGGCAACTTTCCACGACAAAGATCAATTCAAATCAAATCAGTAGAGTTGTCAATCTCGATCGAGAAAAAAAATGTGGCATACGCGGAATCCTTTCCTTTCGCCACCCTCCAGCGCGGAACACAATCTCAAACGAGAGTCATGCTCCGACGAGAAGCGAAAACGCCTTTCAATTCCCCCCC